ATACTTCAATCTGTTTCTCAAAAAGACAATCAATGGTAATGATTCTCTCAATTTGTGTGGACCTGGAGATGATTTTGGAGCATAGGTACCGGATAATTTGTCCAACATCCAGTGGGATGGAGCTGCTAATCTTTTCAAATGTTTCTTTCTGGATAGGTTGTTAGTACAGTGTTACTGGTGTTGGATTATGGAAATGAAGAGGAGGAATAGAGGTCAGCCCTACATCGAGATAATCATATAAATGTGTCTTGTAAAATATGCTTCATAGATTGCAGTGACTGGAAAAAGAACAATCTGGCTCGGAAGCGAAGTGGCAAGACAAAGACTCTACCACCGCCCTGCCAAATAAATACTCTTCCAAACCACATGCTGTCTATTTAGCATTTGAACAACAACACAAAATAATATGATTTAATCACGACAAGGCTCCCTTATTCCTAAATTGATCTTGAAAGATCAACTGGCACTGCCATGAAACAAAGTGTCAACCTTTAAGAAGAATAAAAAGGTCAACTCTTTTTATCATGGGCTTACTTCTTGATAAAAAGCTTTTTGAAATGTGTTTCCCAGCCTCAAGCAACATGCCATCCGTGAGGATTAAATGTATAACTTGAGTGTACTCCACAGCTTTTTATGTTTTCCATAATTCCATATTAATGAAACTATGCACATACGGGCCTCTTGTCATATTTTGGTTAGTTAGTGAAAGAAAAAAGTGTGAAGAATGGTTTGAAAAAAAGTAAGTGAAAAATTTTTCACTTTTAAATACTCCTTTGATTGATGCAAAATGGAAGAGAAAATTAGCGCTTCCATATTTTGGTAGCGTCACGCATCTCGAGAAGAGTGTGACAGGATTGCGTAACGTATAATGGCGTACACTTTGGCTGCAGAAACAATAAAGAAACATAGTTACTGGCCATACTTGTCTATTATTCAAACAAGTAAGTCTGGTTTGTTTGATGATTCATTGGTACTGGTTAAAAAATGGCATATCTGACACCGCATACTAATTTTCGCACACGTACACTACTTTTAGAAACTATAAGCCATTTGAATATTGGAGCAAAAGTAGCTTTTCATTTGAAAAACTAAGTAGTAAAAGTTGAATCGCAATCATAAATAAACTATTGTTGTCTCCAGCTTCGTTGAGGGTATGCAATGTTGTTTACTGCCATTCTCTTTTATATTTGATGCGTTGATTGTGGTGGTGGTTGTGGAAAGTGTAATACATTTCCATTTTCGGAATATGCATTACTAATTGTCTGTTTGTGTAACAATTGCAACTGTGTATATGCAGTACTACTGTTTGTTTGTTTTTATTCTTTTTCTTTTAATTTTTTTAACGAATAATTAGCTTACTTTATTAATAACCCATTTTTAGCCAATGACTACTCTTCTACTCCTCTTTTCTAAATCATTTCCTTTGATTACATGCCATCTCCATTCAGAGACGATGTACAAACTAAAACGTCTGACAAAAGTATAGTCTCTTTCCTTCTTCCCAGTAATTTGTTGTGAGTAAAGTTGTAACAATTAGTTGCAACTTAAAATTGTTAGTGAAAAACTAACGATACGTGGCTTTCAAACCTACAGGTTCTTTCCAAGACTCCATAGCCAAAAAGTGTGTTGTTGTGATTAACGTTAGACGACTCTTTATAATGTAACAGTAATCAAAATGAACCTTTCGCAGCTTAGTTGCACTCAAAAGTTGCACTCAAAAGTTGCACTTTTAAAGTGGCTTACTCTCAACAAATGGTACTATAAGAGTGCGATTCACATTCGAGCCAAACAGAGTAGCCACAAGTTAAGTTTAAGCGGTATGAAAGTTACCTTTTGAGTGTTTTTGAGTTGCCAAGTCGTGCACGACACTTTCACCCTTTCTTTTTCTTTCTGTTTTGTGACTACCGCCTCAGATCATTTTTATTTTCCATCAGCCCAAATAATTCCTTAGTTCTTTACCAGGAAGAAGGAGAGAGGAGAAAATCATTAGAAGCTCCAACACCACCACAACTGCTAAAATAACCACTCCATTGATCAAATATTACCCTAGTATAGCAACCCACTTCACCAGAACCACCTCCAAAAGATATATATATATATATATATCACTTTAGCATAGCATATGTCTGGTATCCAAATATCCACCCTACTGTCTGCATTTGGCAAGGATTCAGCTGCACCAAAAAGCAGAGCTATACAATTAAAGTTGAATAATGATGTAATTCATCAGATAAGGCAGCGGGGAAATAGTAATGGAATCAAACTAATCGTAAGAGATGGTAATTATGTATGTATCAGGACCCTGGGTACAAATACAGGAAACAGACAAAGCACCATCACTCTATCACAGGGGGTATTGCATCAACAGGGGCAGGTACTACCAGAATGTTGTAAATTTATCTTCGACAGATGGTGCTTCTTTTCCACAAGCCACTTTTAAAATACTAACCAATCTAGTTTATAAAACTATCAGAAGACCTTGAGTATCCATGTTTGTCACAACCAGAGAATCACAACGTTGACTTATATGCACTAGATAAATCGCCAGCTAGATTACTCCAGTCATCCACTTCGTCCTATCATGGACGTGTAGCCATGAAATTGACTGTCATTACCGACTCGAAACGAATCCAACAGTTGAAAAATACGACATCAACAACGGCATCGGCCAGTGTTGCCACATCCCCTCGTATTAACTCAGCATATTCAAGTCCAATAATAACTCCACTATCGTCACAGCATTCAACTCCGGTCTTATCCTCCCATTCTGCATCTACTTTCAACTCATCTAATGCTCCACCTCCTAGACAGCAATCAATTACTCCCACTCCGCCATTAACAAAGAGCCAATTAATTTATCTCAACATTTACAATCCTTTCAAGGTGTCCATAAATTACGACCCACAAGAAGTTGTAAAGAAGAAATTTTTAAATTTATTAGCATTGGGACCAATTACTTATTCAACAATCGTAAAGATATTAGACTACACAGATTTTGATAATTTACTTGATGATTATTGTCAGGTTTATAATAAAAATGACGCATTTACTAAGGAGGATAGGTTTCCATATATTGATAACATCCAAGAGCAAGATGTTTCAAAAGCGAAGCGATATATTCTCAAGGATAAGAGCTATAAAGAATTGATTCCATTGACTTGGGATTTAGAAGAAGAGGATAAATTGGCAATTATCAAGAATATCAACAATGCGCTAAATCGGTTGGGTTACTCCAAAACGCATCCTATAAGGAATAAAATAAGTGGCAGTTCAGAAAAGAATAATGTGAACAAGACAGAAGAATTGAAGCTGAAGATGACAAAGCTGTCGCTAGGTGGTGGCTTTTTAATTAGTAAGAATAAGAAAAAATCAGGTACTGTTACTGGTGATAATATTACATCGACTACTCATTCACCTAATCAATCTTCGCGGTCAAGTCCAGCTATAGCATCACCAAACCCCCAGCATAATAAGGATAATGAAGCTTCAATAACAACAGCTAAACTGCACTCGAGACAGACACTGCCAGTAAAGAAATCATCACACAATGACAAAAGTGGAAGATCACCACCAAAGAAGGTTCCTTTAAAGAGTGGTAAAGAATCAATTGATGCTAAAACTATAGCTGCAACATCAGTGGGAACCACTTTCATTCCTGGCCAAAAACGAAAATTGTCAGTATCCTCAACTACGTCTTCATCTTCATCTTCTTCTTCTTCTTCGTCCAACTTATCCGACGAAGACACAAAAAGGAGACATGTTATCTATACATCACCACCATCATCGGAAGAGGATAATGCACTTATCCACTATGCATCAACTAAAACAAAAACAAAACCTAAATCCACTCCATCGTCATCCAAATTGAATTCGAATGTGCCATCCCCAGTCAAGGAAGATTTGAGTGAAGGCACAACTAATGAGACTAATGGTGTTGGTGGGGACTTTGAATATTATTCCAAATTAGCCACAAAGTTCAAAGCCAAGTACCAGGATTACATAGAATTATACGACAAGTTGAAGCATGACCATCATCTGACAAATTACAAGACGGATTTGAAAAAATTGTTTGAGTTGCACCATTTGTTAGCTGGTTGGAAAAAGCAGTTGTGGGATTTTGATGCTAGAAATTACTCTTAGCTTAACTAGATTTAGATAGAGAAGAGATTTTAATGTCCATAATTGGGATCGACGATCCTTGATGTGGTTTGGTGTATATGTGTGCTGTGTCGTGTCATGTCGTATTGCGTAAATTTTTGTAGCATTATGCGACATTGAGTATTAGATAATGCAGTAACGTTAAAGTGATGATCCGTAATGCGGCAATGACATTCTATTTGCTCCAGCCTTTTTAGATAAGAGTACGACATAGCGAAAAAGGTGGGATGACTAAAGCATCTATCCATCTGTCTATCAAGTAAGTCTCGTACTTCTTAGTGAATATGGATAACAGGACTTCGGGCCACCACAACGGTATTCCGAGGTCTTTCTCTTTTGAGCCTAATTGCTGTTCTATTCTGTATAGGGGCAATTAATGGCCCCTATGCACGACCTTTTTCAACTAAGTCATGTATGAAAAGAGAATGAATTGAATAGCAAAATAAGACTATTGCTGAACATGTACACCAAGGTATACTTATAATAGTGTATTATGTAATGGGGTAACTATTTCGTGTAGTAATTAAACTATTTATAGAAGATTATTTGTGAAGAAGAAGGAGAATAATTGCAATGTGTCTGTGGGTGTGTCTGTCTGATTAATAAAATTTTAAATTTTTAAATTTTTAATTCGCTTTTTTTTTTTCTTTTATTTGCATTCCATTTTCTTTACTTTACTTTACTTAACCAGCATTATATCTAGCTGCATAAAGCAAGCATAGCATATACTACACTATCCTACACTACACGCTACACCAATGTTCAAGTGGATTCAAGGAGGTATTTCTGCCGTTGCAGGAACTCAAGAACCAGAATATGGCCCAGATGCCATCCACCCCGTCACCAAACGTATCCCAGAGGAGTCGAAAACCAAGGGAAATTACCATCGTGTTACTAAGCCAGATGATTTCAATTGGCAATCTCCCAATTATACCAATGTTGAGACGCAAACTTTTTATTTCACTGATTTAGCAACCAAGAATGTTGGATTTGTGCAAATTATTCATTCCAATGTCATGGGAGTTCATACTACTGCTCAATTTACTTTCCGATTGTACAACATTGATGACCCTAGTAAGAATATTTGGACCAGTACCAAGTTGGAGAATTTTAAAATTGTTGATGGATTCAATTTCGAAGCCGACAATTTAAAGTTTGAAATGATAAATGACAAGACTTATAAATTGCGCAGTTTTGTATGTAATGAATCAATTGTGGAATTTGAAATTGAAAGGTTGACTGATGGTGTCATTTTTGGCGATGACGGAATGACGTTTTATGGTGATGACATAAATCAACCATGGGGGTCAATGAGACATTTATTCTGGCCTAGATGTAGCGTCAATGGCCGTGTATTGACCAAGAAATTGGGTGAAGTCAAGATTACCAATGGATACACCATGTTTGTTATGGCTTTACAAGGAATGAAGCCTCATCATGCTGCAAAATCATGGAACTTTATGAATTTCCAGAGTGGCAACTATGCCGCAATTCAAATGGAATTCACTACTCCTAAATCATATGCCAACACTAAGGTCAATATCGGGTTGGTTACCGATAATGAGAAAGTACTCTTTGCCACCATAGATAACCAAGTTGTCCATTTGGATTCGGAGATTGATTCCGTGGGGTGGCCAGTACCTAAATCCATTGAATTTGACTATATCGACCCATTGAGTGGTAATTCTGTTGCCAAGGTGACAGGTCCTTTGAAGAGCCTTATTGAACGTGTTGATGTCATGGCGGAAATTCCTCAATTTGTTAAGAATATCGTTAGTGGAGTCGCTGGAGCAAAGCCTTATATTTACCAATATAGTAATGAGTTTGAGATTGAAATTTTGGACAAGAATAAGGATAGGGATGAAGGGAAAGAAAAGGGAATTGGGTTTACTGAAGTTACTTTTATATCGGAATAAGCTAAAGCCTTGCCTTGTGTTTAGCTAGACTTGAGGAATTATTGACTGTTTTTTTTTTTGCGTTTTTTTTTTGTACCGTTGTTCTTTAGCCATTTAGTATTTGTCGTGGCTTGAGATTGATTGTTAATTTTAATTTTTAATACTAAAGTTTAATGTAGAGAGCTTACTACAATTCAATTAGACAATCTAAAATACCTGTAATTACTATGTAGAAACTAAAATAACAACTGTAAAATCCTATATCCTTTCTCCTAGTTTGTTTTGGTAGTGGTGAATTTTCCAATCAAGCTGAAAACACCAGCAACCGTATTCCAGGCACTAAAGAAGAGACCTGGACCACCAACAGCCACATTTCCTTTTCTTGAGAACCAAACCTTACCATTGTAACTTTGTTGTGAAGCGGTAATTAATTTATCCTTACCGGCACTGAAAGGTGGGTATCTAGTCATCATCAATTTTTCAGTAGATAATTTCGATTCAATGGTGGTTCTTTCGTGGGTGAAATATCTGTATGAGAATTTACCATGATAAGCTCCATAACCGGATTCTCCAATACCACCAAATGGTGCATTGGTCAAACCAACGTGTAAAATTACATCATTAACAATCAATCCACCTGATCTGATGTTGGTTATGATTTGCTTTAATGGAAGATTCTTTTTGGGAGAAGTGGAACCACTGGTAAACACATATTGAGCTAACGGAGTGTCGTGTTGTCTAATGATTTCCTTGATACTGGTGGTTAAGTTGTCATAAACGATAACTGGTAAAATAGGACCAAAGATTTCTTGCTGCATGGAAGAATCGGACCATGTGGCATTGTCAATAACGGTTGGTGGGATAAATCTTGTCTCTGGATCAGCTTGAGATAATCCACCAACAACTATATCACCTTTAGTATTGGCAATCATCTTGGTAAGATTTCCATAAGCACGATCGTGAATAACATGAGTCCAATCTTTATTATTCTTATCCATTTGTGGGTAAAACTCTTCTTCTAAAATCTTCTTCATTGCAGCAATGAATTTGGCATGCAACTTCTTGGGAACCAAAGCATAATCAACGGCAACACAAGTTTGTCCACCGTTAGTGAATCTACCCCAGGCAATTCTTCTAGCTACGGTAGCGATATCAGCATCAGTCACATCATCCAAGATAATAGCTGGAGACTTACCACCCAATTCCAAAATACATGGAGTCAAATTCTCAGCAGCCTTCTTGGCAATAATTCTACCAACGGTACCATTACCAGTATAGATAATCTTGTCGAATTTTTGATTCAAGACTTCAGTAGTTTCTGGAATACCACCATTAACGGCAACAAAAGTGTCTTTATCTAAAGCTTTAGCAAACACTTCAGAAAACAAGTTGGAAAAGTTTGGTGTCAATTCAGACTGCTTCAAAACAACATGGTTACCACCAGCAATAGCACCAACAACAGCAGCCAAGGTCAACACAAAGGGGTAGTTGAATGGAGTAATAACAAGAACAACACCAAGAGGGATTCTTTCAATGTAAACTGGATTCAATTGCATGGTAAGAGGCAAATCAGTAACTTTTTCTGGCTGCATCCATTTATGTAAACTGGCCATGGTGTGAACCAATTCATTTAATCCAGTTTCAATTTCCAACACTTTGGATTCAAATGGAGCCCTGTAAAAATCCTTTTCCAATGCCTTTATCAAAGCATCTTGATTATCCTTGACAGCAAAATAAAGATTTCTCAACTGATTTAATCTAAATTGAATATCATGACTTTTTTGGCTTTGGAAAAACGCATCAGTAACGTATTTGACTTTGGGGGCAATTTCATCAACCGGGGTATACCATGAATTGGAGTTGATTTTGTCAATTTCAGCGTATGATTCTTCAATCTTACTTGTAGAAGCTTCAGAAGCAGTAGATGTTGGAGCCATGATTGATAATTGGAGAACTTAAAAAGAAAAGAATATGTGTATGTGTAAGAAAAGAAAATAAGGGGGTGAGGATCGAGTGGCAAGAAAACCCTATTGGATACGTGTATCTATATATATATATATATGTATGTATGTATATGTGTGTGTTTGTGTGTGTGTGTTGTTGGGGTTATTGGTACATTCTCCTATTGTTTCTTTTATAAAAGACTGGGAAAATTTTATCACAAGGAAGAAGGAGGAGTTAAAACAAATTTGTTTTCTGTTATTGTGTGACATAACGCGGGGCTAAAAGCGGAGGGGCGTGTACTTTTTTACTAAAAAAATGTATTACTTATGTCTTAGAGTGCGGATATTACCCACTCAAAATCTTTATCCGTTGTCAAAAATAAATTTATAAAAAACTAAACCGTTTTGCAAACGTTCAGTGCTCAAAAACGAGCCAGTGCTAATGTTGCCATCCTCTTATCCATTTACATTTGCTTGATCACGAATTCACACACCTAAACGTCTTTACCACCTTTCTCAAAAGGATTAACAAAATTCTTTTGCTCCATGTAGATCTTTTCTTCTAAACTTTAAATTGCTTATCTCCGGAGCAAATGAAAAAAAAAAAAAAAAAAAAACCTTTTCTATATACTTTCCATCAAGAAAATAAAGCCTCTACAACATAGTGACAGACGAGACAATAAGTGAATGTTACAAACAAGTGCATAGCTCTTTATGTAGGGAATATACATCCACAATGCTAGTGGTGTATCTTATCTCCATTTCATCTCGAGTCCCCTAAAAAGGTAATGCCAAAATTTACAAGAACCGACCCCCTTCAAGTACAAATCAACCAAAAAAAAAATATGCAGTTCCAAATCATACCCTCCTCCTGTTCAAACAACTAGTATTGCTGTTGGTCTCTCTGGGTTGCAATTTTATCATATTTTACGCTACCATCTTTTAAATAAACAAACTATGTTTTATCTTTTTTACAACTTCCTAAACTTTACTCAAGTTTCAACAACTTTCCCAATTTGAAACAAGCTATTTGCGATGTGATATCAAAACTGAATTGCATTCGATATGACAATGTCTTTGCAGTACGTTCATAATCACGCTTACTAGAGGATGATCTCACGTTTTGTTTGCCTCTAGGTGCCTTGGCCGACACTTCTAATCCAAAATCAGTAGAAACATTTTTGGTGATTGACACTTTTTGTGTCGATGAGATGATTGAAGTTGAATCCCATATGAATTGTGAAATTCAAAAATTAGAAATGCGATCAAAGAGGTGGACCTTTCCAAAAATAGATTTGATGAGACACTTCAAATCAGGACACTAGAAATCAGCGGTATACATTGCAAACCTGCATATTCTCGATTTAAACTTTCCACGAATGTATGCTACTTAGCTTTAGATGACTATGAAGTGGATAATTACAAGGTGGATATTATTTTGGTAAAATTGAATCTATGTTGTTGCCATTTCAGTTCTCCACAAGGAATACGATTTGGTCCTAACTCTTTGAAAATTTTGCATCTATTCAATTGTGGTTTATCCAATGTTAATATTGACCTCCCATATTCACTTGAAGAAGCTGAATTCATCACACGCGACTTTACTAATATTCCACCAGTTTTAGCATATTTGAAAAATTTAAAGATACTACACGTCAAAGATGGTCAAAGATAGTCTGCAATCTTTGAGTTTTGCTCCAATTCTATTCGAGAGTTGGACCTTTCAAGAAACAGAATCAAGCACATCAATATGATTTTCCACCTACCCCCAAAATACAATCACCAATCTCAAAGTTCTTTGTTTGAAATAGAATAAGTTGTCTAAATTTACCATGGCCTCTATAGATCATGGTAAATATGGTGTCAAGCATAGCAATTTTGAGATAGGGTTAGTGGGCAATACGGTTATAAAGCAAAATCGAAAAAGAATGTTGATTGCTTCATTGCCGGAATCAATCGAATATTTGTGGTCACAAGAGTACCACGTTCGCGATGATGATGAAGGGATCCCGCAACGGAAAGTTTTGAATGAATTGGTTAGCGGTTTGCTCCTAAATTATTATCCAGGCACTCTAGAACAACAACTGGCATAGCTCGAAGTTCAGGTTGAAATGTGTATGCAATATGAAGAGAACATACTTCGGCAATGGATAGTGGCTTTGAAGGAATATGTCTCCTGCCAATTTTACATTACATTTAGAATTATTTTGATTTTTGGTATATGTTGCAAAAGTGTGCGAAAGCTCTTACCGCAAATTTCCCCATACTTTTTTTTTTGATCACACATTTACCACACAACTATCACACTATACAAGCAAGGTATGTCGCTCTTTAAATTAGATAAATTACGTTATCAACTACTTGGCAACTTAAACTTTAAACAAGTTTGTGATAGCATCAAGAAGATTTACGCTTTGAGTGAAACAAAACAAGGTTTGTCTATTGACGACATTCATAAGGAAGACAATCTTGTTCAGGATGTGTGTTTGGACGAGAAAATTCTCAAAGCCTACCTCATTGAAGATCTAAAATACAAGCCATATATGATAAGACTCATTAGGCACGAGGTCCACGTGTTGGATTTCTCAAAATCAATGTTTAGTGGGGAAATTGTGCTGCATCCTTGTTTCTTTGAGACCTGTAACAGGTTTTGTGAGAGCATCTACTTTTTTATTCGGGGAGAACTTGGCATAAGTATACGGCTACAGAGATTTGGCTGCTCTTTAATGAGTTTAGGCTTTGCTTTATACTTCCCCACCTAGGAGAATTCAAGAGAGTTTGGCCGTGTCAGTATCGCACCCATTAAATTAATGAGAAAAATTGAAATTTGTGATACCCACACAGAGGATGAGGAGGGAACAACAAGTTACAAAGAAAAGTTTGAATCGGCCGTAAAACAGTTAAGCCTTGAATCATTGATGGAAAATATAGTTCCAGGATTTCGTCATAAAGGGCTAGGACCAACAACTACACATTTTATGATATGAGACTTGTTGGAGCTTGAGGTCTTTTGAGTCGGCTTACTTTTTTTTTGCTTTGACCTTGCTCTCAATGGAATCATATTGCTTAGATCTATCGAGGTTAAAATTTGGCTGCTAAAATATATGTACTGTCAAATTGTTTCTACATCATCATTTCTGTGTGTTTCTGCATCTTGGTGCAATTTGCCACTATAAAAGTAACGATATTGAAAAAATAAACACACTGTGTAACTCGTAACATTCTTTTTGGTCATTCTTCTCGCACTGTGTGCACATGACCTGTCAATAAAAACCGTTCACCAAATTCCGCGCACAAATAGGACTTTGTAGAGCCACATCCTTCAGGATAAATATAAAGTAGCCTCGTTAGATATAACGCTACGCTACAAGACTGGTCTTCTATATTCAAATAGTACCACGCATTCAGCTCTCTTCTTCTACACCTCATACCAAACCATAAAGCCTCAACATTTCTTACTACTATTGTTTTTGTTTATTAAACAAAATCTAAAAAAGGAAAGTAAAAGAGGAAAAACAACAAAAAAAATTAAAAATAAAAAAAAAGAAAAGAAGAGAAAAGAAGAAAAACATCAAACATTTCAAATGGCTTTAAATAAAAAAATACCTCGATTATTAACCGAGTTATCACTTTAATCTTCCGATAGAAATCAAAACCACTCATCCCATATACCCTTTGAGTGAGAGATAATTAGGAGCTCTTACCCGTGATTCGCGTCTAACTCATCTGTGCTGTGGCGCACTGCTATCACTATCGCATAATCAACCAATTTGTAATCCCTCAGAATTCCGCTCATTACTAGCAAACAATGGCATCAAACGGCAAAAAGGAAGAAGTTAGCACAACTGTAAAGCTACACTTGTCGGAACATCAAGATGAGCCCAATTCCAAATACTTGCACCAACCAGTACCTAAAAAACCTTCACAACTACAAGAGAGTGATTTAGTCAACAACAAAGAAACAAAAGTCAAACCTGCCACTCATCATCACCAGTCGCTGACATCATTCACCAGCAAAAAGCTTCCATCGTTGGTGGTTAAGCAAGATCCAAATTTGAAATCGTGTTTATCTCAAACACCGTCCAAAGTCGATCAATCAATACAACCACCACATCCTCCTGCCCCTACAGCATCAGGACAACATTTGGAAGCAACATCGCATCTGAAACAGCATCCACAATTTGTATCAACGGATGATATCAGTCCTACTCAACATGGACTAGCACCAGGCTCACAAATTGAAGAATACATGCCTATTGGGTCCAACTTTACACCACTAATTTCATCCCAAGGTAGTGCGACGTCCAGTTTGGTTTCTCCCCCACCTTCAACAAAGCCAGTTATGTCGCCACCTGTTTTCAATCCACTACTGAGCAATCTGCACCAGCACCAGCACCAGCACCAACAACAACAACATGAGCAACAACAGCGCCACCACCAAGAACAACAACAACAACAACCAACGACAGAACAACGCCCTCCATTAGGGATATCGCGAATGAATTCGCTAACCTACTCACAAATTGATGACAAGAAATTCATTGAATCTACGCGACAATCGGCTAATACATCTGCCACTGATATCAAACCACATAATGAGGATGCAATCATGTCGTCAGACGATAACAAGTTGCATTTACTCATTGGCATCACTGGATGCATTTCTATTCACAAGAATATTTTCCTTATTATTGAAAAATTATTTGAATTATATACCCATGAGAAGTTAGAAATTCAAGTACTTTTAACCAAATCAGCTGAATACATTTTACTGGAGAAATTGCATAAATTGGATGAAATGGGAGTTAAAGTTTGGTTTAGTGATGATGGAGAGAAATACTTTCTCACATCTCCCTTTCAAAAAGTTTATTCCAATGCCGTAGCTCTGGGGCAATTGCCGTTGAAAAAACAGATTGGTAGTCATGTATTTCAACAGTACAATTTATCATATGATTTACAAAGGTGGACTGATGTGTTGTTATTGGCTCCATTGAGTGCCAATACCATGGCTAAATTGATTAATGGGTTGGCTGATAATCTATTGACCGAGTTGTTGCATGTGTGGCCAATGCCTCAAGTACATCACATATCGGAGCAAACACGGATAACATCTCCACCACCGCCAACCTCAACAACAACTACAACGACAGCTTCTTCTGGTGCTGATGCTGCTGCTGCTACAAATGCAGCACCACCAACCTCTGCTGCTCAAGATGCGAAAAAAGACTCAACTATTTTATCAAACAACTTGATTGCTCCCAAACCCATAGTTGCTGCATTAGCATTGACGAACTCGATGTATTCCCATCCAATAACAAAGAAACAGTTGAGTCTATTGCAAGAGACTTATCCCAATATGACCATTTTAAAACCAGTGGAGAAGTGTGTTGATATGGATGGAAATATTGCCATGGGTGGTATGAGATCATGGAGAGAGGTTGTTGATTTTGTTTCAAAGAAATTGGGTCCACCTCAAGAGGATGAAGATGAGGAATGTGATGACAAAGATGACAAAGATGATGATGATAATGAGGAGGAGGAGGAGGAGGAAGAAGAAGAAGAAGAAGCAGAGCATGATGGAGGTGTCAAACTAGTCAAAAAGGTGGAAGATACAATTGCAAATTCAAAATCCAAGCCAGCTCAACTAGAACAACAAGGTCCTTCGACAACCACTGCCTCCTCATCTACATTGACAAAAGTAGCGACAGCACCATCACAATCTCGATCCAGTGATAATGTGACTAGTGGAGGAAGCAATAAATCAGGCGAGAGGCGCAGAGGTAACACCATTACGCGAAGAGAGTTGGCAGAGCATGAAAGGTTGGCTTCTCAGAATGCTTTATTGAATGCCGGTATTGGGAAAGTAGGATTATAGTATGGAATGTAGACACAAGATATGTGATATACAATGACTTGTACTAATACCATTGCAATATCGAAAGCTTGTAGAACACGAAAATCTGTAATTTTTCGTTCATTGGTTTGATTGTTTAAGGTTTAGATTATATCTCTGCCGCAGATTTACACAGAGACGTCAATTTTAATATTCCGTCTATGGCTGATTCACTTTAAAAGAGATAAATCAAGCTAAATCTTATTCTAATAAAAAAAGGTGTATTTCTCGTAGGCAATGTCGTGAAAAATCATAGTGTCAAATCATCAAAGGTAAAGACACTGAACGGAACTCTCTGAAGAAGGTGTCCTTTTCTAATGTTCTTTTTTCGTGTTGTTATTGTTGTTGTTAATCCAGCTTTTACTTTTCTACACCCAGGTACACGCAACAGGGGGTGTAAAAAAGAAAAAAGAATTATTTACCAATTTGGAAAATTCTGGTTTTGTGAGTACAAGGGGGTGTAAAACTTTTTTTTAAAAAAAAAAAATCCATTTGTGTGCCTGCAAGTGTGAGGCATATTTGGTAATGGAAGAAGATAAGCTGGAATAGAGGGGGAAGGGTAATATTTCAAGAGACGTTGTGGCTGTAGATAGGGTTCTAGGTGTTCTAGGTTTATATCATGCTATTCAGAGTAGTTCAAACTATATGAAACATAATAGATATATGTGTGTTTGTAAAATATGGTCTGATGTATTTTACTTTGTTCAGAGTGATATTCGTTTGTTTGATGGAAGGTTTTGGTATAATTTTTTTTTTTGGTTTGACTTTGTTGAAATTTTGGTGATAATTTTTTTGTTTTGGTTTTTTGGTTTTATTTTTAAAGAAATAAAAGATTTAAAATAAATTAAATTAAAACACAAATTGCGTAATTAAAACAAGAGACAAACAACAAAACAACAACAATCCAAAGGAAAAAAAAAGAAAAGAAATTTTACTTTTTTCTTTAAAGGTCGTTCTTTTTTGAACAAACAACAAACGACAAATCCCAAAAACTGAAAACTGAAAACTGAAAACTGACAACGACGAAAAGTAGAAAAAAAAAAAACCTTTCAACGTCACCACATAATTTCAACAGAGAGGACATAAGTCTATTACTACCCACTAGCACTACTTCCACCACTACTACTGGCCACAAAATACAATATAAACATACTTGGCATACACTCATTTTACCACTATTACTACTGCTACTACTACATCATCATCATATAACACCGACCCACTTTCCTCCCTAGTGCCTAAACCCACATGTCAGTATACAACCAAAGAACCCATCAAACTCGTCTTAATGAGTTGTTGGATGCTATTAAATCTGAGTTTGACTATGCGTTGAATGAGGCTACCAGTTTTAAAAAGATTGAAGATGAATATCATTTAAAGTATTCTCAACAAAATACCGAATTGCAACAGATTAGACAAACTGTTTATGAATTGGAGATGGCCCATAGAAAAATCAAAGAAGCTTATGAGGAGGAAATATTGAGGTTAAAAACTGAATTGGAGAATAGAGATAGACAAATGAAGAATGGTTATCAACAACAGCAGCAGCAACAAGTACCTCCTCCACAACCACAACAGCAGCAGCAACAGGTGCCTCCTCCGCCTCAACCACAACCAGTCCAACAACAACCTCAACAGGTTCAACAACAACAGCAGCCACCATCAATTCAACAACCACCTGCACCTCAACAACAAGCTCCTGTTCCTCCACAACAGCCAGTTCAACAAGCTCCACCACCACCATCAACTCAATCGCAACAGACAATCCCAACCCAAGCCTCTCCTCAACAACCAGCAGCTGCTACTGCTGCTGGTGGTGGTGCAGCTGCAACAGCTCCTGTCTCTACCAGCAACGCATTGACCATCATTGACAAGTCACAATACATTGTTAATCCTGCTCAAAAAGCCGCACATGTTAAAGAAATACCTCCATTTTTACAAGATTTGGATGTTGCTAAAGCCAATCCTGATTTCAAGAAACAAAACCTTGATTACTATGTCTTGTATAACCCAGCTTTTGCTCGTGATTTAGATGTTGATTTGATTCACTCATTAGATCATTCATCTGTTGTTTGTTGTGTCCGTTTCTCCAAAGACGGCAAGTTTATTGCTACTGGATGTAATAAAACAACACAAGTGTTCAATGTCGAAACTGGTGAATTGGTGGCTAAATTGATTGATGATTCATCCAATTCCGAAACTAAAGAAGAAGATACTCCTACAACCAATGGAGACTTGTATATTAGGTCAGTCTGTTTCTCACCTGATGGTAAATTATTAGCCACTGGTGCTGAAGATCGTTTGATTAGAATCTGGGATTTAACCACAAAGAGAATCATCAAGGTATTGAGGGGCCATGAGCAAGATATTTATTCATTGGATTTCTTCCCTGATGGAGATAGATTGGTTTCTGGTTCTGGTGATAGATCAGTTAGAATTTGGAGTTTGAGATCTTCCCAATGTTCATTAACTTTGAGCATTGAGGATGGTGTTACTACAGTTGCAGTATCGCCTGATGGGAAATTAATTGCTGCTGGATCTTTGGACCGTACCGTTAGAGTTTGGGATTCAACCACTGGGTTCCTTGTCGAAAGATTGGATTCGGGTAATGAAAATGGAAATGGCCACGAGGATTCAGTTTACTCTGTAGCATTTTCAAACACTGGTAATCAAATTGCTTCGGGATCTTTGGATAGAACTGTGAAATTGTGGAATTTGGATGGCAAACTGGATAAAAACTCCAGTTGTGAGGCAACATACATTGGTCATAAAGATTTCGTCTTGTCGGTTTGTTGTACTCCAAATAATGAATATATACTTTCAGGATCCAAAGACCGTGGAGTTATATTTTGGGACCAAGCTTCAGCTAATCCATTGTTGATGTTGCAAGGACATAGAAACTCGGTCATTTCAGTGGCAGTTTCTTCCAACTTGCTGGGTACTGAAGGTATTTTTGCTACTGGATCGGGTGATTGTAAAGCAAGAATTTGGAAATGGACAAGAAAAGCGTAAGGGGGAAGATGAGAAGATTAGAAGATGAAGAGAGAAGAGGATATATGGGGGTTAACATGATGTGAAGAACGATTTTGGATTGTTTAAAGATGAAGTATTAGTTTTGTATTAGTAGTAATATAATTTCATTATATATATATATATATATATATATATATATTAAAAATCTGTGTTCTATATCCACAGTATTCGTATAGGAGTCGTATAAAAATTCAATTGGCGATCTTTTTCGCGTCCTTGAATTGAAAAAAAGAAAAAAATTCATCGCCGTGTTGACAAAAATGGCAGCCAAAACAATTCAAGGAAAAGCACAAGCGTATCACGCAACCGATTCAAACAAACTCCCATGATATACCAAGCTTCAGTGACTGCACCAGTCAACATTGCCGTATGTAATAAATCCAATAGTCTAAGCGACTCCAGTTTTTACTAACTCACTTTTTCAGACTCTTAAATATTGGGGCAAGCGTGACAAAGACTTGAACTTACCCACCAACTCATCCATTTCGGTAACTTTATCACAAAATGATTTACGTACTTTAACTACGGCTTCAACGTCTCCTGATTTCGCTACTGATCAATTATGGCTCAATGGTAAAATTGAATCTTTAGATACACCACGCACGCAAGCGTGTCTTTATGATTTACGTCAATTGCGTCAACAAATGGAATCCAAAGATGATACATTACCGAAATTGTCCCAATACAAATTACACATTGTTTCCGAGAATAATTTCCCCACTGCTGCTGGATTAGCTTCTTCAGCTGCTGGATTTGCCGCGTTGATTAGTGCCATTGCTCAATTGTACAATTTGCCCACTTCATGGTCCGACTTGAGTAAAATTGCTCGTAAGGGGTCGGGATCTGCATGTAGGTCATTGTTTGGGGGTTTTGTTGCTTGGGAAATGGGCACTTTGGCCAATGGTGAAGATTCACAAGCGGTTGAAGTTGCGCCATTATCGCATTGGCCTAGTTTAAAAGCGGCAATATTGGTGGTGTCTGATGATAAAAAGGATACACCAAGTACATCAGGTATGCAATTGACTGTGCGCACGTCAGAGTTGTTTAAATATAGAGTGGAAAATGTTGTTCCTCGTCGATTTGACCAAATGAAACAAGCAATCTTGGAAAAAGATTTCCCTCAGTTTGCCAATTTGACCATGCAGGATTCAAATCAATTCCATGCTGTTTGTTTAGACTCGTGGCCTCCGATTTTTTATTTAAATGACACGAGTAAGCGTATTATTAAATTGGTGGAGAAATTGAATCATGATGCACAAAAGACAATTGCTGCGTACACGTTTGATGCTGGTCCTAATGCCGTTATTTATTATGATGAAGCTAATGAGTCCCAAGTGTTGCTGGCATTGTATAAACACTATGGACACGTTGATGGATGGAAGGGAGCAAAGGAGGAGTATGGATCATCCGGCGAAGTAGACAAGTGGAGTGGTGTTTCGAGAGTGATTTTAACTTCCATTGGTGTTGGTCCTCAAGTAACTTCTGAATCATTAATTAATGAAGCAGGATTACCTAAGAATGCCGAGTAATGGTAGTGTGTATGGGCATAGATAACTGGTGAGATAACAAAATATGTAAATTATTTGTTTGATAAAACTATAGAAGGACCACATCGGTACCTGATTTCAATCTATAAAATTAGCGAAATAGAAAAGGGAATGAATATAAATAACCAACGATACTAAAACATAAGCAAAGCTTGAATCCCTCTTTTTCTCTCTATCTAGCTCCCCCCATTTACACAAAATCCAACAAATCTTTCAACAACTTCTCATCTTTATCATCACTATCCAAAAACTTCTTTATATTCAGTTTATAATTACTCAAAACCAGTTGCAAATGATTCACTTGGTCCAGTTTCAATTTCAAATCCTTTTCCATCTTATTCACATTATCTTGCAATGCCATTTGGGCGTGTTTTTTGCGTTGTCTACACTTGGATGCAGCAATTCGATTACGTTCCAATAATCGTTCCTTTTTCCAGGCGGCTGTGCCCATTATGGGTCCATTGTTTGGGTTGTAGATGACTTCATTATTGTAGATTAACAGATGATTGGGTGGGGGGATACCGGCTACTGGTGGTGATATGGGGCGAGATGGAGTGAGTTGTTGTTGTGGATGTGGTGGTGGTGGTGGTGGATGTTGAATCAGTCGTGCTGATTGCGCTGGCGGTGGTAACTGCTGTAGTGGTGGTGGTGGTTGGTGTTGAAGTTGATGCATTGCATGTTGAGGTTGAGGTTGTTGTGCCACAGGTACATGATGCATACCAACTTCTGGACCAGTAAGTTGAGTCGAAGTGGCTGATGTCATATTACTGACGGAGGCAGTAGGGATAGTACTAGCAGACGAGTCATTATCACTAGCAGGTGTTATACTAGTGAAACCATGTTGAGCATCACCAACAAACCCAGTTTGCGAAGGATGATGCTGCTGCTGCTGCTGTTGCTGCTGAGATAGAGGTATTTCCTGCTGTTGTGACGTTGGATCACCTGGCTTGTTTAATTCATAGTCATTAAATCGTTGAGTAAAATCATCATCTAAAGAACTAAACTCATCAGTATCAAAAAATGCTTCATGATTCATAATTTGACCAATTTGACCATTAGATATAGAAATTCTTCTTCTTCTGGGTACACCATCGATGGAATACGGCAACATAAGTGTAGAATCAAAAATTGGTGGGTTAGTGATGGGGTACGAATTGAAATCAAATGGATTATGTGGTGGTAAGTTTAAATAGGAATGATTATGACTCTTTTGTTGTGATTGTAGCGGTGGCCTTTGCTGTGATATTGATTTGTCAGTTGATTGTGGTTCTTGTTTGATATTCACCACATCTTGCATATCCTGAGAGGATATATCGTGGGAATTACTATGGTGGTGGTGATGTAGAGATTGTTGTTTCTGTTGCGCTTGTTGCTGCTGATACCTAGCGTTAATAGCTTGGGCTTGTGCTTGTTGGAATTGTTGGTGCTGTATCTGCTGCGAAGTTTGGTTATGGCTCAAGTTGAAGGTAGACATGTCAGAAGCTACGTCAGTTGTTGATAACTCGGGAAATGGAACCTGTACTTGCTGCTGCTGCTGCTGCTGTTGTTGTTGTTGTTGTTGTTGTTGTTGTTGCTGCTGAGCAAGGGGTATATTTTGATGAAGATTAGGCTGTTGGGATGGGGGTACTACACCTTCAGGTGCCATTCCCTGAGCATGTGGGTCAAAGGCCATAGTATAATTTGTCAGCATGATGGTGTATAAAGAGAGTTGACAATGTAGTGTGGTAGGATGTATTGATACCTCTAAGCTGCTTTCCTCTGTATTGATGTGTGTTTTGATATCAAGTAGTTGTTACTGAATACAGATGGTAAATTGAAAACTAGTAATAACAACTTTTTGTGTTGTTGTAAAAAAAAAAAAAAATTTGATAGTAGTAGGGTGATATGTAACACTCTTTTACTTATGAAACAGACGTAGTGATGTAAGTTCCTCGAAGATATGTAGTAATGACAAATGATATATACTGTTTTGTTGAGTTTTGTTTGTTGAAAAAAGGTCTAGCTCTTGTTGTTCCTTTTACCAATTTCCTTCTTGTTGTCTTTTGCTCTGTTTCCCTCTCCCTCTCTCTCTCTCTTTTCTCTTCCCTTTTATTCCTTTTTCCTTTTTCCTTTTTTCATTTCTTTTCTTTTCTTTTCTTTTTTGTCTGTCTGTCTGTATGTATGTCGGTTCCGTTCTCCTATTTCTTTTGTGTCTGTGTGTGGCGTGGTTATATTAAAACAACAGCTTAAACAGTTTTTGCTATAGGGATTTTAGATGCATTATAATATAATTTGGAAATTCCATTATATAACGTGTAGAAAATATGCTTTTCCAGAAGAATACAACCAAGCTAATGCTATCATCCACTCCCTTGCAAATGTTAGACGGAAGAACGTGTGTGTACGTGTGTGTGTGTGTGTGGTGTCCTAATATAAAAATTAAAATTAGAAATTAATTGCGTGTGTTAACCGAAATGCGAAATCCGTTAACCATTTTTTTCCTTTGTGCATTAAAAAATCTGACGATAATTGAATTGCATCTTTTAATGAAATGAAAGGCTTTAGGCAAATGTATGTACATCGATCATAGATGCAATGTACTTAGCATAGAACTATGTATGTCTTTGAGATGTCTGCCTTTGTCAAAATGATTATTATCAAAGCACTTACTACCTAAAGTAATACACTAAAAATGATAAATAATTCTGTTTTACTGTAACATCGAGTCAACCCCACTCGTCATTTTTATTTTTACTAAACGTCAACTTTTTAGCCTATTAGAGGTCAATAGTACATACTAACAGTGGGCCATACTATCTTTGATGACCACTTGCTATACAACATACCAATTTTAATGATCACTGGTCCAAATAGTATACCTTCATAACCCGATCACCAACTTCCGTAATCTAATTCTTAGCATCTTCTGCATGAGACTTTATGGCAATGTCTCACATATTAAAAGAAACTTTTCGTATCTTTATAGGTTGTAGATAATAAGGTGGGGACTGCTATGTATCAAGAGTTAAATCTTCAAATCTTTGGTCTTGGTCAGTCTGTTGAGTTCAGTTCTATTGTAGAGTTCAAGAGGCTAAAGGTTGACTACATGTGTAATTTGATCACCATGGTGATGTTCTATGTGGTACATATCATACATTACCAACCTACAATTGAAAATGGCCATTGGCTGCCGTTTTCAGTTAGTTAAATACGCCCTACCACTACGAAGTTCACTTCAAATAAGGAGCTTCAAAGCACATCAAGTAAATTACAAGAGTTGTATTAACCTCTACTAGTATGATAGAATGACAGTGAGCTGGCTTTTTCATTCACTTGATACCTTCTCCAGTACCTCCTCTTTAAATGACGGGGAAATTTTGTGAAAGAAAAATTTTTGCAACCAAAGGTGTTGCCAATGGTAAACTTGACAATAGGGCTAGCACTTGTCATACTCAGCATCAAAAGAAAAACAGGACAAGACATAGATGGTGAGTTGAGACCTATGCTCTCTCAATCTAGCCAATTTAACTAACACTTTATCAAGCAATTATCAACAGACTTGAAGATTCAATTGACCCCAGAATAAAGGATTTACTAAAAGAGTTTGGTGTTGATTACTACAGTTACCAAATGGGAAACCTAACAAGGACCCGCACCTCATCTTACATGAAGATAATAAAATACTTTTTATTCAATAGATCGTCTAAATACCATGATCAATTGATATGCAAATTTCTAAATCGACTCAAACACCGCAAACTCAGCAAACCACTTCAAAGTAACATTATCCAATGCTTGGAAATTATAGATGGTACATCAAACAATACCCACCTATCTTACTTTTATCATTTCTTATTAAAATGTCCCATTCACCAATTGATACCATTTTGTTTATCAAACATCTACAGCTTATTGGATAAGCTGTCCTTTGCTAATAAAACTGTGAGGAATATAATAACATCACACCAAATCACCCCCTTGAAACTACACGTCCACCATCACAAACGCAAATTCATCCTCTTTTTCATTTCAATTTTGTTGCATCGCAAACATTCATCGCCTGTGTTCAAAGCGTTATTGATAATGTGCAACGACCCATTCATTTCACATATTTCCATGAATTCTTGTTGAATACATAATTGGCTCCACTAAGTAATGTTGTGGCACCAACAATCAATCCTAACCCCTCAAAAGCAGTGTCACTGACAATACTTTCCAATAGTGGCCTATATACCAAGCTTCCGATATAAAGCATCTGTAATGCCGTGTTTAATTTGCCTAAAAAGTTTGGATGTACACTAATTGTTGGGTATTGGCCAATGCTGACAAACTTGTTTAATGTCTTGGGTGGAGTCAAGCTTTTATATCGGTAATAAAACGACATGAAACTAAGCATAATGTCACGCCCAATTATAATAGATGCGAGTAACGGTGGAATTGAATGCACATATGCTAATGATAATGTACATACAGTCATGAGGAATTTATCCGCCAAAGGGTCCACTATTGACCCTACTACCGATTTCATATTGAATCTTCTCGCTATATATCCATCAATGAAATCTGTTACGCAGGAATAAGTGAACAACAGTAGGGCAGTCATAGGACTTCCATAAATGATGTGGTACCCAATGAAAGGAGTAGCGATAATTCTTGTGTAGGTTAATACATTTGGTATCGTCCACACTGATGGATCAAATAATGACTTGGATATTGTCTTGCTAGGTTGTGTTGAATTGAACCGGAGACTCCTAAGTGGTAAGGTAGGAAAAACCTTTGGTAAGCATGGTGGACGTAACTTGAATAGGTTTGGAGTTATGCTTCTTTTAGCTAAAAGATGAACAAGCATTTGATGGGTAATCTTCTCTAGTCAAACAAATGGGGGGGATTTTCGCTTGTTGTTTTTTTTTTCAGCAAAATTTCATATCGCAAAGCTGGATAGAACGCATTGGCAGCATTGTGCTGTAGCCATATTCATAAAAGTAGGTTGTCTATCTTGGTAGACTAGTGAATGGCACATTCTATAATAGAATAATATGACATAGTAGAGTTGTATATCTACATTAGTGAGGTTATATACTTCTAACAAATGTATAATCTTTTTGCATAACACACCTGCATATTAATCATCTTTTGTTAAAACTCTAAATTGCAATTTTTTTTCTTTCTTCTTCTTCTTCTTCTTTAAGCTTCCACATTGAATCACCCACCATCCATCACTAGATTCACACCACACCCCAAACCATGTCATTAAAATTACCACAAGCACCCAACTCGGGCTTATTCAAGAAAGGATACTCCTCTTACTCGAATGAAGATGGAGCAATTACCAGAAATGTTGAAGCTGTTCGTGAAATCGCGTCCATTTTACAAACATCAATGGGTCCTAGTGGGAGAAACAAAATTATTGTCAATAAGCTTGGTAGAAAATTTATAACCAATGATGCAGCCACTATGATTAATGAGTTGGAGATTGTTCACCCTGTAGTGAAGATCTTGATCATGGCTTCAAAACAACAAGAATTTGAAATGGGTGATAATACCAATCTTGTCATCATCTTGGCAGGGGAATTTTTAAATGTTGCTGAAAAATTGTTGTTGTTGGGATTGAATGTTTCGGAAATCATCCAAGGTTTCAATTTGGCCAATAAGTTTGTTATGGAGACATTGGACAAGTTGGTGGTTGATAAAGTTGAATCATTTGAAACTGACTTGATCAAGGCAGTAAAACCGGTTATTTCGGCAAAACAATACGGTGTTGAAGACATAATTTCTAAGTTGGTGGTTAAAGCAGTACAATCAGTAGTCAATCCTAAAAATCCGGCTAATTTCAATGTCGATGGGATTAGAGTTGTCAAAATAATGGGTTCAACGTTATCGCAGTCGGAAGTCGTTAAAGGTATGGTTTTCCCAAGAGAACCAGAGGGATCAGTTAAAAACATCAAGGAGTCCAAAGTCGTTGTCTTCACTTGTCCAATTGATATATCAACTACTGAGACTAAAGGAACGGTGTTGTTGCATAATGCTCAAGAAATGCTTGATTTCACTAAAGGTGAAGAACAGCAATTGGATCAAATGTGTAAAGAGATTAATGATTCCGGTGTCAAAGTTGTTGTTGCTGGATCGAATGTCGGTGAATTGGCTTTACATTATTTAAACAAATATGGTATTTTGGTTTTACGTGTTCCATCGAAATTTGATTTAAGAAGAATTTGTCAAGTATGTGGAGCTACTCCATTACCAAGATTAGGTGCACCAACACCCGATGAAATGGGTGAGATTGATGTTATTGAGACAAAGGAAATTGGTGGTGATAGAGTAACCATTTTCAGACAAGATGAATCGAGTTCAAGAACAGCCACTATTGTTGTAAGAGGCGCTACGCAAAACAGTTTAGACGATGTTGAAAGAGCCATTGATGATGGTGTAAGCTCGATTAAAGGTTTGCTTAAAGATAACAGGCTATTGCCTGGTGCCGGTGCCGTTGAAATTGAATTATCAAAACGCATTACTCAATATGGTGAAACTACTCCCGGGTTAAACCAATTGGCTATAAAGTCATTTGCTAAAGCTTTTGAAGTTATACCTCGAATTCTTGCCGAAACTTCTGGGTTTGATTCAACTGAAGTGATTAGTAAATTATATGCTGCCCATGCTGATGATAACAAAGATGGATTAAAACTAGGATTGGATATTGATTCTGGTGAAGTTGAAGCTACTGGAGTCTTGGATGCATTGGCTACCAAGAAGTCAGCAATTGATTTGGCAGTTGAGGCCACAAATACAATCTTGTCGATTGATCAAATAATCATGGCTAAGAGAGCTGGTGGTCCAGTTATGCCACAACAACCAAGGCCCGGTAATTGGGATCAGGATGATTGAGAAGGGATATAATCTTACATGTCGTGTTTATATAAATTATTATACCTCTATCTTGCTAAAGACTCTTTCCACCAGCAATGAATCTGATAATCTTGGTCAAATCTTTATCTCCATCCGTTTCGACACCGCCACTAACATCATATCCTATAATATTCCTGACTTTTTTTGTATCGCGAATATTATCAGGATTCAACCCACCAGCTAAAAGTGCTCTCGTAAATGACAAGTTCTCACTAATATAATCCCAATCAATCACTTTACCTTCGCCACCTTGTGCCGAATCCAACAATGGTAAACTCAAAACCCCGCGTTTCATCAACTCTTCACCATCTTCGCGTAACTGCTCCGTGTCTTGAGGCACGACATATCGCAAAATGAACCCAAATTCATCATCATTAACAAAATCGAGTTTGGTTTCTTCACCATGTAACTGAATGAAATCTAATCCGATTTCTCTCGCCAATTTGAAAACATCCTCCCGTGATTGATTTTGGAAAACTCCGACTAAGAATGGCCCATTATCCAAAATCAACTTCTGTACAAACTCGAAATACTCGATGGGAGATTGGAACTTGTGGCGGTTATCGCGTAGCTGTGCCTGCATTTGTTTTATCGATTGTGGACGACCACGTTTGACAAATTGGGCAATTTGTTTTGCCGTTGATATGTCTATGGTGCGCTTCTTGTTGGGTACGAGGATGCATCCGACTAGGTCTGTGCCGTTGAGGATTGCAGTTTCTGCTGCTTCAAGAGTTTTGACTCCACAGATCTTGACTAGTTGCATCGTGTGAATGAAGATAAGGAGAAGTTGGGTATAGAATTGGTTTCCTTTTGGGGAAAATTTTTCGAATATTTTTCAGTTGAGTCAGAAAAATGCGGAGGCAGATTTAAAAAGTGCAAACCTTGGTAAGAAGAATTACTCGTTTAGGATACGTTGTGTAATTAATAATATAAGTACATATACGGGAAGCTAGGCAGACAAGGGAAGTCGCTCTCCCATATGGCCACTTTGACTGCATCAACATATATATATATATATATATATCCTCCCCTTCACCGTTCCTCTTTTCTAAAAAATTTACCAAAATTACTTCTAAAGTTTTCATTAAACTTGCTTACATGCGTCTCACCCGTCAAGGCCAACTCTCTGATATTTTTCTCAAACTGGTTCATTCTTGGTAGTAATTTGGGTGATTTAATATCGGGTGATGATAATTTCCCACTATTTTGATTGGTACGTCCACCACTTAATGAAGGGGCAGTGGCACTCACTGGCGTCGATGACGCTGATAAGTTATCCATATCGTCTTCTAAGTTCGTCAACAAGTGATTAATTTGATGAGAGGAGGAGACTGCGGCAGAAGATTCATTCGCTTCATCATCATTGTCAATGGATAATTGTAGTTTATAATTCTCAACATACTTGTACTGTCTTGATTTATCAATTTTGGCCAAGTTTAAAATCTTGGTGAAATTAGCAATTGATCTACCACCAATTAATTCAAAATATGACTCAATAAAGTTTTCCACTGGCATATTTTGCGGAACCATCAAAATCTTCAATATTGATTCCAATTCATGGAAATGATTATTAACGAATTTGGTATAGGATTTAGTCGTTTCTTTTTCGGCCAAATGCGGGAAATTCAAACATATATCCTTGAGCGAGATAACGTCAAGTAATAGTTGTTCCAATCCATTTGTCGTTAATGGTTTAATAAATTTCAAATTGTTGGCAATTGTCGTCACTAGCAACTCCACCAATTTATCATTGAAATTACGCACATAGCTTTCTCTAATGATCAACGGAAGAATCAATTTTAAATTATCATTGGTGATATTTTTAATATCAATCATGTACGATGATACATCATTCACTGAATCTAATTCTTGCCAATTGATATTGAAAAATTCGCGCCAACACGGTTTGTAGTCATTAGTCAATTTCACCAAGAGGGCGGAAATGCTCTTATTGACAAGTTGAAGAAACACGTCGCTGTTTAATGATGGTAATCGATCTTTCAACTCTTCCAAAACAACAAGTTCTAATTTTTCATTCAATTCATCAATGTTTCCCACCATATAATCACCGGTATTGAGCAATAGTGTAAGGTACTTGATTGCATCCACCCCAGCAATATCATCATCGTTGCGAGGAAGCATGGGTATTAATATTCTATTGAGATATTCAAACAAGTACTTATTAAACAACCGCGCCAAACTCAACACTATTTCCCCATTACTTAGTTTTAAAATTTGCGATAAGAGCTTATGATAGATTTTAAATAAGTCAGTCGATGTAATGGCGATATTGGGGATGTTTGCTGTGATGTCTTTCGCCAATTCCGGTGGTAGTTGTGATGTAGCTGTGAATTCTAAAAATTTGGCACTCAACGTCTTGTCTTGTTCTTGTACCCAGATCGATAAATAAGGTTCAAATACTGATGATATATTGAATTCAACGTCTCGAGGGAAATCAGAGTTTAATTTCTTTTCAAATTCAATAGTCTTGGTCAAATTGTCGAGCAACGTTGCAGAGTCAATTTTCTTATTCTGCAAAGTACTTGACAAATCTTGTTCGGTGATTTTACAAAACTCATCAATGATGTCCATCGTGACATTCCAGTCTTGAGGGAAAATGGCATATTGTTTCACTTGATCTAATATTTTGTTGAAATAAATAAACCTCCTACCCAAATTCTCAATTGACCCGGCTTCATCAGACTGACTGAATATATTTTTCAAATCTCGTAGTTGTAAATTGTGAAACCAGTTGAGCAATTTGGTCTTGTTTTTCTCATCAATCATTTCCAATGTCATTGCTCCATACAATAAATTCTGTTCCAGTTTCAAGTTAGCTCCACCTCCCCCATCACGCTTCAAAAATTCTTCAAAATCTAAAAAGATATCGTCAACAAGTTTATTCTGCGTGAATATCGTCATTAGATTTATCTCATTAATCAAATCAATTGATTTATATGGTTGGAAAAATTGTAGTAGTTCCTTCATTACTCCCAACCTTTGATATATTTCCTCATAATTACGCGATGCAAGTATATCCTTTAAGCCATTATTTACATTAACCAACATTTGTAACCGCTTAAACACCGTCATTGATAAGACAAGGTTCTTCTTACAGGAATCGAGCTTTTGAATCGAGCTTGTCATGGATCCAATTGTCGACTTTGTTGCTGTTGCATTATCTTTGACTTCTCTAATATTAGTGACTAGCTTGCGTATATCGCCTTCTACCTCTGTGCTTGAGTCATACTGTGATTTCAAGGTATCAATCTCGTGATTTAGTTGTAGTTTGTATTGATGTATATGGGATAAAGCTTGAGGCAAGTGGTTTAAAGTCTCGGGCGTGTCAAAGATATCATTAATGTGGGTCACTGGGTTGTAATCGTACACGTCCATTGTCAATCAAAAAACAAAAAAGGGAGTTAGACTGATCCTTATTGGTAGTGATGCACCGAGTGGTTGCAATAATATACAGAGTCTTTTGATTGAAACTTTTGGTTTACACTTTTGTTGGTTTGAAACTCATTGTCGCAAAATTGAAAAAATCTGAAAAAAAAACAGAGGCAAAGAAAATATGTCACTAGTGACGCAAATATTTCTCGACATGGATAATGCGACACTGTAACGGAAAGAACCAAAACAGAAATTTTCTTCCTCGCTATCCGCATTGAAGAGGGGTATAGTGGGGTAATCTATTTTCCAACTTTCCTTGCGCCTCCACTACAATTCACTCAGAGGTGAGGTTCTACTATGCGTATTTCCCGCAGCATAAGAGCTAGATCGTGTGACCTCTGTAAATTTTCGACATTTTATATTCTCCTCGATTTGCAATGGTTATGAAGCAAATTATCTACAATAATTAAACAAGACTAGACAATACTGGGGGTAAGGTGACATTGATAGCAGCTACACATAACTCAACTTTTTGTGACTTACCGATGGGTCTACTTCTCTAAGCATTAAAACGTTATATTGCGTTGATTCAATGAGATTGCCCGACAATCATTAAATGATGTGGAAGAATTGCACTTTCCTAAAATGGTAATTTCTCCTGTTTATGCATTTGCTATTTTGTGTGCGTCATGTAAAGTTTAGACGACAATTTGCGATTATTTGCGACATTTATTTTTCACAACGCAGTGCTCAGCATAGCATTGAGAAGATACCCTTTGAGACTAGACTAGACTAGACTAGAGCTAAATCGATTGAGAGCTAGTGATTTAAAGCAGCATGTTGAGCACTCATGAGTACTCAACATCAGTAAACACTAGCGACTGTTATCTAACTTCAAAATTGCGAGAACTCGCTTAATAGGTTTCAGTTTTTCAATTGTGTAGTTTGTTACAACCATTGTACTAGCTGCAATGACACTAACTTGTACATCAATAACCTTCGTTTTGCAGCCCTTCCTTATGTCGCACTTGAACCTCAGTATTACTTTGCCAATTGCATATACTAGTTGATTGTTGTTCAGATCTGTTTGGTTTCATTTTGTGTAATATGTTTCGTATAAAGTTTAAGAAATTACCCAGTTAGGAAAGACCTTCACAGAAAGTACAACGACACAAAACGCAATTTCCAATGAAGAAAAAGGTGCAAAACAGTTGTATAAACCTTTGTAGTTGAATTGGCCTGCACCCTCGGTAATATGCCCCGGCTCTGTGGTGAGTACATCTTGAAGAAGTAAGCTTTCAGTGGGGGCGGGGGAGAATCAATCGACCGACATATGAGCGTCTTCAAAGACGAGACGAGGTAACCAAAGACAACGTGAACGAAAACATTTAACAAGCAGGTCCGCTAACAATACTACTGAAAGTAGTTCTGATTTGATTGCAAATTAAGCTTTCCCACACTTTGAACGAGTCAATTGTATTGAAAGATTAAAAGCAAGAGAGAAAGAAGAAAAAAAAAAAAGAAAGAAGAATTCCCCTGAAATTGCCTCTTTTGGACTTCACGTCAAGCGCAATGAATTAGCTACCTCGTTTTCAACTCAAAGGTTGGACCAAAAATAGTAAGAATATAAACAACTCAGAGGTACTTCTTCAAACAATGTAAATGTAACCTCTTCACAACTCAATTAGGGAAATAAAACGGATTGAATGCCAGAATGAGAATGATAATAACAAATGGCAATTGACAATTGGCAATTGACAAATGACAACAAAAGAATCACATGCCACAAAACTAAAAAGTAAAAATTAAAATAAAAATTAAAATAAAAATTACTACTTTTGTTAATAAAATGTCGTTATAGACTCATATTAAACAATGCAAAATGTCTGACATAAATGTCGTAGAACATCCATTTTCTCCAATTTGGGGACCCACAACAATAACAACCAATGCAAAACACAATGTACAAAATGCCGATATATAAAATACTAGCAAATTGTCCCCCCTTTGCTCTTCTTTCCTTTTGAAAACCGTATCAACAAGACACTGCCACTCACCCCCACACCTCAACACATCTTCATTTCCCTTTCTTAAAAGTTGCAATTACATTCCCCTTGGGCAAACAAAAAAGAGTTTTTATAACACAGAATCAATAAATTCAAATTACCTGATTTAGAAGATTTCCCCAAAAATTCTTTTGAACTTTTTCATTCTTCTTGTTTCTATTATTAAACGCCCAAAAGGAAAGTTTTGTTCAATAACTTTGTACAATTACATTCAAATCAACAACATACACAAGAGCAGAATCTTTACATATATATATATATATATATATATATTAATTGAATCACGCCCTCCCTACTTGTGCTAGCTAATCCCAAATGAAAAGATTCAGATTTGGAAGAAAGAATAGTACTGCTAATTCCACCACTTCCTCAACCAAGAATTCTCCTAGAAAAGAAAAAGTCAGAAGCAGCCGTACTTCGAAATCATCAGCATCATTTCAAGCGCCCAATTCGCCCCCTCGTTCACCACTACAAGACAAAGGATACCACACTTTTGGTGCAGACGACTTGAATAGTAACGATCACCACTCATACTCACAACAACGCCACGGAAGTACAGCAACAGGAGGAGCCATGCCACTGGCACAAGATCATCATAGTTATACCCTGGAGCCATTTGGCATTACCACCGATCCATCAACAGTTCCTTACAAATCTCGTGCTCCACCACATTTAAATGTAAGCAACCCCTGGAATAGATTCAAGATTTTCGATTCACCTTTCCCAAGGTACAGGCATGCAGCTTCTGCTATATCGAGCGATAAAAATGAAGTGTTTATTATGGGTGGATTGAAGGATGGTTCTGTTTTTGGTGATACTTGGAGAATTATTCCTCATGAAAGTCATGAGGGGGAAGTTTTGAATTATTCGGCAGAAAATATCGAGGTCAGCAATAACAACAACCCACCAGCAAGAGTTGGCCATTCGTCTGTTTTGTGTGGTAATGCCTTTATCATTTATGGTGGAGACACTGTTGAAACAGATGAAAATGGGTTTCCTGACAACAACTTTTATTTGTTTAATATCAATAATCACAAGTACACCATCCCTAGTCATATCAAGAACAAGCCAAATGGTAGGTATGGCCATACAATCGGAGTTGTCGCGGTTGGCAACTCGTCAAGGCTTTACTTGTTTGGAGGCCAATTGGAAAATGATGTGTTTAATGATATGTATTATTTTGAGTTGAACTCATTTAAATCATCAAAAGCTAGTTGGAAAGTTGTTGATGCTTTAAACAATTTCAAACCTCCGCCATTAACCAACCACTCAATGTCGGTATACAAGGAAAAAATCTACGTCTTTGGTGGTGTTTACAATAACGAAAAAGTGTCGAATGATTTATGGGAATTTGATGCTAAAGAAGAAAGGTGGCAACAAATTCAAACCAGCGGTACTACACCATTGCCAGTCAATGAACATTCAGCTTGTGTTGTTGATGACAGATTGTACATCTACGGTGGTAATGACTTTAGCGGTGTCATCTACAGTAGTCTTTATGTATTGGACTTGAAAACATTCACGTGGTACAAATTATTGGAAAGTGCCGAAGAGAATGGACCTGGTCCAAGATGTGGACACTCAATGACTTATTTGCCTAAATTCAACAAGTTGATCATTATGGGTGGGGACAAGAACGATTATATTGTAGCCGACCCCCAAAATTTTGACACCTATGAGGCTTTTGATGGTGCTGAAGTTGGAACCATGGTTTATGAGTTAGACGTCAGCATTGTCGACCAGTTCATTTCTGAGCCTGTTGAAAGAGCAAGAAAACCAAGAAAAGCTGCCGCTTCAGCTTCCGCTGCTGCTGCTGCTTCTTCCACTGATGGATTTGACCGCCATTCTAGAACTACATCAGCTGGCCCTGAAGATTATGCCACTCCGCGTGCTTCACCACCACCGCCAGATCGTTCAAACTTGAATAGAGGGTTATCTACAAACACAATGTCCCGTCATGCCGACTTTGTTGATGTTGAAACTCCTTCAGGAACTATTTCACAAGTTGACCCAGAAGATGAACACCACTTGAATCCATATGATGCTATTGATCGTGAAACTAATGAACCACAAATTGGTGAGCCGGTGAATAATGGACACTTGGACAAAGCACATCATCACGGAGTGGAGGATGCTACTACTACAACTACTGATGATGATGACGATGATGACGATGATGCCGAAGCAGTATACTTGAAGAGAAGATCTCTTGATCCTAAATTCAACCATGAAAATGAAGACGTTGTCACAAATGGTGTTTCTGGTGCCGGTGTAGCTGCTGCATTTGCCGCAGCTGGTGCTGCCGGAAAGTCTGCTGGGCACGCCTCAGTCTTGAAGAGAACCTTAGGTGAACCAGAAGATGACGATGATGACACAATTGACGAAAGATCAAGAAATAGGAGATCAAGTGTGGCAGATAAATCATATGGTCTGACATCGCACTATCCTGATATTACTAGTGATCATGAGACATCATCCTATAGTCACGGCAGGAGCTATGTCTATGATGACGAACACAATGAGGAGAAGGATGATGTGGTCGAGCCAATTACCACCAACAGAAACATTCGCGCCACCACATCTTCTTCCTCAAATGACAGAAGATTGAATCAAATCATTGAAGAGTTGAGAAACGAATTGGACCAAGTCAAGTCATCAACTAATCAGCAATTGCAAACCGCCACTGAAAAGATTGATTCACTCCAGCAACAAAATGCTCAATTGCAATCATCGCACAAAAATGACACTGATGTCTATACTCGTCAACTCAATGATAAAGATGCCATGATTAATGAGTTGAAGCTGAGTCTTGATCCAAGCGCATGGGATCCCGAGCAACCACAAACGACAACCAACTTGTCTGAATTGAGTCGTTACAAGTTGGAAAGGTTGGAATTGAACAATAAATTGCTTTATTTAGGGCAGGAGAATCGTAAGTTGCACGATCAATTTACCGAATTTGAACCATTTATGAATAATCAAATCGGCGAATTGGCCAAGTTCCAAAAAGTTATTAAAGTTCAAGAAGAACAAATTGATAAATTGAGTAACCAAGTTAAGGATCAGGAAGGTTTACATAAGGAAATTAATGATTGGAGATCGAGATTTGATAATTTGAGCTTGGAATTTGAAAATTACAAGGCTATTCATAACGATGATGAAATTGAAGTTGGTGATGATGAAGCAGATACATCATTTACTGGCGGCTCCGTAGCTGGTGATAACCGATCAATTTTAAGTTCGGCAAGAACGAGAAGAGACATTTCGACGCAATTGGAAAACTTGGTCAATTTATGGAACATCAAACAACCATCAGCCCGTGAAGTGTCACCACTGGCTACGCCTGATAATAACCCAGTAGTAGCCAAGTTACAACAACAAGTTGATGATTTGTTGCGCATTAGTAAGCAAAATGACGAAGTTAGTAATAATGAGATTTCGACCTTGCGTCAAGAATTGCAAGCACGTATAGCCAATTTGAAGAACTTGGAAGACAATTATCGTGAATCATTGCAATCGGTCAATAACACATCGAAAGCCTTGAAGTTGAATCAAGAAGAATTGAATAATCAACGTAACTTTGTGGATAAGTTGATTAAAGAGAATAATGAATTGAAGATGTTCAAATCGGCACATTTCAAGAAATCGGGTGGATCATCTACACCAGTGCTTGATGATGCATTTGCTGATGCTCATGAGTCTGTTAATGATGTTGAGGACGATGAAGGTGTTATTAGCAATGCTCATTTCAATATGAAGATTAAGGATTTAGAAGCCGATTTGTACATTATCAAACAAGAAAGAGATCAATTGAAAGATAACGTCACGGCATTGCAGAAACAATTGTACTTGGCTCAAAACAATTGAGGAAGAAACATTACTGATGTTATTGCTGTTGATCCAGAAGAAAGAGGAAACCTGCTCCCCAAGACATATCCACATACGTGTATCTCATATAGCACTGTATGAAAATGGGGTGCCTTTTCTAATAAAATTGAGACGATGATTTGATATATTTATATACTTTGTTGTTTTTGTATACCCCCAAAACCCACCCACACACACATACACACACATTTCCTTAATGGATGATTTTTCGAATTTGTATAATTTTATAGTTTAATATTGAAAAGAAAAAAAGAAAAGAAGGAGAAGTTATTTGGTTTTCAAAGGGACTCTTATCGAAGATTATCTAGATGTAGTCTGTCTGTTCTCATTAAAAGTCTGATATAAATACAATATACATTGTTCAAATTTTCAACGTAATGTTCTACAATTTTGGTAGTGATGCTACACTTATTCACCGGGTCGTGATTCTGGTGTTTGTTGACTCTGCTGTATCTGGCGCGTTTGTTGTTGTTGTTGTTGTTGCAGCGGTGCATCCAGTGCTTGTGAAAGCAATCGATCATGCTCAGCATCCAGATACCCCGGCACATGATCAAGTACTTCGTCATTGAATAACTGGTTGGCTAATGAATTCGACGCATTGCGCGATAACCCAAAGTGATCGTCATGCAAACCATCACCGCTATTATTGCTATTGTTATTTGTGACGCTTCTGTTGTTGGTGGTGTTGCTTTGGGAAATCTGTGATTGTGGTGGCGCTGGTTGATGATAGGTGAAAAAATTGATCTGGGGCTGTTCATTATGATCGTGTCGAGGTTGTGGTGGTACTTGATTGTTACTTTCTCCAGGATTGACAACTTGATATTGTTGACGTTGATGAGTAGGTACTTGGGTTTGGCGTTCTTCCGAATTACTTTGTGTCTGCTGCTCTTCATTTTCAATTTCTGCCTCGTTCCCATCATTATCATTATCATCATCTTGGTCCAAATCTGGTGGCGCTGAAGGCAACAAACTACTTTCATGTTGCTGCATTCTTTCCTTTTCAGTTAAGCCTGAATTCTCGTGTAAGTTTTGCATAAACTCACTCAGAATTGTCGTGTGATCTTCATTGTAAAGAGGTGCGTCTCCGACAGCATGAGCATCATCGGCATTGCTTGAGTATGGTGGAGTTTGGAAATGATTCAATTCACTTGATTCGGGTATTGAATTTATAAATGGGTATCGTTGAGGTGAATTTGTTGTTGCCGATGGTGCTGACGATGCTGAGCCACTAGTTGAGTTTGCATTAGAAACAGCAACTGCTTGTGCACCTCCTGGTGCTGATGAAGGAATTGGAGTATGGTTAAAAAAAGATGGCGAATTGCTTGATGCAGTTTGAATTTGTGGTGAAGGATGACTTGATGAAGTGGTATTGAACAATGCCGGTGACAAATTAGAATTGGACAATGGTGACGACGAACGTTGGGATAAATTAGCCATGTGCTCGGGTGATGAAAGAGTTTGCACTTCTTCATCGCTTGGTTGCAGTCGATGAGTTCCGATGCATATTTCAGTGGTCAATTGTAAAAACTTTTTTGATCGCTTGAACCGATCAGTGTTGATAAATGTAGAACGGTCTTTTTGGTTTTGTATGGTAGAATTGAAGTTGAACTGGAAACTTTCAATTGAAGTTGCTGTCTTCAGTTGCGGCTGTTGAATATTGTTGTTGGTATCGGGCAGATGTCGATCAGCCACAAGGTCAGGATCAACATTTACTGATCGCCCAGATAGATTGATGAGGACTTCAATAAAATACTGGAAAGATACCAAGGGACACCCAGTGATTGTAGGGAACGCATCTGGAGGTACTCTTAATGACGTTTTCACTTCGGAATTCAAAGTTACTGGGTCAACATATAATGGCAAGACTGTTTGTTGCAAATCTTTTCTAAAACTCTCCACTACTCCATCAGGGCCATTATCTAGTCGACAAACCCGAACAAATGTTATAATTATTCCATTGAGGTCCTGGATTTTCTTCAAATGGTGTACTGTCAATTTCACTGGTATTGATTCTCCCCGTAGATATCCTCGTTGTGGTACATCCAATATTACTTTAATCGTGGATGGTGGTTTATTGAAGCTTAGCGTCAGTCTATCGTGATGTTGTCCAAGCTCAGCCGAGTTTGCTTGAGACGATTGTTCACCAATGGAGTTTTGTTCCAGGTTGTTGGATGATACGGTACCAAAAGTGTGCACGGTATTTATAGTTGATGTTGATGACTGTGTACGCAGTAGCTTTTTGTCTTTGGTCAAGTTTCCTCTAGGGTCTTTCAATATTAGTCGTTTTGGCTTAGGTCGTGGGAGTGTTGATACATCTATAGGGTTTATTAGGCTTATCAATTTTTCCGACGAATAGGAAGGGTTATGCAGTGACTTCTTTTTCCCTGACGATAGCTCATTGGATGAAGTGGGTAGATTATTAGACAAGTCGGTCGTAAATGATGATGCGTTACCTAATGAGGCCTTTAGCGAGTAGTTTATTGACCCCTTGCCGAAATCAATTGATGTGAATACTTTTTTGTTCGGTAGTTTAACAATAAATGGAAATACATGTTCTCCCTTGTTGAGCCCGTTAGTGAATTCTTCATTATTATTGTTGTCACTACCACTACCACTGCCACCACCACCTATATTGTCATTACCACCGTATATCTTTATGGTGTGATCAAATAGTGTATGTTTAAGCGGCCGAAGTTTGGAATGTGAAGAAGCATTAATTTTGATAAATCCAATCAACGATAAAGTGATCACTATATTTGCCAAGTTCCGTTTCGATATCAATACAATCTGTCCCGACACTTCATCTCCAGGCAACCAAGTCTTGTGAGGGTTATCCAATTGTACATAGAATTCATCAACAGCATGAAAGTCCAACTTGAACGTTGAAGCAAATGATGAAGCACCAAGTTTTGACGTAGAAGTAGAGTTACTACCACTCGGAGAAGGTAGTATCTTCGATACAGCTCTTCTCATTGTCTGTGAGGTCTCTGGGGAAATTCACTAGGCCTTGGCTGTGTCACTTTTTTATTTTTTTATGTCTCTCTCTCTCTCTCTCTCTCTCGGTTTGTTGTGTCTCGTTGATGATAAATTATCCGTGGTTACTTTGCATATGCAAAACAAAAATGTATATATAAAGGCGTGTAAAAGTGCTTTGGTAATGTTACAAGTGTCTGGTTTATCTAAAATGGGGTAGGGGTAAGGTGTGTACTCTATAAATCTAATGTTCTGTCTAGTTAAAGGGTTATATGTGTTGGCTAACTGTGTCGTCAGATTGTCGTTGTTGCGTTTTTTTTTTTGCTGTCTGAAATTTTGGTGATTTATTTTTTGTTAGAGGCTGAGAAATGGGAGGGAGAGAGAGAGAAAGAAAAGTGTCAATAGAGTTAAACGAACTAAATTACAAATTTGACAATAGCTGTAGATGCAGTTGCCAAAGAGGTTTCATTTTACGTCTTCTACCTTGAATGCTGACTACTGCTGAATAGATATTGTTTGTGTTTGTGAAAGTTTGTAAAGGGATCCCCCACTCTCTGTGCATAGAGAGAGAGACAAAAACGGAAAAACAATTTTTAGTGTCTTATTTTCAACCCAATGTCTAAATTTTTAATTTTGCGACAGTATATTTTTATTCGCTTATGCGTAATCAGATAAGATCACACATTATTCATTTGTGTATGTATCTTGTACAAATCATCACTTTAGACTCATTACTCTTTAAATGAAAATAGTTGAATTTGAGGAAGGCATTTTATTGAGTTACGCTAGAAGTGACAACCATCAATAAAAATATCAATCGATTGGTTTATTAAACGTTAGATACCAATTATCTGCATATTAAACTTTTGGATTTTACCCCAGTTGATTCTTTTAACTCGACTTCAATTTGCAGCAATAAGTATATGCATACACTTTGAAATTATTCCTTTTATCTCTGCATCCTCATTTTCTTGTAGCTTTTCCTCTTAATTCGCCAATTTCTCTTGCTTCAGCTTTTGTGCAAAGGACTGGGTCTATCTTTCACTGAACACATCATGTAACTCTTCACTCATCAAACCAGCTTGTCTATCAGTCAGCTTTTTCTTCACTTATTGTACAAGCCCTTTTTTTAGCACGCCCAAGAAATTATACAGCATAAATAATTTCTTGTTCCCATTTTTGCAACCTCTGCCGAGATAAAATAAAAATAAAATAGAAACATTGAGACCACAGGGTGCCAGATGGGGCTACACAACAAGAGAAGTGATATTAGATTACACCTCTATACTGAGTAATAATGTATAATCTCCACATCGACAACGTGTCTCTCAAAATTAATAATGCTTTAATTACTAGTGTACAAAATGTTATGTGTATATATCCATCTATTCACAACCACTTCACTACAACTCCCCTGGAGCTTATCCCATTCTAATCAAAAGTTTTCTTTGTTCCCTTGAATTCGGTTGCTGCCGATTTTCTTGGTGTTCCACTTGGTGTAGCTGATCTTTCTCTACCACCAAATCCACCACGGCCACCGCCACGACCACCACCAAATCCACCGCGGCCACCGCGACCACCACCGAATCCACCACCGCTATTGTTGTTATCTCTTGGTGCTGAGTAATCTAACCTGCATGGTCTTCCCTCCAAGTATTCACCATTCAAAGCTTCCAAAGCAGCCTTAGCTTCATCAACAGTGGAAAATTGCACGTATCCGAATCCTTTAGGTTGTTGAGTATCAGGATGAGTTGGTAATCTGCATGAAATGACATTACCATATTCACCAAAGACTTCAAATAAATTATCTCTATTGGCGTTGAATGACAAGTTACCAATGAATAAAGTATCTGATGGTGGTGATTGTTGGTCACCAAATTGTCTGGCACGGTCATTGTTGGACTTTGATGCATGAGGTTTACCTGTTGACATATCCAAATTGATTGGTCTGCCATCAATTTCTTTACCTTGCATTTCAGTAATGGCCTTTTCAGCAGCTGATTTGGAGGAAAAGTCAACATATCCATAACCTCTCGATTTTCCGGTAGCTTTTTCCATAATTACTCTAGCTCCAATAACACCGTCAAGATGTTCAAATTCTCTCTTTAACCACTCATCGTCAATGTTCCATGATAATCTACCGGCAAAAATAGTGGCTGGCTCTTCATCGGTTGTAGATGATGATTCAGACTTGGCTTTTTTGATTTCTGGAGTAGTTGTTGATTCAACCTCTTCAATCTTACGCTTCTTTGGTGTCTCCTTTACTTCTTCTTCTTCTGAATCAGAGTCGGAATCGGAATCGGAGCTTGAATCAGAATCAGATGATGATGAGCTAGAGCTAGAACTGTCTGAATCAGAATCGGATTCTGAACTCAGGCTTGAAGAGCTTGATGATGAAACTTTCTTGATTTCAACTTTCTCTTTAACATCTTCTTCTTCTTCCTCTTCACTGTCTGAGCTGGAGGATGAGCTAGAATCAGATCTCTTTTCTTTTTTGGTTACCTTGATTTCCTCTTTTACTTCTTCTTCTTCGCTGTCTGAGCTATCAGATGATGATGAAGATGAGGAGGAGGAAGAGCTTGAATCGGATCTCTTCTCCTTTTTAGTGATTTTGATTTCCTCTTTAACTTCTTCCTCTTCATCTGATGAAGATTCGTCACTTGAGGATTCACTTGAACTAGATGATGATGAGCTTGAGCTTGAGCTTGAGTCTGAATCTGAATCTGAATCTGAATCTGAGCTTGAACTTGATGAACTGTCATCATCTTCCTCTTCTTCAGATGAGCTTTCCTCCTTCTTGCTCTTCTTCTTCTCTACCTTCTTGTCACTTTTGGATGGTTTAGCATCTTTTTTGCTAGCAACTTTCTTATCCACCTTCTTATCTTTAACTGACTTAGCCATTGTAAATATATATGATGTATTCTTTTTATTGTATAAAGCCTAAAAAGAGTAGTCAATCAGGTGAAAAAAAAAATAAAAAATATTGTGAGATGGTGATGGAGAGAGATGAGGTGAGGAAGAAAAAAAAAAGAGAAGAGACGAGAAAAAAACAAAAGAAGACTGAATTCTCGTGTGATTATAAGATTCAACTTACTTCCTAATAAGGAAGTCTACATTTTTAGGAATTAAATGATTTTCTTCTGTTTCTTTTTAGCCCCGGTATCGCTGTGATAAAAGAGGGGTTATGCAGTTTTGTACTACGCCGTAAATTTTTCACATTTTTCAACAGTACATAAGAGTCGTAACATTGCCATTAAAATTCACTATTCAACGCCAAACCCTAACTATTTCTTCTTCCACTGTATTCATCTACACCCACTAACACAATATCATACCCAAAAGAGATGATGTTTCAACAGTTTAAGCTCTTTTCTAGAGCCGCATCGCGTATCCCGCCGGTGAAGCTACAGTATAAAAACATGCTAAAAACACCATCTATCAAGTACCCACCACCAAAACAAATCAAACTAGACAATCGTGAATGGCCTAGTAAGGTAGTTACAAAAGCGCCTAGGTGGTTATCAACTGATTTGCGTGACGGCAATCAATCTTTGCCTGATCCTATGTCCATACTGGAAAAGAAGGAATATTTCCATAAATTAATCGATACTGGGTTTAAAGAAATTGAAGTTAGTTTCCCACTGGCTTCGCAAACTGATTTCGATTTCACTAGGTATGCAGTCGAGAATGCACCTGAAGATGTCGCTATTCAAGTCTTGACCCAATCGAGAGAACCATTGGTTAGAAGAACGGTTGAATCGGTCAAGGGCGCTAAAAAAGCCATTATTCATATTTATTTAGCAACCTCGGATGTTTTCCGTGAAGTTGTATTTGGCATGTCGCAAGAAGACGCAATTGCTAAAGCGGTGGAAACAACCAAATTGGTGAAAAGTTTAACTAAAGATGACCCAAACATGAGTGAAACTGAATGGAATTTGGAATTTTCTCCTGAATGTTTTTCCGATACTCCAGTTGAATTTGCCGTTGCCATTTGTGAGGCGGTGAAACAAGAATGGCAGCCAAGTGTCGAACACCCCATGATTTTTAATTTACCAGCCACGGTTGAAGTTGCTGGTCCAAATGTATATGCTGATCAAATTGAATACTTTTGTAAACACATTTCTGAACGTGAGAAAATTGTCGTTTCCGTGCATTGTCATAACGATCGTGGATGTGGTGTTGCTGCTACTGAATTGGGTTTATTAGCTGGTGCCGATCGTGTTGAGGGGTGCATCTTTGGTAATGGTGAACGTACGGGAAATGTTGATTTGATCACGGTTGCTTTAAACTTGTACACGCAAGGGATTTCCCCCAATTTGGACTTTTCCGATTTGCAAAGCTTGATTGATGTTAGTGAGCGTTGCAACAAAATTAAAGTCCCTGAAAGAGCACCATATAGTGGATCACTTGTTGTTTGTGCATTTAGTGGATCGCATCAAGATGCGATAAAGAAGGGGTTCAGCTATAAACGTAATGATGATAAATGGGCTGTTCCTTATTTACCATTGGACCCCAAAGATATTGGCCGGACTTATGAAGCTGTGATTAGAGTTAATTCGCAATCAGGTAAAGGTGGAAGTGCATGGGTTATTTTACGATCATTGGGATTGGATTTACCTAGACAGATGCAAGTTGTATTTTCATCGATTGTTCAAACAAAAGCTGATAAATTGGGCCGTGAGTTACAAATCAATGAAATTGTTGATGTGTTCAACAAGGAGTACCTTGTGCAATCGCCATTGACAATTGTTGATTTTGAAATTACCAAGAGCAAGAACGACAATAGAGAGATGTATGCACAATTGCACAATGGCAAGAATGGACAAGAGGTGACCATCAGAGGTGAAGGTAATGGACCAATCTCTTCCTTTATCGATGGTATTGGTAAAAAGTTTGGTACATTATTTGAAGTTGTCACTTACCAAGAGCATTCCTTGGGCACTGGGTCAGCTTCGAAAGCAGCTACTTATGTTCAATTAAGTTATTTAAATGATGCTAATGAGAAGATTACTAGATGGGGATGTGGAATTAATCATGATGTCAGTCAAGCTTCAATGGATGCTATTTTAAGTGTGGTCAATTCATTGGTTAATGAAGGTAAAATTCAAATTCAAAACTGATATAGCTAGAATTTATAGGTTAAATCGGAGAGAAATGAATAAGCTATATTTATCGTATAGAGGAAAGTTGTGGTGTCTACCAAGATGGACATTGGAAGTCCTATTTGGTAAGACCATTCTTATCTCTTATCGAAAGAAAGATTTCCAGTGTATGTTAGGGCTTAGCCCTATATTGTTCTGCACGTGAATCTCACTAGAAAGGAAAATTATTGTCCTGCATCAGAAAAAAAATATAATAAGTGCGAAGAGAAAAAGTTGTGCGGCCCAGCTCTGGGCTTATTCTCGACCTCATTTCGCCTTCTTCCCGTACCATAATTTTGCTTTTCGCACGAGACAAAAAAGACCGCACACGCAGTAAATTTTCCAAAAAAAACTTCATCACAAAAAAAAAAAAAAAACCAAATTTTCTACAAGCAGTGCGCATACTCACTCACTCTCACTCTCACTCTCACTCTCACTACAAAATTTTTTTTCTTTTTTTTTCCAAAACCTTTTCCAACACTACATACTCCATCAACCCTCACACACCAGTTTAAATTATGTCATCATTCGAACCAGTTGTTGTTATTGATGGTAAAGGCCACTTGTTGGGTCGTTTAGCCTCCATCATCTCCAAACAAATCCTTAACGGACAAAAGATTGTTGTTGTCAGATGTGAAGAATTGAACATTTCTGGTGAATTTTTCAGAAACAAGTTGAAGTACCATGACTACTTGAGAAAAGCCACCAGATACAACAAGACCAAGGGTCCATTCCACTTCAGAGCTCCATCGAGAATCTTGTACAAGGCCATCAGAGGTATGATTCCTCACAAGACCGCTAGAGGTAAGGCTGCTTTGGAAAGATTGAAGGTTTTCGAAGGTGTTCCACCACCATACGACAAGAAGAAGAGAGTCGTTGTTCCACAAGCTTTGAGAGTCTTGAGATTGAAGCCAGGTAGAAAATACACTACTGTTGGTAAATTGTCAACTTCAGTTGGTTGGAAATACGAATCAGTGGTTGAGAAATTGGAAGAAAAGAGAAAATTGCAATCATCTGAATACTACGCCAAGAAGAAGGCTTTGACTAAGAAGTTGAATGCTGCTCAAGCTTCAACTGCTGAATCTGATGCTGCTAAGAAATTGTCTGCTTTGGGTTACTAAGTTTTGGATGATGAGACGATCGAGTAAAATGAGAGAGGAGGAGAATATTCTTTTTTTGTTTTTAGATACGATATCTGAAGCTGCTCCATTTTAGCCTTTTGTTGGTGGGAGTGGCTGAGAGAAAAGGATATAATCATAATCACCGGTATATAACGAAACCCCCTTTTGTTGTTGTTCCTAGTCATTGTTTTATATAGGAGTAATGTAAAAGAAATTATCATAATAGTAAAAAGACTTGAAATAGTTGTAGATGGGTACGTAGGTGACAATGTAGATGGCGCTCAGGCAATCCTGTTTGTATTGAAGTATATAAATCGCTACCAATTGTGTTACAAGGATTGCCCATTATCTAAAAGTGCCGTTTGAATATTCTTCCCACGGGTGATGGAGGAGCCTGTCTAAATACTTATGAAGCCAAAACAAGTGAGTATTTTATATAATAGAAAGATTTAGTTAGACTCGTATAGTATTACAATTATTAGCTATTAATTAATACAATCGATGTAAAACCCTCAGTATTTCTTGTCTAATTTTACTTCTTTTCACCCCTTTATCATTATCATTATTACCTTGCTCATTATCGGATCTACTCCTGCTATTCTTTATCGTTGTACTGGATTCAGACGACTTACTTCTTTTCAATTTCATCTTTATTGTTTCAACATAAGTCACTTGTCCATTTGATTTATCAACAAAATTGACAACTCGTGATACAAAATTACCAATTTCGACCAAACTCAACTTTTGATTTCCAATTGACATGGAGTTTTCTCTAATGTGGAGGAAAAGCTTGGGGTATTGGTTGATTTTCAAGTCGGATAGTAAGTAATCGGTATGAGTTTGATTTCGGGCATTGTTGTTGTTGTTGTTGTTGTTGTTGTTTGTGTATTCAAACTTGTACGATTTTCCCAAATGGATCAAGTTGAATTGGCCAATAAAGATTTGTTGTTGTCGATAAGACGAAAATAGAACCAACTGGTGATAGAACAAGTACAAGAATAAATGATTGACTGTAAGTTGCTCACTGGTGACTTTTTTGCAAGAGTAGCTATTGATTAGACCTAGTATTGACGTCAACTTAATGTTAATTTCGTGATGGTTGTAAATTAAAGTGAGTTCTGCCTGCTGCAAGTTGGATTCAACTTTGGAAGGAGATTCATCTTCTGCAACTGTTGCTGATGCTGCTGCTGCTGCTGCTGCTGTTGCTGCTGTGGCCGCTTCTGTGTACTGCAATAAACAGGTCCTATCTCCTAGCCTAGTGGAGTATTCGTATTCTCGTTTGACTGCAGCTAATCTACTTTGTAAATAAGTCGATAAGTACTGAGCATCAAATTGTTGCAGAATATCTAATGATGGGTTTAGTGTAAGACTCGACTCACAAGGGGAAGGTAGGGTAGTGTTGGGTAAAGATGTTGTATATATGCTAGTAGCCATGTTTGGAAGTTATAAAGTTGTAGTATTTGATCTTTAGCTTGTCCTCTAAGGATACACATATGTTGTTTATATATGGTAAATGAAGGGTTTGTTCAAATACATGTTCTAAAATAATTTGTTGTACTGTATATAGGGAATTGTGGTTTTAATAGGAGTAATATAATAATACATAAGGCTAAACGTAAAATAAAAAAATAAAAAAGACAATAAGAATAACAAAAAACACAATAAAAGCAAAGTGGGGAGACATTCTTTTTTAATATACGCAACGATGACCCAAACCCAAATGCAACATATAAAATATTCACACCTATACCTTTGACTCACTCCATTAACGTATGACCACACACTTCTACTTGAGCTTTAGCAAAAGGGTAGTACATTCTCCAAACCAATGCTTTGCTTTGGTCTACATGAAAAAGCATAACCCCAAATCACCTCCACATTCTCCCCTCCTTTCCTCCCCACCACAAGAAAATCTTTAAATCTGACACAAAAGAAACAAACCGAACAAAATAAGGAGATTTGTGTAATACAACCAACCAATCAAAACCATTCAAATGTGTTCATAATACAACCAAACATACATACATAGTGTTACACGTACGACACAAGCGTCTTATACGGCACCAATCCAACAAAATTTAGCATCTTGTGCTTTTACTACAAACCCATACACATGTACGTTATAAGGTTAGATGCAAGATGAAAATCAACAACAAAAATAGGAGACAGTCTCAGTCTGTGTCCCATTCTTCCTCACTTACTCATTCACACTTATTTTTTGTTCAAGGAATAGCGAAACCCAGAGTAGAACAAGGCCCAGCCTAGGAAAGAATTAAACTTCATAATCAAAAGCTTCCCCTTTTCTCTTCTTCCCCTCATCTCACCTCACATCCTCCGCCCTTCGTAAATCGTAATATATTTCACAACACAGGTGTGTCTTTACAATGAATGCACCCAACACGCCGCCCACCGCCCACATCAACCGCTACCACCATACCCCCATATAAAAAAACGTTCATTATTAAATATGCAACATCAACCCCCTTTGTCTTTTGCCTATGCAAACCAGGCTTTAAATTTATTTACATCTACGCCGCTCCTTCACTCGCCACCCCCTTCATCCTCGTGTTTATCTGTATGAAGAAAAGCTGAATAAAAGGTGAGAGTGTGTTACGATTCATACATGGACACTCTTCTGTATGTGATCTTTTTACTTTCGTCCTCCCTTCCTTCCTTACCACTGGCTTGTAACTGAAACGTAAATATCATCAAAAAAAGATCTATCTATACTGATTGAAAATACAAAACAACAGAAATTATACAAATTGTAATTAACTCATTTACTCACTCAAAAGTCGACGTAGCAGTAGCACCATCAGCTTCTAATAAAAAGGGTGGCTTCTACCTAATTTGATTCCTCTTTAGTCTGTTTAATAGCAGCATCAATAGTCTCCTTAATTTGAGCTTCAGTAAGAGGCTGTTTTGGCTTCTCCTTCTTATCCTCGTCCTCCTTGACATCTCCTTCCTCTTGGTTCTTAGGTTGGGGTAAATCGGCAATATCTTTAGCAATTTGAGGGTCTTGGTGTTTTCTAGCACTAATGATTGCGCTAACGACAGGATCGCTATAAAATAATCCATATCTTCTAAATTGTTTGATCAAATCAGCTGTTTGTTTAGTGTCCAATCCATCAGCAAACTTGGCAAACGTGTAGCCCAAACTGGCAAACCATTCATAATTCAAATGCAATTTAAACAGTTCTGGGTTGGTTTTGGATTCTTTTTCCAACTCTTTAATTGATGTTTCCATGTATTCTTTAGTCAACGGAGTATTATAACCCTCGCCCTGTTTCAAGTGAACTCCCAAATGTCTAATGGTGTTGAATAATCCCTTTTGATGAGCAGGCACCATTCCTCCATATTCCTTGATCTTGGTTTCTCTGTAATAGTCCTTGTATTCATCAATAGTGGCTTTTCTCGTTCCTGTCCAGCCCAAAGAAACCAATTCGTCTTGAGATACATCTAATTTAACGCCTCCTGGTAAACGGAAGAGTTTCATTGGATTGAATGCACCCGTGTACAAAAACAAGAAAATAACCACAGTTTTAACAATATGAATGGAAAAGAAGAAACACTGCAATAAAATATCAACAGGGTCTTCTAAATCCTTAATCAATGCTCGTTCAACATTGACAAACCCGGTGGATTTAGCAACATAGGCCATGAATTTAGTGGCCCAGTTGGTCAAACATATACCAGGAGTAGGACTAACAAAATCCGGTAAGTCAGTATACAACCATGCCGCCAACAATCCAAGAATAAAATACCAAGTGAAATAATTAAATTTCCACACTGGCAAAATCAATTGACCCGGCCATACATGGACATTAATCAATTCTTCAGGTGGGATAATTGTCGATGTATGTTTTGCAGCATCATCCTCAAATAAGAAGTTCCCATCCTCGGTCATGTACCCTGGTGAAGTCGATTTCTGGAACCCAATTGGTTGGGAATGGTAAAAAACACTGGGTCTCAAAGCAATAGGCAATGTCTTGAAGATTTTAAACAAGTCGCCAAACGTCGTCTTGGTGTCGATTTGGAAACAGTAATCACGTTCGGAATCTTGGTTGAAGCGGACGTAGACGTCCAAATAAGCAATTTCTTGACCGTTTTCATCAACAGTGGGTGAATCAACAATTTCCTCAATTTTGGGCTGGCCTGAGTTAGAACTGGAACCGGTATTTCCAAGTACATGGACACCAGATGATATTCCAGATGATGCTTGGTTACGATTACTACTAGATGACATAGTGTTGGTGGTTGATCTAATGAATTGAATAAGAAAAGCAAGTAAATTGAAAAATTGACTTTCTCTCCTTGTCGAAGTACTTCATTTATTTTTTTTTTCGTTGTTGCTTTTTTTTGGGGGAGAAGGTCGAGGGATGACGGAGTCGAGTCGATGCGGAGTGGCAAAAAGACTTTAATGCGTGTAGAATTAACCGAAATAAAGCAACTACGCACTATTTTATCCGGTGACGTAAATTCAAAAAAAAGTAGTGGGTAATGTCGTTTCTCATACTTTTACGTCATTACAAAAGCTTAGAAAAAAAGACTCCCAATTTTGCTTAGTAACAAGAATCTATACGTGATATATTACTAAGCCCTAGAAACTGGACAATTCTTCACCTCGTAAAGAAGTGGCAAGAGAAGAAAGTCTATTGTTGGCATATCGTATAGTCTTATTATTTCAACTTCCAACCCCAAATGCTCTTAAGTAGAACACCCGGCTTTTGAGCACTAATTAGACTACAAAACAGTAATTTCAAACAGAATGGCTGCGAAATTTGTTGAAAAAAGACAAATGAAAAAATAACAACCAAATTCGACTTTGGAGGTGCCAATTTCGTTACCGTTTCGTTCAGGAAGAGAAGGTGAAGACAAATCTACCCAAAGCCCACAGCCTAATTGATTACAAATTTGTAACAATGTAAGAACAGTGGCATTATATAATACATACGTGGCGGTAGTCCTGCCCGATCGTAAAACTCTTAACTCTGTCTCTTTCGCCTCATTGGTAGAGATAAATTTCTCCAATTTTTAAAGCCATTGAAAGCCTTAAAAAGCCTGAGAAGCCTACATCGGTCCGAGAACCGTTTCCGAAAAAGAAGATCTTCATAATTTTAAGTAGATCCTCAAATTACGAAGTTTAATGAGTAACTTTTCCAAACTAATTGACTCTAATACCAGCATCCTTTAACGAAACAGGGCTCATTTCAAAACTGGAATATACAGTTTGCAAAAACAAACAAGAAAAATCAGAGATATCTAAACACAAAATGAGCTAAAGGCAAGAGTGGGTCACACGATATCATCGATTATTTCCGGTGACTTGTTGCTAAAAATAGTAATAATTGTGTTATATGGATGTTGTTTTACTATACAGGCGGCTTTTAATCCATTTGAGCATAAATTGTGAATTGCCTTTTGAGAAGACCAAAAAATACGAAATTTGTATTTATTTTTGCAGCCTATTGATTTATAGTTTTTAATTTAATTCTCTATTGGGTTAATTTATTTTTCAGAAAGGGGGTCGGTAGTAATTGTTGATATTTTCTGTCTCGTGTATCGTGTGACACAAATTCGCGAAATTTCTCTCTTTCTACTATTTTTATTTTGCATCCTTTAATTTTATAACCCTTTTAGAGCCCTTTCTTACCTCTTTTTGCCTCTTTTTAACCCTTTTTAAACCATTTGTTACTCTTTGGATATGTGTCAAAAGAGTAAAAATAGTAAGTGTTTGTAAGGTTTTATGCAATTAATTTATAGAATATTATCTTTCTATTCGTCTAGAAAATGTCAGAGGTGTGTTTAAAAATAGGACAGGATAAGTAGTTAGTTGGTTATGAATGTATGTACATATCTGGGGTTGTGTTTTGACATAGATTTTGTTTTTCTTGCAACTTTAAATTTGAGATCTACACAAGTTGTTATTTTATTCGTTTACTCATAGACTAAAAGACAGAAAGCCACCTATCATTCTCCATATTACTCTTGTTTGTCACTCATTGTCCGTTATCTTCCTCCCTCTGTATTCTCTTGTTCGCGTTTGTCTGTGTAAGATATACATAAGTGTATAGTTCGTTAGTCTCTCATATTATAACTTGCATTTAATCATGGCTGAGGCTTCTTCTAGTTTCACATTCAAAGCCAAACAATTGAAATTAGAAAAAGAAAAAATCAACACAGCCCACCGAGGAGGAAAAAAACAATAAACCAGTACAACAATCAATAAAGGTAGTGTACCTTGTGATAAAACCGATTGAAATGTGTTTGTTTACAATTTGTCCGAATCAGGATTAAATTATTTTGCTGATACACAAACACAACAGACACAAACAAACACAAATGTCGGTCGGGAATATTTTTTGTTTATATTAAAAAAAGAGAATTGCCGACTGATCCTGCCTAGATCCCAGCCAGCCATCCAAGCCATTCCAACATCGGATCAGAGGTTTGTTTTGCTTCGGTAAAAGCTGAAGGTAGACGAAAGCACGGAGGCTTCTGTTTTGTTTGTTTGTTTTCATCATTACAATAAGTATCAGAAAGAGGCAAAACGCGTACCCAAATCTTATCTTGTTAAATCCATATTGGAAAGAGGCTGTTCCATCACCAGAAAGTAAGAATAAGGGAAATCGGACTTGTTCAGATGTCACTACCGGTATGACCGTTACCATTCACTTTGGAAAATAAAAAAAGAGGCACAAACTATGGATCTTGCAGTAGTTTAAACAACCTGCAATTCATTCGATTATAACACATACTTTGGTTTTTCTTCTCTCTGCAAAACCATCCGCACTAAATAAACACACCATATCGTATGTTGGCAATCATTCAGTATCGTCAAATAAGTTGTAAATGCATATATACTTTCTCTAAATAACATAAATGTGTTGGATAAAAATAGAAAAACCTCACCTAATACACTTCTTTCCATTTGTAAGTGTTATGGTTCATGTATAGGTGGATCTTACTAGGAGGAGGTTGCCCTGTTTATCTGTATGTATACTTGCTATCTACTAACTACTGTCCTCCTCCTCCTCCTCCTACTACTCCTGCTGCGCCATCATCTTCTTCTTCCTCCACTTCTTAGCACCACTGGTATTTGTTTTGTGTGTAGTGTCAATTAAAGTATGCATTCCTGTATGTAACCCTCTCATTGCCTCTAAATTGATGTTTGTGTAATATTCCCAATTCTTTAAAATACATATTTTTCGTGTGTTACTTAAAGGAGGTCGTGTACTTTACCGTGTTATGGGTTAAAATTTTATATTTGCTCCTTTCTTTTTAATTCTCGACTGATTTTTGAATTTTCAAACTATGTTTACTCGTTACACATTACACTTAACATAGTTCTAACATAAGCTACAACTATTTATTATTAAGCAGTAGTTTAGGCTATGCTACGCGTAATCTTACAACGTCCAAGGATATATCTATACTCTATACTTAAGAAATAGGAATTGAAATTATAACTAATTTAACCTGTTTGGTTATTTTTAATTTTTAATTTTTAATTTTTATATTTATTTTTATTTTTATTTTTGTGTCTGTTTTTGTGTCTGTTGATTGTTTTTACTGTCTGTCCGTTTTTCTTTCTCTTTCTCTTTCTCTTTCTCTTTCGCTTCTCCTTTTTCTTTATTTATTTAAATCAATTCAAATTTCCACTCAAATCTCAAAAACCCACATCCACTTTCCTTTCTTCTTGTTCTTTTGGTTCTGTTTTTGGTTCTTCAACGAAAGATAGAAAGAATAATCCATCGTTTAACTATATTCCTTCGTTAGCTAACAACATCTAAGAAAAAAAAAGGATCTCACCAAGCTTTTTTTTTTATTATTTTTTTCGAATTTTGTTCACCAGCTCAAGAAAATTATTTTTCTTAATAACACATACACATACACATACTATAAACACAGTCTTTTTGTCAAGAAAAATACATCAAAAACCTACCCCCTTACATAATTCATAAATGTTGTTCAAATCGCTAATTTCATCAACTTTACTAGCTGCTACTTCTTTAATCAGTTGTGCTGCTGCTGAAGACTTGCCAACAATTGAAATTGTTGGTAACAAGTTTTTCTACTCCAACAATGGTTCTCAATTCTTTATGAAGGGTATTGCTTACCAACAAAACAACTTGAATTCATCCGATTCATTTATTGATCCATTGGCTGATGCTTCCACTTGTAAAAGAGATATTCCATACTTGTCTGCTATCGACACCAATGTTATCAGAGTCTATGCTTTGGATATAGAGGCTGACCATACTGAATGTATGGAGGCTTTGCAAGAAGCTGGTATTTACATTATTGCCGATTTGTCTGAACCAGATGAATCTATCAATAGAAAAGATCCTGAATGGACCTTGGATTTGTTTCAAAGATATACTGGTGTTGTTGACGCTTTCCACAACTATACCAATGTTTTGGGTTTCTTTGCTGGTAATGAAGTTACCAACGATGAAACAAACACCGATGCTTCTGCTTTTGTTAAGGCTGCCATTAGAGATACCAAGGCTTATATGAAGGCTAAGGATTACAGATCCATTCCAGTTGGTTATTCATCTAATGATCATTCTGGTATCAGAGTTGCTTTGGCTGATTATTTCGCTTGTGGTGATGAAGATGCTAGAGCCGATTTCTTTGGTATCAACAATTATGAATGGTGTGGTAAGTCAAGTTACAAGTCCTCCGGTTACGAAACTGCTACTGAAGACTACAAGGATTTAGGTATCCCCATCTTTTTCTCCGAATACGGCTGTAATGAAGTAACTCCAAGACTTTTCACTGAAGTTGGAACTATTTTCGGTGATGAAATGACTGATGTTTGGTCTGGTGGTATTGTTTACTTGTACTTTGAAGAAGAAAATAATTATGGTTTGGTTTCGATCAAGGATGGTAAGGTCTCCACTTTGGATGATTACAACAACTATAAATCGGAAATTTTGAAAATTGACCCATCTTCTGCTCAAGCTTCAGCTGAAAGTGCTAGCAGTACTGGTGTTACTTCATGTCCTACTTCAACTTCAGTTTGGAGTGCTGCTACTGACTTGCCACCAACTCCTGACAAGGAAATCTGTGATTGTATGTCCAAATCATTGAAGTGTGTCGTTAAGGACAGTGTTGACAGTGATGACTATGCTGATATGTACAGTTATGTTTGTGCAAAGATTGACTGTGGTGGTATTAATGCTAATGGTACCACTGGTGAATACGGTGCTTACTCACCATGTTCCGCTAAGGACAAGTTGTCGTTTGTTTTGAACCTTTACTACGAAGACCAAGATGAAAACTCATCTGCTTGTGACTTCAATGGATCTGGTTCCTTGCAAAAGAGTGCTACTACCGCTTCTTCATGTTCTGCTTACTTGAAATCAGCTGGTTCATCTGGTTTGGGAACGGTAGAAGGCTCAGTTAGAACTGATACTTCAGAAGCATCTGACACCAACGGTGGCGGTAACCAAAACTCTGATTCTTCAGCATCGACGAGTGGCTCTTCATCTAGTGGTTCATCTACTAGTTCTGGTAAGTCAAGTGGTGCTGTTGCTGGTGGTATGATTGGTGTTTCTTCCTTGACCAAATTGGGAGCTGTTGCTCTTTCAATGGTTCTTGGTTTCAGTTTCATCTTGATTTAGAGAAGACAGCTGAAAGTAGTGATGATTATAAACGTATATTCTGTATAGATTAAGAAATAAATTAAAGATTTATATAACAGGAAACGTTCAAGTAAGGAAATATAAGACAATGTGAAGTTTGGGGTATCCATTTCTGATTTGTTACATAGTACATACAACATACATAATATAAGTACAATAGCACTTGCGTCTAGCTTAGATTAGATCTTTGCTCTCTGATTCCTAATCCTCCATGATCAATTTTCTAATTTCCCAATAATAATCCAACTTGACATCATTATTATCATCAATAAACCAATGGTTAATTTTGCGATTGATCTTATGCTCTTCTTTGACGAATTTATCCATCAATTTCTGGCTCACTGGTGGTAAAGGCACTGCTGCGTCATCGGGGCCAGCATGGGTGTTGGGAACAGTGTTGGATAATGAAGATTGTGATCTTAATAGAGTCGATCGCGATGCTGTAGTTAGATTTCGTTGTTGTTGGGCAAGAGGTGGTGGTGGCGGTATCGATGTTGTTGACGATATTGTTCGTTGTGTGAATTGACTTGCACCACGACGTCGTGAAATTGGTGATTGGAGAACATAGATGGTGTTGGTGGTGCCGCCGCCGCCGCCACGCCTCGTTGGTGAATATTGGTCCATTTGGTTATACTGTTGTTGCTGTTGCTGCTGCTGTTGTTGATGATGATGGTTATGATGGTGTCGAATAGTTTCTAAAGGTTCGATCAAATCGGGTATATCGTCGAAAATGTACTCATCATCTTGATCCAAATTTATCCATTTTAGATTAACGTTGTCGTACAACATATTACCTTGCTTTTTACGCGGGAAATCTCCGTCATCGTCGTCACCTTCATCATAAGCGTCTTGGGCTTGCGCATGCACGTGACGATTAACATGACCATCATTCCTAATTGGTTCAAGCTCTTCCAATGTGATGAGCGATGGTTTCTGTTCGAATCGAAGTAGATCCACTTCATTTCCTTCCCATCGGTTTTGCGCCTTGTTAAACACCATTGATTTGGACTGGGGTATAATATAGTCACCACCACGAGTTTTGCCCAACGAATCCCCATTCAAGTATCGCACATGTCCCATTTTCTTCTTCTGCAGATGGCGTCGATCATGATGAGTTTGTGCAAGATGAGTAATGCCAGTATCTTTATCACTCAAACTAGGTTGTTGTTTCAACTTGGAATTGGTCTTATCTTTCCGTTCTGCGTATTTATCAAGTAATTGAATGCGCGATGCTGGATCTGGTATTTTTGGTCTATTGTAGAATGAAGGTATGCGATCGAGTTTATTAATTACCCGATTATTGAAATTGAAACTTGGCTGTTGTTGTTGTTGTTGCGATACATCATTGTTTAAATCCATTGTTGATTTGAATTTCTTGATTGTATTGGCTTGATTTTTAGCTAATGATGGCATTGATTGTTTATTGAGTAATGTGTGTTTCCCAATCGTTCCCATATTGTGACGCAGTTGTTGCTGCTGCTGTTTAATCTTTTGGATGCTTGCTTCAAAATCAACATCAAACCCATCTTCAAATTGTTCATTATCATCTCTCGTATACTCATAATTTATTGTTTTTTCATTTTCTAAATGATCCAACATACTCAAATTTGTGCTGGTCAATTTATGACCACCACCACTAGCTCCCCCACCTCCTATTCCATCACGCAATTTCAAAGTTAAATTTGGATCATCACGAGTGCCCATTGCACGATTTTGCTTGTACTCAAGCAATTCCTTTTGCTCGCGTTCTGCCTCCTTTTGCTGGGCTACTTTTTTGGCAATTAATCGTTGATTCATTTGTTGATAAATGCTTTGGTTCTTACTAAAACATTCATCCCAGCCCTCAAATTCATCTTGTGATAGTTCGGACGTTATGTCAGTATCATTCCCTTCGCTGTATTCACTCAATGCATCCCGGGTTATTCGTTTGGCACTACCTTTTGATGAACTAAGTTCGTTTTTGGGTGTTAGTTGGAACAGTGGCAGGTTGTTGTTGATATGCAACTGGTTGATTTTGAGAGTTTCTACTCCGTTATCATCTTCGTTGTCATGACTGGAATTGCTGTGGTAGTGGTGGTGATTCTGTTGTTCTATTTGCTGTTGCTGTTGCTGTTGTTGTTGCTGTTGTTGCTGTTGTTGTTGTTGTTGTTGTTGTTGTTGTTGCTGTCTCAGTCTGTTGGAACTAAAATCTATTGACTCAACGTCACCAAAGATCTCATCTTCTTGATTATCAGCAAACTTCTTTAGTAGGTCTGCTTTAGTTTTGGACTGCTTCTTCATCATCGATCCAACTAGTGGTAGTCCTTTACTCAAGGATAGTTTTGACTAAGTTTGATCAATCAATAGAGAATTGTAGAAATAATTTATTGTGACTGTATATAATAAAAATTCAAAAAAGAGTAAACAAAAACAAAAACAAAAACAATAACAATAACAATAACAAAAACAATAACAACAAAAAACTCCCTTGCCAATTTTGCACGACCTTTGTTCCTAATTTGCAACAACCATCTTGGTCAACAGTTTTTGCAACTTTATAAATTGGGCTTTATATATTGGTGGGATGGTGACAAGCGCTATAAATATGGCTATTATCAACAAGAAAAGGAAAAAATATCGAACAACCTGCCAGTTTCTTTTCCTCCTTTGTCTTCGTGATATTATTGCCCGTTTAAATTGTCGACTTGGTTTTAACCAAAATAGGAGACTAGTGTGCAACGTATCAATATATGGCACGAGTAATAATGGAAACATTACCAGGAGTAGCATGTGTCCCAAGAAGAAATCAAACGTAAACTTGTTCAATTCCAACATTTTGATAACTAATTCCCGCATGTTTTGTGTTATTACTCTGAACCCCAATCCACTTCGGTACCATTCCCCTGACCACCAGGCTTTATTAGTAACATTCTCGCCGCGTTCTCGAGAAACACATGTAATCAAAACAAAACCCGATAACGCACGATGGAAACTGAAAACAACCAACAAGGCACTTATCAAATGAACAACACTGAATTCCTGTAAAAGAAACAAAAACTCAATATTGACAATGTGAAACAAAATGGACAAGAAATGAGCCAATGCAGCAAAGAATGATGGAATCCGCTTAACGCAGAGTCCAATTGCTGGAGCCATTGTTAATGACAACACCCAAATCAAGATCAAAACAACAATGTTCAATGCATAAGGCATGAATATGACAATGGCGACTTTAATCAAAGGATTGGCTAAATCCAACACAAACAACTTGTCTGACGAATGAAGAAACAAAAATGGACTCAAATACAAGATAAAACTAATCAAAGGAGTAACCACTTCACCAAGAAGCAAGTTGAACGTGGTTGAGTTTCTGCCCAGCAAATGCCCTTCAAACTTCTCTCCAGTTAACCGCGATCTTTCACCTTGGCAAAACTGAATCCACGAAGACTCCTTGGCTTTAGAATTGCCTCTCGACAACCAACGAATAAAGTCTCGATAATCGAGAAAGAAATCAATGAAACTAAATTGATGGGGGTTAAACATAAACGGAGCAAAACACAACGCCAATACTGTAATGACAAACCAAAGAAGGGCTATTCGTTTTACCGTCATCATTCCAAACAAAATCACCATGAATATTTCACAACCACTATAAATTGACAAGTTGGCATATCTTGTATACAACGTAGCAAACGAAATTCTCGAAATGGCAAAGTCTCTGCCCGTGGCAATGTATTGTGCCTCACCAAATACAAAATTATCTCTTAATGCTCGAGAATAAACTTGGCAAAGGAAAACTTCAAAAAATGGCGATAATGAAACAATGTGCAAAATGACTCGAAAAACCGATCTAACAAAACCCTTTTCAATCAACTCTTGAATGATTAGTGGAAGGAAAGATATAAAAAAGCACACAAACACCGAAAGAATAAATCGATCAATCCAATTCAACACTGGCACTAAAGTATGACACCCAGCCACAGGATCATCTTCATCACACTCCACTGTATTATGATTCAACGCACCTAGATTCATCACCAAAAACATAAAAATCTTTACTGACAACATAATCGACAAGTTATTAATATGAAACCCAGGGTGGGCATAATAAAACGACAAGAACCGATCAATTGGTAGTCTCGTCCCAAGATAGAAATACTCCCTTGACAAGAGTTGCTCCCCCATGCCAGCGCCAATTTTTTTAGTAAAATTGACAATCGATTGAAATCCCAAGTCACGTCCTTTACCACATTGGTAATAATCAAAATGCTTAATTCTTCCACCTCGACACATTGCTGTGATACCAGCATATATATCCTCGTTAAGGTGTAGTCCTTTTTGTGCTTTCGATATGCCTCCTCTTGTCGTCATGAATATCCCATTTAGGAAATCAGGATGTCCATAATGTAGCTTTGATCCAATTTCCCCCATTGTTCGAGCAAACAATGTACCAAATGTCTGTTCTTTCCCCGCGGCAATGTCACCTAGTATGCCAATGTTTTGGGAAAAGATAAACTCCCTTGACCCTACAATAGCAACCGTTGGCGGTGGTTCCAAAATCGGCTCGGATGTGTACCCATGCGATACATCAAGATCCATTTCTTCAAACTCGGTCAATAGCGACTTGATTTTCAAACATTCCTCAACATAGTTATCCTGATTTGAATCGATAACTTGAATATATTCCCCTCGGTAAAAAATGAGAGCGTTGTTTTGATTATCAGATTTACCGTCACCCAAGATTGGATTTCCCGATAATCGAATCTTGAACCGTTTGCGATAGTTTCCTTTATGGTCTCGTTGAGATACATCCAACAAGGTTGAGTAATAAGTTCCATTTTCAACTTCCAAAATTGCAATCTTTACATTAGGAAATGCTCGAAATAACACATCGGCATCGTCAGAAGTTTCCCGAGTAAAGCTTTGGAAATTTTGCATCGCCACAATCAAGCTAAATTTTCGATCAACAAAATCTTGCATTTCCCTCTCAATGAATAAATCACCTTCACTTTCAAACCCAATGTTTTCACTACGATACAAAATCTTCAAGGCGACTTCGTAATTCATAAATCCAGAAACTGTACGGTATAAAGTTTGGCAACGCAATGCCGCCCATATTCTTGTTCTTAATGTGTTTTCTGGTGCTGAGTCCTTGAAGCCGATGCAGTAGTATGGTAAATCTTCATGTCCTTTGAATTTCTCGTCGCCATCTCCATCCAAATCATCCTCATTCTCATCAATTGATTGAATCATTTTACTGTCCTTGACAAAGGATCTCCATTCATTGGGGTGAAGTTGCTTCAAGTACTCCAACAATGTCAACTTTGAAAACGACTGTTCCTTAATTAAATCCTTCAATCCCAAGAGAATCTTTTCCGAATAATGTGGTATAAGCACTGTGAATGCGGGCATCGATACCACTGGAAATGGGTCAGGGAGAGGGCTTGATAACGATTGGGCGAAAAAAGTGATTCTTCTTTCCCATTCCTCTTCTATCTTGATATAGGCCAAGAGCTTAAATGTGTTGTCATCTTCGTTGACAAAAAACAGCGGCGGCTTAACATTGCCCTCATCTTCTTCACGTTGGTAAATCAACTTTTTCACTTGTTCAACCGATATTATATGCTCTCTAAACATCGAAATAACAATCCCGTTCCATATTTGCGAAATAACCAAAATCATACTATTGGAGGAATCACCATGATAAATCTTGGTCAATATCCTATCGGGCAATCTCGAGAATATGTTTCGCCAGGGGGTGAATATCGACACCCCCAATGAAAACGATAATCCAACGGAGAATATAACATTGCAAATGACATACCAAAGATAAGTGTCAAGAAAGAATAAAATCAAATCGGTGAAATAAAACAAACACAAGGCAATTTTAGGCTGTGCCGGGCACAAGAAATGACCATCATCACAATTCAACTTTAATGTAGATAAAATTTGGATGGGGTCTTTTAATGAAAGAATCAAAAAGAAATACGATTCTGAATACTTGGCGGCAAATACCACAATCCATAATGATATTGAAAATGCCCGTTTTCGCAATGATAATTTGGGAAATGAATTTGAAAAAACTGAACTAAAGCTACCAAGAGGTATTGTGGCCAAATAAACAAATGTTAGAATTGAAAATGTCAATAATAGCCCTGAAACGACATTACCCTTGTAGGAATACTGGGACCATGGAAGAAATATAAAAATAGCCACAATTGGAGCAATATTAAGAACCAACAATATAGCACAAAAGACCAATTTCTTGAAGTTTTTACTATTAATGAATAAAAATTCCGAAATTGCTGCAAATAGCGAGATCAATGCTGCTAAAGCGCCACCAGCAGACACTATCGCCAATCTTACATGAACGAATGGTGACTTATCTGGGGTATAATCTGCAGTGTAAAGCGATGGCGAGTTGAATGACATAAAGTACCAGAACACCGATACATGAATAACCCATATGCGATTGAAGTTATTCAATACATGAATCCAAGTTCTTCGTTCTCGATACGTTTTCGATAAGGATTTCTTCCAATCAATCAAATGGATCTCCTTGAATCGATCTTTTCGTTTAATTTTATAAACTCTAATTCCATTGTCTAGTCTGATCTTGTACAATCCTCTAGGACTCCAAAAATGTTGATTTACATCGTCATATCCAATGGTTTGTGAATGGTCAATTTCCTTCCTACTCCACTTGTCGCCAATTAAATCATACTGCTGGTCTCTTAAAAACTTGTACAATGGCGTAATTACTTTATCTAAAAAGTAAAACCGGTCTAAATCGGGTCCTTCATAATCCAAAGCACATTGGAAAATAAAGCAAATGCATTCAGGCATGAACCTAATATTATTTGACTCTCCCCAGATTAACAAATACAAGGCAATTTGAGACACATACTCTTCTTCCTTAAATGCCCCTAACCTTGTTCTCCATTCTTCTTTTTCCATAGCAATGAATTTGTCCCTCGGTGTCCATGATTCATCTTCATAGGGGAATTGCGCCGCCATATACCATTTCTTGTAATTAGCACAATCACCTCCAATATAGTGTAAATGTAAAGAGAGTAACGCTTCGGAACAATCCATCCTGCTTGATCGAGAATCTACCTGTGTCATGAACAACTCATACATATTGTGCACATTATCTTCTTGGAAACCAAACCTTCGACCAAGGTTGGTAAAAGTGGCTAAGATTGTATCGGTAGACACGTTGGCGCCATTGTCTTTACACCAAGCATGGTAGGGGCTAATGTTGTATGTCATTGACAGAGGTGGCTCAGTCATGACATATTGAAAATTAAAAACAAAAAGAAAGGAAAGATGAGTTTGACAGAGATTAGGAAAGAGCCTGTGTAATTAAAAAGTTGTCCTTTATTTTTGCAACAAGAATAACAAAAAAAATATAGAGGCAAAAAAGTATTGCTCTCAGCAGGATTCGAACCTACGATCTCCTCATTACTAGTGAGGTGCCTTACCAACTTGGCCATAAGAGCGATTTTCGAGAAAATTTAATTTTGTAGTTTTTGTGTGACTTTAATTTCAGTCACTACTATTCTTAATTTGATAGTAGCCCTTGTTTCCACACTTCTTTGGAAAGAATAGAAGAGCCTTTATTGCTCACTGACTCGTGTACAATGGTACTTTTACAAAACTAATCAACGTAATCTGTGTCCATTACATTTTAAGCTTTATTCTTTTGCGGTTTTAAATATTTTGGAGGAAAACGTTGCGAAATACTGAATTATGTTCTTCTTTTAGTTTATATGAAGAATTGTTGCTTTGAAGTTGAGATTTGACTGTTTTGTCTTGCTGGTAAACTATGACTTGAAGCATAGAATTTCAGAAGAAAACTAGATAGGTTGGGTCATCACCAAAGTTTGTTTCTGCAAACATACATTCTGCTAGGGCAATTTTTTAAAAGCCTATACGGTGTCAATCCCTGAGAGACATGTGGCTATTAAGGAAGCAGAAGCTGGTTGGGATCTTGAATGTGCAACTTGCCCATTTGCATTCCAAAACCTTCACTTTGCTTTGTTGTGTGACGTAATCAAGACAAAAAAAAAGACAATAGGAAGAATAAGTTACATATATTCGACTAACCTCTTTGAATAAGGGGACATGGTACAAACTGTAAAGGCCAACCCCTCTCAGCAACTTTGGTCCACACTAGATGCTTTGCACGCTTGGTCAATCCAGCGCTGGACCCATATGAGCCCGACCACAAATTTATGCTGTCTGTATTATATTTCTAGCCGCATGTTAAAAGCCACATGCATATGTCACAGTTTTCTCTCTCTCTCTCTTTATTTGTATTTATTTTTTATTTATTGTTTATTTATTTTTCTTTGTGACCAAATTTCATGTTTGCTTTTTATAGAAAGACCCCAAGAAGTTTTCCCGAGGAAAGAATTGCAGTTTATAAAAGCAGTTAAAGTAAACCTTCAAGCGTTTTCTTGATGTTTCTGCAGAAGGGGGGTGGTAGGGATAAGACAAGTGGTCTGACACTACTGCTTCCTGTTGTGGAACTTTAAGAGCAATTGGGCCAAACCATATCAGGTAATTCTTAACTTACCATGTTTGTGTAATTTCTACCCTTTTTTACCAAAATTCTTTACATATCTAAACGCTTTACAGCAATTTTAATCTCATTTTTAAATTCACGCACACACACTCTCTCTTCGTCTTCTTTTACTGAAAGGTATAGCCAAGTATGAGTGACTCCAACAACAAGTACCCTCCACCCGAATACCCCCCATCAGGTGCTCCACAATACAACAATGATGGCAACAACAACAACCACGATGGCACCTACTATGTGCAGCCTGACTTGGAAAATGTAAACAATGAAAAACCACAACCTTCACAAGACTTTGACCAGAGTTTCAAGATTGAAAAGCCAAGATTGAACGATTGGCCATTCACCATTTTCTTTTTGCTAGTAGTTGCTGGATTCATTGCGGTTGCAGGTATAACTTTGAATGGGTTGAGAGAGACATACTCCGACCAAGGGTCTGGTATCTATGGCTCATCTAATTCATTCACCGTGAATAGAAACACTGTCATTCTTTTCGCCTTTGTTATTGTCTTGTCGATAGTATTGGCTGCGTTGGGGCTTTTATTCATCCGTACATTTGCAAAACAGTTTATTTATGTCGCATGCGTCTTGAATGTTGTACTATCGATCGGAACTGCCATCTTTTACTTTGTTGAGCATTACTACAGTGCTGCAATTGTGTTTTTGATATTTGGATTGTTTGCTGCATTTTGTTATTGGAGATCGAGAAGTAGAATTCCCCTCAGTGCAACAATATTACGAATTGTGATTGATGTCATGAAGCAATATCCATCAACCTTGGTCACAGCATTTTTTGGACTCGTGATTAGTGCTGGTTTTGGTGTATTATTCAGTGTTGTGATTGTCGGTACTTATGTCAAGTATAAGCCAAACGCGGATAACACCGCGTGTGAAGTTGGAGGGGGATCGTGTAGCCAAGGCAAGTTGGTTGGTGTTCTTGTATTTGTGTTCTTTGCTGGATACTACATATCTGAAGTTATCAAAAATGTTATTCACGTCACTATTTCGGGAATCTATGGTACATGGTACTACTTGTCCAATTCCGACCAAGGTGCTCCAAGACACCCTGCTTTATCATCGTTCAAAAGGGCTTTGACTTACTGCTTTGGGTCCATCTGTTTTGGTTCGTTGATTGTGGCATTTATCCAATTGGTGAGACAATTGCTCAACATTGTGAGGTCGCAATTTGTCGATTCATTTGCTGGCCAGTGTGCTTTAATCATTGTTGATTTCATTGTTGGCTTCATTGACTGGTTAGTTCAGTACTTTAACAGATATGCCTATTCGTATGTCGCACTTTATGGAAAATCTTATCTCCGCTCAGCTAAAGACACTTTTGATATGTTTAGATTCAAAGGTATGGATGCATTGGTTAATGATATGTTCATCAATGTGGCATTGAACTTTTACTCATTGTTTGTTGCTTATTTGTCCTCGTTGTTGGCATATCTTTATCTTAAATTTACCAAGCCTGGGTACAATTCTGATGGTAACTACTATGCTCCTGTTGTGGCATTTACATTTTTAATCTCGATGCAAATCGCTAGTATCACCTTGAGTGTTATAGGTTCAGGTGTTGCCACATTCTTTGTGTGCTTGAGTAAAGACCCTGAAGTCTTGCAAATGCTGCAAAGAGACGAATTATTCAACCAAATTCAAAGAAACTATCCTCAAGTGTATGAAAAGATCAATACAGATCATTAGTATTGCGTGTATTCTAATATAAGCTAAGTTAATTCCAAATGGCTTCATGATGGTAGATTCTCTGATTTTAGTCGCGACTTTGTTCACAATTTTGGTGACAACCAAAAAAAATAGCACGGTTAAGTAAAGACTCCAGCAAACACACGCAATCATAATAATGTTGACCCTTGCCATTGGCGACTTGTTTATTCCTGAAAGAGCTATAGATATTCCCAAGAAGTTTAAGAAACTATTGGCTCCTAATTCACAAACCGTACCCACCAACAGCAAAATTAATCGCGTTGTATGTTTGGGTAATATTCTCAATTCAACATCGACTCTACAGTTTTTAAACAATATTTCACCAAGGTTTGAGCTAGTGAAAGGCGAATACGATGATGCTAGTATTGTATCACAACAGTTGCAATTGATTGCAGATTCACAGTCTAAGTCACTGCCAAGAAGGAGTGGCAATTCTGCCATGAAAGTTCCCATGTACAGTCGATTCGTGCATGATAATTTGAAAATTGGGTTCACCAGTGGATACCAGATTGTTCCACGAGGCGATCCATTGGCCCTAAGTGCCTTCGCAAGAGAGTTGGACGTGGATGTGTTGATATGGGGTGGAACGCACCGAGTTGAAGCTTATACGTTGGATGGTAAATTCTTTGTCAATCCGGGAAGTGCAACTGGTGCGTTCAGCTTTGATTGGCCCGAAATTGAAGAGGATGACGAGGATGAGAAAGAAAAGGCAGACGAGGAGACGGAGGACGCTCAGAGAGAACAAAATAAAGAGACGGCGACCATGGATGAAGCAAATGAAAATGAAGGACCTACAAATCAAGAACAAAAGGACACAAAAGAACCAGAGGAGAATACAAATTTGCAGGAGAACAAAGACAAAGGAGACAATGAACTGGAAGCTTTCAAGAAAACACTATATGAAGTGACAGAGTTAAACACCAACATCCCCTCGTTTTGTATACTTGATACCAAGGGCTCTACGTGCATTCTTTACATCTACACGTATTTCAACAACGAAGTCAAAGTGGATAAAGTCACATATAATAAAGAATAAAGCACATTTTATTTTTCAAGCTTGTACCGAACTATAATGTAATACAAAGTCTTTTCTAATCTTTTCCCAATTATGGGGGTCAAAGAAAATGTAAACCCCCTTCTCTACATCCTGGCCAATCAACACTGGCTCCACGTTGCTATCCTTTGTTAGCCAGACTTGAATATCTTTATGGTATCGCCAATTTCGAGCAACCAATTCCCTAGCAGCATACTCTTGCAAAGTGTCCCTCGGTTTCATATAAAATATGTAAAACAAAGTTTCATCGGTGAAGTTTTGGATCTTAGAATCACATGTTGAGGGGTCTATTTGATGGTTCTTCAACTGAGAATTTTGTAGATGTAACGGTATTTGAAAATGTGGTTCGACTTCACTTCGAGAAGTTTCCAGCCACGGGCTTGCAAGATTCTTTAAAATGTTGACATTGGGTGATAGGTCCAATCCACACTTGCTGATGTCTTGACCAATTGCAAAACTCGTAAAATCCGACTGCTCCATTCTTACCAACGAGGATAAGCCTTGTAGACCATATTTGGCTAAATCATTAGCCTCTGTGTTTGTCGGTAGCGTTGTTGCTTGACTAGATCCAATACTTGCACCCGTATTTACCATATTGACTCTGTTGTATGTTGTGATGTTGATGAAGTGGGTGATAATCAAAGACTTAACACGGAATTAAATTTTTTTTTTTTTCATTTTTGTTCTTCCTCTCCAGATGTCAAAATTGCTTTAACCATCGCAAAGCAGCAAGGCAACATATACTCTTCTTTTTCCTTGTCATTGATACACAGCTTGAAACAATGCCAGAGTCTAGAAGAAACATTCCCAATATTATCATTACCGGTACCCCAGGATGCGGTAAGTCATCACATTCGCAATCACTAGTCGACCAGCTAAATCGAGGATTCGCCAAAGAGACAACGATAAAGTTCAAGCATTTCGATGTCAGTGCCTTTGCAAAAGAACGTGAATGCCTTGAGTCTTACGATAAGGACCTAGATACCCATGTTGTTGACGAGGATAAATTGTTGGATGAATTGGAACCAGAGTTGGAAAAAGGTGGTGCTATCGTAGATTGGCATTGTTGTGAGATATTTCCTGAACGGTTGATTGACCTAGTTGTTGTTTTACGAACAGATAATTCGAAGTTGCACGAGAGATTGACAAAGAGGAATTACAAGGATAACAAAATACAGGAGAATTTGGACTGTGAGATAATGGAGGTCATCTTAACAGAGGCAAAGGAGAGCTATATACCTGAGATTGTTATTGAATTGAGAAGTGATAAAGCTGAGGACTTGGATGAAAATGTGGATAGAATTAGCGCCTGGGTTGAAAATTGGATCAAAGACCATCCAAGGGGAGTTACAAACGAATTGCAAGCCGCGGATGGTGCGGTTAACGACAGCGATGATGACGAGGAAGATAATGAGGATGGCGAGTTGGTAACCAGTGGAGAAGATGAAGGTCTGTATGTTCCAGACGAGGAGGAAGATTCAGATGATGCTCTTGCTAGTTACCACGAGTCGGAAGACCCCGCTACTGTGGAAGAAGGTCTTACCGACCAGCAGAAGTTCGATCTTGAGCAAAAAGAGCAAAATGATGTGGATGTACTTAATGAAGAAGACGAGGAAACGAATGAGTACGATGAGCACCAAGAGGATGTGTCGGAGTAAACATACAATATGTATTCTTTCAATAGATATCAGTAACCGACTATTTGAAACTCTAAATCAATTTTCATTTCTTGACAGTTTGATTCTGTTCTTCAAACAAATTGACAAATTTTTGCACCTTGCCAACTTTGATGAACTTGAACTTCTTGTTTTGCTTTATGTACGATGGAACAGCAGCAGAATCCGAGTTATACGCAAATTGCAATCCATATTTGTCGTCAGTATTGATCATCGACACTGAATGACTTGAAGACATGCGCGATACCGCCCTCCTTTTAGTCGGCGATTGGAAAGATGACTTGCGCGAAAACTTCATTATTTCGTCATCATCACAAAACTCTTTCTTTGGCGACGAGGATGAAAACCTGTGCACTTGAAAGTCATTGGTATACTCGTTGTCAGATTCCTCGTACGAAACTTCAACCAAGTCATCGAGGTGTATGTGATTTTCTGGCGTCAAAGGTGAAAACCTAATAGCCTCGTCCAATGCATTGCCTTGGAACAAAACTTGCTGTTCGTCTCCATTCAACTGCTTGTCATCATCGTTGTGTCTTAAATTATCTATATTATCAAGAAAAGTGTGTTTAAATTTCAATCCCTTCTCTTCGTCACTAATCTCACTAAACCTTCTTCGGAATTCGTCAGTTAATGTCTCATTGGAAACCAATGGCTCGATGATACCTCCTTCATTTTCATCTGCTAAATACAACGCATCGTCCTCACTGCATTCTAAAGTCGAATCACTGACGTCGGAGTGGGAATGCATACCATCATTCTTTGGTCTGCTTTTGCCTTGATTCTTTAACAACGTATATGTTTCCTTTATGTACTGCTTAATCTCAGCCACCAATTCACCTCTTTGGTCGCAAGACTGTAGTAGGTGAAAGTTTTCATCTTCTTCTAATATGAAAGATTCCGGGGAATCAAAATTGGAAATAATTAATTTAAAGCTGACAACGAATACATCTTTTGTCAGAAGTGCATCTGGATGAATTTTGGTTCGTTTCTGATTAGTGATAATATCGTAAAGGTAGCTTTGTCTCAACAAAGCATTTGAGTCACCACCTAGCTGAACCACTGAAATCATGTTCCTCTGTAACAATGCAAGAAGGTTAGATGAGCCTCGACGTACTAGCGCATTTAGTTCAATATTAACTGATATTTCAACACAGCGATTGCTGCTGCATTCCTCTGAGATTCGTTTATGTTTCGATTTTGATATGGAATGGATTAAATATGCAACTTTCCTTGGTATATCTGACGAGTGGATAAAATTTGGTTTTATTTGATCATTACCCGAAACTGCGGAACGGGTTAATCCACGAGCACCAAGCTCCAGTGGCCGACGATTGATTGTTTTGTTCAAGTTCATTATTGATGACTTGAAAGTCTTGGGGGTAATATCTTTTTGTGACTATTTGGATGCCTGGTAGAATACACAGGTGCAACTAAAACAAACTTGAGCGTAGGAGGGTAATATTAGTCCAGTAATATGCTGTGTGGAGTTAATCAACTGATTGCAACCACCGTACTTTGTCTAATCTGATATTGATCTTCTTTAAAATCGTGGCCTATTGTTGCCCTTTTGTTTACTTTTCGGATTCTGGCGCTACACTTTGTGAAGTTTTTCTTTTTTTTATTCGTCTCTTTGGGAAAACCTCCATGCCGCAATAGATCAGAGTCAAAACTGTATCTTTCAAACGTCAAACATTCCTACTGAGCACACACACACAGCTGTTGGGCAACATACAATCAGCCATGTCATCCTACTATTTTGCTATGATTGGAACTCGTGATAACCCCTTATACGAAGCTGAGTTTTCGTCCTTCAAAAATGCGCCATCTTCTATCGTTTCGCCTGCATCTCAAACGTCGGTCATTCCAGGCACGTCACAACAACTTCCCGGAAAATCACAATTTACCACATCCACGAAAGAATTGCTACCGTTTATAGCAAATGCAAGCCTCGACATAATAGAAGAACAAATGTGGTCAACACAGGTGTTGAATTTAGGCAAGATTGATCAGTTTTACGGGATTAATATTAGTGCATATTTGACCCAAGGAAGCATCAAGTTTGTCCTTTGCTACGACTCAAACAAGGATGATAATAGCATACGGCAGTTTTTCCAAGATGTCAATGAGCTTTATGTAAAGGTGTTGATGAATCCATTCTATAATGTAAATGATGCAATACTTGCTCCAGAATTTGATTACAAGGTGAAGCTACTAGCTAAAAAGTATTTATAAACAAGAGTATAGATCAATTTCGACTGGTGTAGTATGTAGATCTCAAATATAAATCAAATTGGTAAAAGTTAGACTATTCTGCCTTTTCTGCACCTTCTGGAGGATTTTGCAATACCTTCTCAGTTTCGATTTTGTAATCGCCATTACTGGTTTCAACAATGATGCCCTGTTTTTTCAAAGTTTCAAACATATCTTGAGGGATCCAGCCACCAGTAGCACTGAATGGACTAGAGACTGTCTCCATCTGATAATCACTCAAATCCAGTTGATGTTTATCCAAAAATTCCTCATCATACTTGATTGGAAATTCTGGGTCTTTTTGGTCCTGGTTGACAATTTCGTTTGCAACATAGGCATCCCACATGGCTTGCAATTGGATAATAGAACCTTCAACATAGAGGTAATCCTTTGGCGTTTTCAAGTCAAGGGCTTGTAGGTATGGCGATTTCAAGACTTTCAAGTGTGGAGATGCAACGGCAATCAAATCATGCCTGTTTTTGTTCAACTCAACTTCCCAAAGTCTTTCATTTCTTGTTTTGTAGTACATAAACTCATATTGCTGCTTTTCTGCTGGCTCCATCTCGGCAAATCCTGGAATATCTTCCTCTAAGTTGTACACTTTAGCTCCATGATAGGAGACAAAGTTTGGATAACTTGTCAAGATGAATGGCTTGATTGTGGAACTCTCGAAATCGATAAAGTAATTGCCCTTTTTAGATTCAATCACATTTAGTGGGTCCAAGTCAGGGACAAACAATTTTGGTTCGAATAACTGTTCAACATTTTTTATAGATTTTGAGTGAGGGTTCAATAACTTTGGAGTTATTGTTTTCAAATGTTCAAAAGTCTTTATTTGATCCTTCAAAAGCTGTTTGTCTGATACGTCACCAGCATCGGCATCGACAATTGCAAGTTTGTTCTTGGCGTTTTCCAACTCAATATCAGCAACTGATTCCATCACCTGTAACAGATTGGAAGCATCCCAGGGTCCATTATATTGATCGATTGTCTTTTGCGACAACTTGTTTTTACCCTTGGAAAATTGCCTCTCAACACTTGGACCAATTCTCCATCTCATTAACAACTTTTCGTCCTCCTCGCCGTTGTATGGTTCTTCAGCTTGTAATGTAGGTGCAACATCATTGTAAAAGTACAACGAACCAAATTTATTGAATTTGATGTTGAGAATATCGTCTTGAAACTTAGCAATTGGTTCAATTACTTGTTTCAATTTCTCATCAGTCTCCTTAGAATCAGGGTCTAACGGATGCCACTTTTTCATCAACAAATCACCTTCAATGAATTCTTGTAAAATGAATGGAGAGCCCACCTCATTCTCAGTATCCACTCCATACGAGATAACTTTGGGGACGCTTAAATTCAACTTCAAATTTAAAAAGTCTAAAGTGGCCACTTCACTCTTGATTCTGGAAGCGATTGCTGCCTTTGAATCTATCTTGTAAGGGATTCTCAATACCAATTCTTTACCGGTTGATAACGTTACCTTGTATATTCTATGGTGTTTTCCTTCATGAATGGAAGCAATGGAATTGACAACAAGTTTATCAGATTTAGAACCAATTAGCTCATCTGTCAAGTTATTTTGCAACAAAAATGCTCCTTTGTTCTCCTTTGGTGCAGTTAGTTCCTTAGAACCCACTCTGACTTTATTTAAATCATTGAGAAACGACGTCAACCCTTCAATTGAAAATACTGTCTCACGTTGCAATTTCATTAACTTGTCATTCTTCAACCATGAACCCCAACTATACTGAAAAAAGGGCGTCCTTTTAGGATCTTTTGAGTCAGACAACTTTGTGAATACTTCGGTGGCTCCATTGTCATTGGAAGTAGTACTAGCGTATTTTCTCGATACTGCGGTAATTCTTGCAATGCCTGCAGAATTTCTGGAAATGGGCACTCCTCTCAAACTATTTCTTGCAATTCTAGATAACATGTTGTAAGAAATAGTTTTAATCTAATGGAAAGGGAAGAGAGTTGAAAATCGGAATGGCAAAACTGTATCAAAAAAAAAATCATCTAGAAAAATTGAAAGTGAGTCACGTGAACAGATGAGTTTTGCGACCCTTTGCAACATTTCACACTTTTAGTCTTACATAGTATTACATTAAACATGTACACAATATCTATCTATCTAACTTTAAGTTCATTTTGCATACTAGCTTTCAAATCCATACATGTACTGGCTATCAATGCATAGATCTACTGAATGGACGTTTAATATTTCGTGGTAAGAGCTTGATGCTCCTAGGAGTTCTTTTGACAAATTATCCATGTCACTAGTATGGCCGTCAGTCAAGGTGATTTCCAACAATTTGTTTTCAATCTTTTTGAATACCTCGGCACATTTCTTTGCTACAACCCAGTCACTTCCAAATGCTTGAAATATTTCTATGCAATAGCATATCTCCGTTTTTGATTCCATTAGATCGATGGCCCATTTGCATAGACAATACAAGATTGTAGTACACACCATAAGAAACCGGTACAATGTGGTCCAATTCAACGGGAGTGACTTGGACTTGAATAGCTTGTACGTTGATGACAAGGTCTGCAAGCACGCTTTACCCAAGGTGTCTAGCTTGTCCTGCAGCGGTTGTGGGTTCAAGTATGAAGGGCGGTAAAGAAGGATAAGCAAATGGTTGTACCTAGCAGTGAACCACGGTATCAGCGCCCTAAAGGCTAGTGATTGTTTGGGCCTGGTTGTCGTATGCTCCAACTCATTTGCATTACTATGCCACTCCTCAATTTCATCGCGTAGTTCTTGCAAAACCTGCTCGCGCAAGGCTTCTTCGGGCTGACCCTTGTTTTGGAAATGCTTATGCACGTTAACCGAATGAACTCTTCGCAAAATTTGTCCTTCAATTTGTCTCAAGTGAATGACTAGTCGATAAGTGGTAATGTCATCTAATTCATCGTCATCTAGTATCTGCGGAAACGGGACATTGATATCATCATCATGGAGAGCCACTGGTCTACCCAACGTTACCGAGGTCAATCGGTCAATTGTGTAAACAGACCACAAAAGTCTCGTTCTCATTTCGATTTCTCGTGTCGTCATCCGTTCCGCTTCTTGCTTGGAAACCGCCTGGTTCAATCCCAAGTGTATGGCCATTCTAGCCAACTTTCCAGCAATTTCCCACGCAATAAATTCGGCCGGGTTGAAAAATGAGTACAATGCCAATAGCATTAGATTCTTCATGCTAACTATATCATTTTTGGAAATGTTATTGTGTACGCTAGACAATGCCATGGAGACAAAGTATTCAGAAATCCGTTTCTCCCTCCCGATAATTCCCGATCTTTCCAAATGGGTGCCTCCAATCGCCAACACCATATATAATTCATATTGGTCCTGGAACTCTTCCAATGACACACAGTCACTATCGCCCTGAAACATTTGATTGAATTTGACGAGAAATTCATTCTTGTTTATCACCGGGCATATCCTGTACGTGTGCATAAAGAATGCATTCATTATTCGTGTTAGCAAAACTTTATCAATTATGGGTGGTATGATGCTAACATTTGAATTTGTCTTGATACCAACTGCACCGTACAAGACTTTGGAAATTTGTTTTGGATAAGCGTCAAAACTTGGAGCTCGAGCGTCGATGGGATTTAGGGTCACAGGAGGAGTTGAGAGTGATGAAAACGATTCAAGCTCGTTGTTGTGGCTTTCTGATGGATCGTCTTTTTGTGGCTGTTCCTGTTGCTGTCCGCTACTTGGGGTCATGGATCTCAAATCAGAATGGTTAGGCTCTATACTCGCATAAGACATGTTGTAGTTTGTCTGTAGTTGGGGATGGAATAATCTGGCTGGCGGATTTTGCATTTGGTCCAGTTGTTGTGTAAGGTACGACAGACTATCCAGAATTGCAGGACTCAAGTTTTCAAGGCCATGAGATATGTTTGGACTTTTTGGGTTTAATATATCATGTGGGGTTGTTGGTCCTTCTTGCTTATTCTTCAACTTGTCCTTCTTCGTCACTCGTTGTTTCCGGGGCACATATTGACACTCTTCTCCTGCCTTGTCACAATTTGAGCACTCTGGCTTAGCTTTGTTGCATTTTTTCTTTAGTTTCCTGCACCTCAAGCAGCTAGTCACTTTAGCTACTGGCTCATGGCTAATTTGCTCGATTTGATGATGATTGAAGTTGTTGCCATTTCCATCAGTTACTGGAAATTTTTTTACTCTGAATTTTGTCACGGATGGGTCTGGTGACAGCATGACGAAGCAGTCAAGTTTGTAGTTGTTCTTTTGTTTCGCTAATTGTCCTCTTACAATCGAAGGTGGATTCTTAAGCTGGCAAGTTTTGAAAGTTTTTTGGTTTTTGTGATTTGTCTTTGCCCCAAAGCTTTATTTTCTTTGCAAAAGCTTTTTTTTTTCAGTTTATGCCGCTACGGGTCGGATTAGATATGGCGCCACAACGTTTTACGATACGGGAAAAGACTGATATATCTAATTATCATCTTTTCCTTTGAAAGAAGAACAATCATTTGAAATCATTCACCACACACACAGACACACACGCAGACACATAGAGAAGTCTTCACAAATGACTAAAATACAACCACTCTTCAATAGAGTTGCCATAATTGGTGGAGGTCCGGCTGGTCTTGCTGCCGCTAAAGCGCTTGCTTTGGAACCTGTTGAGTTTGCAGCAATCGATGTTTTTGAAAGGAGAGATCATTTCGGCGGTTTATGGTACCACAATGGTGACAAGTCTTTGATTCACCCTCATGTTCCGAGTACAGATCCATTCGCAGGTGAGACTGCCGAGAAGAACGCCAATGCGTCAGACTTGTATTTTTCAGCAATTTACAAATTCATGGAAACAAATATTAGTCACTGGTTGATGCTGTACGGTAATGTCCCTTTCCCCACTGGGACATTCACTTTCCCAGAAAGACAGAAGGTGTTACGATATATCAAAGAATACGTCGAAACCATGCCACAAGAAAAGGTAAATATTCGGGTAAACTCCAATGTGATTCGAGTGGAAAAGGTAGGAAAAATATGGGAAGTTGAGGTGGAAAATGGCGACAATGGGGTGTCTTGTTTGGAGTATGATGCTGCAATTATCGCTAATGGTCATTTTAACAGTCCGTTTATTCCCGATGTTGCTGGATTGTCTGAATGGAACGAGAATATCCCCCATTCCATTCTTCATTCAAAGTATTTTGAATCACCAAACACCTACAGGGGCAAAAGAGTGTTGGTTATTGGCAATGGGGCTAGTGGTGTGGATATTTCGACCCAAATCAGCACTGTGGCGGAAAAGGTTTATGTCTCGGTGAGGGATTTGGATAACATTGGGTTTCAAAGTGACTTGATTGATTATATTAGCTTGATTGAGAAATACGAGTGTAAAGATAGGTCCGCTGTTACAACAACTGGCGAGAAGTACAGCAACATCGACGTTGTTATTTTTTGTACTGGTTATTTCTACAGCATGCCATTCTTGCGCAAGAACGGCGTAGAAAAAGATGGATCTCAAGTATACGACGTGTTCAAACAAGTATTCAATGTTTATGATCCATCACTTACATTTGTTGCGTTATTGAAGAATGTTACTCCTATGCCTTTATCAGAATCACAATCGGCCTTGATTGCCAGATACTATAGTGGAAGGTACGAGCTTCCAAATCAAGAAGAGAGACAAAAATCGTACGAAAAAGATTTAGCAGAGAAGGGATGTGGATCCAAGTTCCACGTTTATGGGTACCCACAAGACGTAGAGTATTATCGACATTTGCAAGAGTTGATTGATAAACAAGCATTGAGAAGCCCAGGGTTAATTGCACCGATTTGGGATGAAAACTTGGCACATGAGCGTCTGAAATCCGCAGAACTAAAGGGCAAAAGGTTACAACAACTTGTTGAGCATGTTAAGAAATTGAGATCTGAGGGGAAGGATTTTGAATTGCTTCATTAAATAGGGTTAATTGCTTTTGAAATACATGCGGCTGATCACTTTTGCAACACTTTTTTGGTGTGGTCTTTATTTTTTCTCTAATCATTTTTACAACCAACATTTGACCCACACGTTTAAACTACTCTCCGCCATGCAAGCTCAGCTACTCAAACAGAGTGTTAACAATCAGCAATCGCAATTGTTAATTCACGAATTGATAAGTGTCTCCATCTATTGCGTGACGTTTTTGCGCGATGTATTTGAAGAAAACAACTATATCGACACCAAGTATTATAACGAGAGATACCCTAGACCCGACTCTAATTACATCCGAACAAAGAGGTTAAGACGTGGGGTTACTAATTTTGCTGACCTGATTATCAAATGTGTTGATGAAGGTATTAAGGATTCAATTGAAAAGGAATATTTGAAAGCCGTTCTGTTTGCAATTCAGTTACCAAATGATTGTGGGTTCACCGTATGCGAAAACTACTTGTTTGGGATTGATTACTTGACGAACCAAGTACTGTTCTCAATCAACAATATGGAGACAGAGATTGAGATGCTTGACTATGACCAAATTATTAGCCAAATACAAGGAATGATCAAAAGGTTAATTGTCTTAACACAGACATTTGATGTGTTACCTCGGAAAAAGTCAGTTTTGATAAAGTTGCTCTTTAATGATCTGTGTCCTCCAGATTACCAACCGCCTCACTTTGAAGATGCCACAGACTTACCTCCAACCACAATTAAAGTCAACAAAGAAACTGGAGTAAACGATCTAGGCTCTGTTAATACAGGTAATAACCAGGTCAAATTGAGCATTTTGATTGCAGATAAAGACGGAGTGAACTCCACCGATATTGACCCCTTTGAATTTTTCAACAATTCCAATGACTCCATCATTGGTGATGTTCCAGCTTCTTCTTTACACTTGGATAGCTTTTTGGAAACGAGCAAGAATGAAACAGCTGCACCTACACAGTATTTGTCACATATTTCCCCAACTTGTCAAAAATGTGATACTAAACTCAATGTCGTTGAGTATGGCTATAGCAAACCATTAAAGAGGCCACTTACTTGCATCAAATGTATGTTTGGGTCAGAAATAGATAAAGATCTCCTTGTGTTGCAAAAAATTAGGCTTTTGTGGGATTATCTTTGTCTTCACGAGTTTCCTAGCACTAATCTGTTGTTGGCGTTGACAAATTTGACTTTGAACGATGGTGATATCCTTAGACGTGTGCTTAACAATTTGTTTCAAGAAAATGTCCTCGTTGTAACTAAGGAAGGCCAATTTGAATCCGGTACTGTCAATTATCATATCGGATCGGGTGAGTTTGCTCCTATAGTTGAAGGGATAATTGATAATTATGGTACTCCCATGGTGAAGAATAGGCGCTATTTTGTTATATTTGTTCCTGTTATGCGTGAAAGGTTCCCGTATTTGTCATACGATGAATCAGTGGTTGATTTGTATTTCCCTAATATACAATTACCTAGAGTCAACTTTGTCAAACTCAATTTGAAAAAGTTTAAAGCTAGATGTTTACAAAGAGAAACTCAGTTTAGTGCCAGAATTGTACGTACTGTGATACCAGATTCTCAGGCATCCACAGGAGTGGTTAAGAAATATGGTGGATATAAAATTCCTCGTATTGTTGATGAGGAAACTGCCGATGAAAGCAAGGACGAAATTGATCTCGATGCGTCGTCTCTTGGATACACAGCACAAGAAAAACCTGGTAATACTATAGCAGAAACCACAAAGCAAATAAAGGACTTGTCATTTGCCGATTCGATGGTAATTTTGTCGCAAGAGCCATTGCCAGTGAGAACAGAGGAGGTAATATCAGTACCATCATTGCTGAAAAGAAAGGTTCAACAACAGCTGCAAGAGGTGCGGAAGAAAAGAAAGGTCAGTATCAACAAGGCTTAAGTAGTCGGGTTGTGCGTTTAATTTGTGTGTAAAAAATCATCCAATTAAGTGGTTTGTAGAATAATCGGAGCTAATAGTTCTGATTGGTAAACTTTTGTGATATATTAGGTTGCGCCATTGCGCGTGCCAGATGGGTGTTTAATAAATACACAAAATGCATTGACAAAAAGCGTAGTGAACATTTTAGTGAGAAGGGTTGCTTCGTAAAGAATGTATATTTGCTCTATGTGGGTATAGTGCAACAACTCTAGATTCTTCTAAAGAACCCTCTAGGCGGCTTGGAGTTTTGCGCTTTTCGGTTCCTTAGTTCTAATCATTATTAATTTTTTGTTCTCGCCTCTTTTTTCTAAAATGAATTCTCTTTTCTTTCTGCTTTTGGTTTTGCCAGTTTGCACTACCCAAGGATTCTTTTCTGTTGTTCAAATTGGCAAGTATTACGAATGAGGAGTAAAATTAGTGCTTCGTATGCGTAATCTAAACCCATGTTTTGGAGCAATAGAGTATGCATTACAAAGAGAATCTTTACGAAGTATCCCCATTCTTACCCCCCTTGTGAGGAACAGGTAAATAATAACACCACTTACTAATGTAGCATATACTATTTTGACTAATCTTGGTGTTCCAATTGGTGGTTTTTTCTATTTATACATTATTTCAACCTATCGGAAAATTGACAACCTACAGAAAAGACAAAGAAAAATAAAATAAATTTCTTTTTTTATTTTTTCCTTTAACTCTCTCGTTTAATTTTAGAAAATCGTAATTGATGATTAATTGGGTAAATTTTTTTTGTTTTGTTGGTTTTGGAAATAAAAAAACTCTGTCCTTGGGAAAGAAAAATTTTAGACGTCAAAGACAAACACACTGCAACACACACACAAACACCACTTCCTTCCCGCTCTCTACTATAGACGTTGACTTAACCTCATTCATAGCCATTTTCTTGTGAGTGTTTTGAAATATGACAGAATCACCTGCAACAATAAAGAGAAAGAGACATACGAATTCTAAATTGGGCTGTTTGAACTGCAAGCGGAAAAAGATTAGATGTGATGAGAGCTTGCCACTGTGTAAAAACTGTTTGAAAGGAAAGAAAGATACATGCTCATATTTGTCTTTACCACTGGACGAAATTGAAAAGATTAAATTGACTCACTCATTGAGAAATAGTCAAAACAAACTATTAAATTCAAACTATCGATTACCAGCAACAAATATCCTAACTACGTCAAGAAATGAACCTTTTGAACCTGCAGGAGGTAAGAAGATGAAAGTTGTCAACTCTTTGAGCAGCAGTGTTTTGGACTTTAAGTTTGAACTAGCCGATTTGCCTGTCCTTATACCCTCAATTACTTACCCACCATTGCAATACAATAATCTTTCGATGCAAGACTTTACCAATGAATTCAAGGTTATGAACGACTTTGATAGTGATGATTACACCACTGGCTCGCCAACTCAACTGTCAAAGAGAAACATTTTACCTAACGGCTTTGAGCACCGAATCACATTTAAAGTCGTGAACCCGAGGGCATTTAAACGCGTTGACTCAGCCCATGCCGTGACCACAACAAAAGTTGTTTCTGACTATAGTCTCCACTTGTTTATTGGTAAAAACACGTTGTTTGATTATATGAGTGACTTGTTTATGGACAAGATGTCTGATCAGGGGTTAAGTTTGGCAGTGCAGTGCATTGGTGAAGCTATACTTTTGAATCATTTAAAGAACAAACCACCGTCATCGAGAGCGGAAACTGATAAGAAGCTAATTGGGCGTCTTGAAAACCGTGTAAGGGAATCTTTCAACAAATGCTGCCAGATGTTGGAATCAAAAGTGGCCAAAATCCAACAAACAAAATGTGTAAACTATAATTACAATAGCGCTGGTGGTGATTTAGAGTTGGCAGCTTATACTGGTAACTTTTTAACTTTTAATTCAATCATTCTGAAGCAAGGCGTCAAGACGCATTTTAATACTATGAAGTTACCATTACTTGCATACAACACTTATTCTCGGTTGCAAGAGACGATACCAAGTAAAAAGTTGTCGGTTGTTTCATTGTTGAAGAAGAATTTGCAGTATAATGTAATAAGTGCCAATGTCCCATCATACAATCCACAATTTTTATTTGAAATCGAATCCAATTTGAGAAGTCTTGAATTCATCTTCACGCCTGAGGTTTTGTTCAAAGTCAAGGTTGATTCATCGATTCGGGCCGAATTTGAGACTTTGAAAGCACAATATTCATCCTTGATGAAATTCCTCAAGGATAAAGTTTTGAACATAATTTTTGCCTTGCGTGATGAAAGCAGTCTTTCAGTGTACCCCATTGATGCAATTTATGATGTGTTGCTGACCTGGCATGCAATGTGCCCACCAGAAGCTTTGGTGTATAAACCAAAGATTAGTTCGTCGTTTTATGACGAGTCAGTGTTTTTGAAAGATTTATCAACTACATTATACACCTATTACAGTGCAATTGCTGCTGCCTTGGATGCGGTGTTCCCCTCATGCAAGTATCTTTTCAGTTTGAGTTTCATACTTCCAGTAAGTCAATGTTACAGCGATAAGGAAACATTGACGGTATCGAAATATAACCCGTACACTAGGTCCTTCTTCAGTCATAAAATCGATGAGTTGTTGCAACGTCACATCATCTATGCATCTCGGTTATATGCTTTCTTTAAGAGACGGTTTGTCTTTTATCACAACAATATCAAGTGGTCAAATTACTACGATAATGCTACATTGATTAATAATAGGCTGAAGAGTAGGAAACTATCCAATGCCACCGAAGTGGCTATCAAGAGTTTCAATACAACATTAATACGACCGGAGCATTATCCAATTAGAGACAAATCAGTTGATCCATCGAACGCTGTCAACAATTACATCAGCTTCACTCGTGAAGATGACCCTTTAGTGAAAAACTTGTACGCTAGAAACATTGAAACGTTGAATATCTTTGATGAGACATCAATCTTGCAATTTGATTACGAGAGTATGTTGTTGCTTAAGGATTATCGATCATTTGACGACGAGAGTGAAGTTAGTCGTGAAGTTTTAAGTGCGAAGGATATTCGTGATCATTATGAAGATAGAATTACGATATTAGATGAAGCAAGTAGGAATTGGTAGTTAATCTAGAGGAAAACTTAATAGCATAAATTTTCAGTTCGTGAAGATAAAGAGTAAAAGGTAAAAAACTGTTAAATAGTGGAACTTTTTGGTAGCGTTCACAAAACAATTTTCTTAAGAGGAAAAATCTTTAAAGAGGCATCACTATTGCCCTACGTCCACAACTGCAACTTTACTCCTTTTTCAAAAACACAATGTCATCAATAATAGTACCGGGGGACAATCTTCCCATAGATCCTCCTTCGTCAACCAAGACCAAAGTAGGTCCAGGTATTTACAAGGACCCCAAATCGCAAAACCTCATCCCATCAACATCAGGTATCCTACACATTACAAAGAACCAGCAACAAAATTCCCAGCTTGTATATATCGAATCTAATACTAAACGGTACCTTCCTCACAACAACGATTTTGTGATTGGAACAGTGACAGGTTCCATTGGAGACTATTACAAAGTATCATTGCAAGATTATTCATCATCGGTGTTGTTATCATTTATGGCTTTCCCCAATGCCAGCCGCAAAAATCGACCCAATTTACGCAACGGCCAAGTTGTATATGCAAGAATTGTCAATGATGATAATGACTCTACGTTTGAAACTGAGTTGGAGTGTTTTGATGCGTCGAACAATCGAGAATCAGGAGGGTTTGGCGTTTTGGATGATTCCGGGTATGTGTTTGATGTGTCAATGAATTTTGCTCGTGAGTTGTTGTACAATTCTAAACTGCCGGTGTTGGAGCTACTAGCCACTCGCGTCCAATTTGAAGTTGCAGTGGGGATAAATGGGAGAATTTGGTTGAAGTGTGGCGAAGGTTTACAAACGGAGCAAGGACAACAACAGCAGCAGCAGCAGAACAGTGGAGGAAATGGGACTAACGATGGCGATGGTGATGGCGATGTTTCAAGGAGGAATAGGAATGATGGTGGGGATGAAGAAGATGATGCAGAAAGTTTCAAAAGTAGAAATTTGAAGAATCTCAAAGATACGTTGTCGGCGGTTGAATATTTGAGACGATGCCAAACGAGTTCACCGGATAAATTTAAGGAGCATTTACACAGCTCGTTTAAGAATAAGTGATTGTAATTAGGGTGCTACTACGGTCGCATCAAGAAACAAATGGCAAAGAAGAACTAATGTATGTTGCATAGGATGCTGTTTAGAGGATCCGTTTTCCGCTTCTGGTCAGCTTTTACAATTTATAGCAAGGTATAGCGATATACATCAATGTCACTTAGCACTGGAAACCTAATTTTGACTGGATAACTTAAGTAGAGTGTTTTTTTGGAATCTAGAACGGGACTGGGAGGAGGAGTTGTCTCAACAAATACCTCGATAGAGTTCTCAGTAGAGTCAATTGAAGTCTCGAGGTACGAAATTTCTTTTTTGTGTAAGGCTTTTTACTTTTGAGATGCCCATCTGCAACAATGTAAAAACAGAAATCAGACTAGCACAACCAAGCTTTGTCCTACACAACGTCAAGAAAATGGCACTAGAAACAAATCTTAACCCGTCTGGAAAGCAATCCACACAAACGCATAAACGAAAAGAAAAGGATCAACGACGAAAACAATATGACGATCAACAAGTGCAAGGAACCAACAATTCATCAATTGTATCTAAACGCAGTGTCGAAAAGTTATATTTTCCGCAAATCCAACCCGAACTAGGATCATGGTTTAGTCATTTTGTTCCATCGCTGAAAAAGGATCGACGGTCACCAGCGATTAATCGTGGGTACTGGATCCGTATGGAGAGTATACGCCAAACTCTTTATAGAATTATTGGTAGTCAATGGTGTAGCGGCGAAGTAGAAGGTCTCGTGGGGAATGAGAATGATGAGATGAAAATGGAGAAGAAGAAGAAGAAGAGGAGAGTTGTTAATGTGATTAATTTAGGATGTGGGTTTGATCCATTGCCGTTTCAGATGATGAGTATGAGGAATAAAGGTTTACTTTGGGGTGCTGATGACATAGAGGTCAATTTTATTGATGTTGACTATCCTGACTTGGTTGAGGAGAAGTATTTATTGATTAAAGCCTCGGATGAGATTAAGCAATTGATTGGCACCGAAGTTGACCGTGACGATCCATTATGCAAGTTGAATACGGCCAACTATCGATTGATTGGATGTGATTTGAAAAATTTAAAGCAATACCAAGATATAGTTGATCATTATTTGCTCACTAAAGATGCATCAGAGTCGGAGTACGAAATGAATGTGTTCATAGCTGAAGTTTCTTTAGCTTACATGAAACCAGAATTTGCTAATCCCGTGATTGAAATATCATCCAAAACGTGCAATTCCAACTTTATCATCTTGGAACAAATCATGCCTGATGGTGCAAGCAATTCATTTGCCACAAAGATGTTGTACCATTTTGCCCATTTGAGAAGCCCCATACAGTGTGTTGAACTGTATCCCACTAAACTGCAACAATTGCAACGGTTTCAACAGTATTACAACTTTAGTGAAGTGAGGAACCTTTTTGAAAATTGGCAGTCGTTGATTGAAGATGATGAAATCAAGCATCAAATGATGCAAGTGGAGGAGTTTGATGAATGGGAGGAGTTTATTTTGTTTTGTCAGCATTATATTGTTCTTCATGCCACTAATGACGTTAAGCAATTGGTTTATGATGAAAAATTGCAACCTGATTTTCAAGTAGATGATGGTGAAGGGAAGGCGCAGTTTGCCGTCGACGACGAAGTGAAATTAAGTATTGATGAACGGTTTGATGATAAAGTTGATATGTTGCAAGTAAAGTTCCCTGCATGTGCTCGGTTAAATGATAAAGTTTATGTACAAGGTGGGTTGAAACAAACAAGAACCAATGAAACCATTGAAGTGGACTATGATACAGGTGAAATTAGAAGACAATTTTCGGGTGAATCAGGGGATGATAATGTTCCACCGCCTCGCATGTGTCACTGTTTGACCACTGTTAGTGATAGTTTAATCCTTACTGGTGGCAGAACCAGACCGGGTGATGTTAAAGATGATATTTATAAAAATGACCGCCAGAATTGGCTCAAAATTGGTCACTTGGATGAACCAAGATCTAGGCATTCTGCAGTGGCTATAAACGATAAAGAAATTCTTATATTTGGTGGGTTATTAGAAACATCAAATGGTGACCCATTTATACTATACAATGTGGCAACAAACCAAATCCAACCACTTCAAGCACGAGGTGATTATATTGACAATTTATACAGTTCAACTATCGTTTATCACAAGAATGATGAGGGATACATTTATGGTGGATTTAACCAATGTCATTTACCTAGTGTTAATGATCGACTTTATAAATTTGTTATTGATTATGATACCAATCAAATCAAACTTGAAGTTGTGTTGCAACATTTTATGTTTGCCCGAATTGGCAGTCAAGCACAACTCATCAGCAACAACCACAGCAACAAGTTATTAATTGTTGGTGGTGTATCATCAGAAACCATTTTGACTAGGATGACCAACATTGTCACGTTGCAATTGGATACATTGACGTTTAACAGTGTTGAAATATCTTCAGCAGTAAGTTTACGTTATCCACCGATATTTATTGGTTTTGGCCTTGTTTCAATGAATCAGCACTTGAGCTTGATTATTGGTGGTGGTGCTGTTTGTTATTCATTTGGTAGTTGTTATAATTGTGTATACAAGTTAGAATACTAGAGTAGTGGAGTTTATTAGAAATTTGAACGAATTAAGCAAAAGTTACATAAAAGAACATATACGGTAGGTGCTACAAAATAACCTTAAAAGATGCAAGTAAATGCATCTCTGATGATTGCGAAAAATATACTCTTTGACATTATTGACACAAGACACACAATGTCGTAAAACTTCAATAATGCGTTTGACTCCATCTGGAGAAAAAAGCGCAACTCTGATCAAAGGAAAAAGAAAAAAAAGAGAAGAAACTGCAAACACATACGTAATGCAATTAAAAAGAGATGATGTCTAGCCTCTGTCCTGTGGGTGTCCCGGTTATAAATAGGGTTTCTTAACCGAAAACCAGATGGTTTCGATCTGGTATTGAGATATAGGGGTAAAGGTAAAGGGAAAGATCTGCGTATGCTCGGTTTAGTTGCTCAATTCCGGTTGTTGGTTTTTATTGTTTCATTTGTTTTTGTAAAATTTTCTTTTTGCGATTTCGGCTCGGTAATTTCTGTAATCTCCGAAGCTTTATTTTAGTTCTGATCCCCTGTCTTTGTTTTCTGACATTTGCTGTAAATTTTGGTAGTTGTTATTCTTTCAGCTTTGCCCAGTAGCATCCTATTTTCAAAACTGATTGATTTTTTTACCTTTTCCCCCTCTGTTAAGGGTAAATATAACGTGCTTAAAGTGATGTGAAGTGAACAGAATTAAAGCCGGAACGGTAATCCCTGTTATTTCCGGTGTTTTTTTTTTATTTTTTTACGAAATTGTGATACGCAACACAAACACAAAACTGAAAGAGTCATAAGCAGAAAGAGCTAAGCCAAGCTATGGAGTTATACAGGAAGACGACGCAATAACTACAATATGCAATGCCTGATATAAAAGAAAAAAAACAGCTGATTAAATTTGATATCTGTATATAGAGAATAAGGAATCAAGTACGTATTCAAGAGAAGAACTTAGGCTCTCTCTCATTGAAGGATGAGGACTGATTTTGCGAAAAATAGTATCTCCCTTATTCTATGACACATAATTGGGTGAAAAGATATGAAAAAGGGGTATGGTGGTTTGTATATTAATGCAGATGCATCTTGTGCATGTTATGCAGAAGTAGTGTGTGTGTGTGTGTGCGGGGATGGGAAGAGGTGTTGTGGTTTAAGCTAGAAGAACGGAATGTTTGTAGGATACGTTCATTACAATGGTGATGTTCTAGATCTTTCATTTTTACTTTCGTTTCCAAGGAACTATACGTGCGAGGGTGTGGGGATTTTGAATGTTTTACTAACATGTATAATAATGCCTACTTTTTGCATTAATAATAATCAGACCATCAAAGAATAATATTTTGTTACAGTTACCACCAAATGAGTAGCCACATAATCAAAATACCCCAAAGCTTGACTGCCCTTTGTTCAATCGTTTTAATAATTAGTCTCTCACTTTGCAGAAATGTTGTTTGAGTTCGTTATGGTTAAACTTTAATTAACAGAGTTTAAAGATGATGATGTTCTAGGTACAATCTATTTACGGATGAATATGAGTAGAGGTACTCGTAATGTCGATAATACACACCCATCCGTCCCCTTTTTCTAGAGAAGGATGAAGATTCATCAACCCTTACCCTACTACCAACTGGGGTACGCACTAGACACAATTGCTAGAAATTTACTCCTCTTTTGTGAACACTATTGCTATTGCAACATATCTCTGATACTTCTGGTGCTACTTTACAACCTATTAGCGGCACCGCCAACCACCGCTCCGGATACGATTAAGGTTTTGGGGTTTCTATATTCGTCGGGTGGGTTGGTTCGTTGATGCTGTTTAAAACTTTTTTTTGTTGGGTCTTTTTCTTCAGTGTGTGTGCGTGTGTGAATGTGAGTGAGTGAGTGAGTATATATTACCCCCTTATAATAAACCTTAAAAAATCATGAAACTTACACACATATAAGATTGAGTACAGGTAAGTAGATGTAGAAAAGGAAGTAAAGCTGAAACATAGAAGTGGTCTAAAGTTTGGAGATTAGTTTGTGTGCATAGATTGATGTAGGTTTGGAACATACAGACGTAAATATAACATAGAGAGTAAATGTCTTGTGTACTTTACTTTAACTCCTAGAGCACAGTGGAAATCTCTTGGAGGACAAAATAGGGAGAACCAAATTATTATCACAGGGTACACTACCCTTTTACACATACACAAATACTTTTTTATTTAATAATACACAATATCTATTTTGTGTAATACCCATCAGTCATTTAATCATATACATCATATCATATATAACGTATATGATGTATATAACATATATAACATATCATACAGCATTAGTATATATATACCGCCATATATCATCTACACCTGTCTTCTTCAACAGCAAAAACAGCAATATCAACAATATCATATCACTTATAACCTACTAGTGTTATTATTACCCCTAGTCACCTCATCATTATCTTCCGATTTAACCACAATTTTTATAATTTTAATCCTTCACGCGTTTGTCTTAGCAAACAGAGAATTTATTTTAATTTTAATTTTAATTTAAACCTCCCCAAAAAAATAAAATTCAAAAAAATTACACCAATTACAGGAGGGTACAGCTACAAAAGGAGTGTTTTCTAAGGCAAGAGGGGAATGGCAACATTTGAATCTTCATTTGCAAGAAGAGATCAGAATCATTTCAGTGACAGTACTAATACTACCGATAGTAGCAACCATACACCACCGGCAACACATTCCCCCCCTGTATCTGCATTAGCATCCACAACTGCACCTTCATCAACACCTTCATCAGCATCAGCATCAGCATCAGCATCAACATTAACATCAACATCAAGTTCAATGTCAATAAGAGATACAGACACATGCACCCTTCCCACTGCACTATCACAAACTCCGAGCTCTTCAAATGAGTCTACTCCCCGAGATCGACGTCGATCTTTTACATACGAATCAACATCACCCAATGGCAGTTCAGAAGCTTCACCTGCGTCACCAACACCACTTTCCATGAGCTTTATGCATAAACCATCAAGATCAGAGAATTTCTTCACTCAATCAAATGATAGAACAAGGGAAAATAGCATATTCAACAAGACCTTGTCTTCTTTTCCCTCACAAAGACCACCACCACAGCAACAACAGCCACAACCTCCCAACACAAATTCAATTTCATCAACATCTTCTTCGTCTTCTGGTACTTCACTGATGGATAAATCACCAACTGCAAGCCCTCTACTTCCTGCATCTCCACCTTTGGAAGATAAGAATGATCATTTCGCTCCACCAGACTATTTTAATCACAAATCGTCACTTAAATCAATATCAAGATCAAAATCATTACCAACAACCCCAACTTTCAAAGTCCATTTTGGCAATTCAGACGTCCGTTATTTCAAAAAGAAGGATACACCAAAAACTATATCAGCAAGCAATTCACCAAAATTTGGTGCGCAAGAATACTCCTCGGATGATGAGGATTACGATGATGATGACGACGACGATGACGATGATGACTACAATACATTTGGAAAAGGTTTCAGCTATGGATACACCTACCGTGACGACGATGATGTTGATGATGATGTAAAAAGAATCAGTTCTAGAGGTGGCGGTGCCCACAGCAGACACAATAGCGATTTCCACAATTTTAGCTTGGGTGATACAAAATACCCAAAACCACCATCAGCATCCTCCTCCTCAGAAATTAAATGGGATTTGCAATTGCTAAATTTTGCTCCGTTATCATACTTGAAAAGAATTGAAGCAGAAACACCCGTGTTTCTTGAGCGGTTGTTTATCTCTGCTGATAAGAAATACTTGTTTGGTCATATTGCTGTAAAGAATCTAGCCTTTGAGAAGTATTTGACGGTGCGCTACTCAGTTGATAATTGGATGACAATTATTGAGATTCCCACCACTTACACTGCTGAGAAAGCCGATGTTTTGGAAAAGAACAACTATGATCGTTTTGTTTTCAAGATACCCCTTGAGAATTTATTCAATACGTTTAAAATGTCGAAAACTGCATCTACTGATTCATTGAGTGAAGACAGTAGTAGCGGTAGCAACAATGGTGATGTTTTTAGAGGTTCAAGTTTGGGTGATTACCAAAAGGAAAGAAGATACCAATTTTGTATCAAGTACTGTACTCAAGGGCATGAGTATTGGGATAATAATAGATTTCAAAATTATTTGGTGAAATTGGTTAAATCGAGAATATTCCATCGTCAACAACCACAACAAGCACCACAACAAAAGCATCATTTTTATAATTTGGAAAATAAAGATTCAAAATTACAGGACCATGCGAAAAAGCCAAGATATTCTAGCAGCTATCTTAAACGAGTTGGATCTGATTCTGGAATTAGTTACAACAATCCTGGGGTATATGAATCTAGAAACAACGACGAAGGGGCAGATTTGCAAGATGATCAGGATGATGACGATGATACTACCATCACAGTTGATGCTAATAGTAGTAGTTCCACATTAAAAGAAAATATCGAGGAGTTGTTGAAGAATACCGGAGATGCCCAAATCAAACTGCAAGGTATAAACAATAATAGAGGTTCTTCATCGATTCCTGCTTCTACCGAGTCAACTGCCATGTCCACCGGCAGTACCAACGACAGCAATAATAACAACGTTAGTAACAAGGGTGGAAACAACAATGGCGTCCCTAAAGCCAAAAACCTTCAACTTGATCTTGACCTCGATGCACTTGACACCGTGACTACAACGACCCCGAAATATAAGTCGAAATTCATCACTAATCAATTCAATTTAAATTCGAATTCGAATGCCCAAACCAAGGGGAATTTATCTACAGGTAGATCAAATGCATTCAATAGTGACTTGAAGAGTAAGTCGTACAAGGAGATACTTGATTCCTATTGCTTTTTTAAATCTGATTCTGCAAATGCAAGTGCAAGTGCAAGTGCAAGCGGTGGATCTGGATCTGGATCTGGATCTGCAAGTGGTAGTTCAAGCAATGCCAATAGCGAGAATGGCAATGTTAGTGTCAATGGTGATGGTATCGACAATGATATCGGCAGTGGAAGCAATGGAAGTGAGGTTTGACTCGAACTGGGGTGTAATTGATTTCGCTCTGCTTCAAGAGTAAGGAAATAAATAGGTGTTCGTATTTGCATAAATTTTTGAAAATTCCTGGGCTTAAGTTTCGGGTATTGTAGAATGAATATAAGCTACACAAGGGTACTTCTTAACTACAATCGTATATAACGCCAAGAGACAACAACATCTACAACTAATCATGAAACAAAATGTTATGTTAACAATAAATACAAATAACAACACTCTAAACTAAAAATGATACACTCTAGTATTCCCTCTCTACTTAATCAAAACAGTACATCTTGACTTCACCATTCTCCAACCCCGACACAAATTTTGAATCACTCAAAGCAACACAAGACACACTAGCAGCATTGCCAAACGTATGTAAGCATTTCCCATTTTGTAAATCCCACACTTTTATCATGCGATCATGAGCACCACTAATGATACGGAAGGTGTCGGCAGCAATTGACCATACACCTTCGATATGGCCGAACTGGGTACGGATACATTTACCGGTGGCCACGTCCCAGAGTTTTATGGTGTTGTCAAGAGATGATGTGAGGATGTGGGTGGGGAATGAGTTTGTTGCTGGAACCAAGTTTCGTACTGGGATGGAATTTGTTGTTGCTGATTGTGAAGCTGGTGGTGACGGAGCCAGTTGGGTTTGCAATGGTGATGATACTGATTGCAGTTGTGCTTGTGGCTGCAAGTATGGTCCGTCTCTTGCGCTTGGTTCATGCTCACTTTCACCTTCACTCGTATCTTCAATTAATTCATCCTTATAAGTTAAAGGAACAACACATTGCACTTGTCCTATATGACCATTGTTTTCCATTCCGCCAAAAATCTTGAGACATTGATTAGTATTCATATCCCACATTCGTATAGTTGTATCATCACTAGCACTGAAAATGGTATTTGAGCCCGGATGGATCTTAACGCAATTGACCCAATCAGTATGACCGCGCAATGTATAGCATGTTCTTGAATCAACGTGCCATACACGTACTGTATTATCAGCTGACCCTGAAACTATCGACTTGTTTGAAAAATCAACCGAAACAACGGCATCGTCGTGTCCTCGATACGTGGCAATGCATTGGCCTGTGTGATAGTTCCATACTTTGATTGTTGAATCTAATCCACCAGTGATTAGTTTCTGATTATCAAATACTAATGACCGTACCCCTTTGGTGTGACCTGTTAGTGTTTTGACACATTCACCAGTTTCAATTTTCCAAATCTTGATTGTTGCATCGTATGAGCCAGTCATTAAGTACTTTCGATTGAATTGTAAGCAAGTGACGCCATCCTTGTGGCCCGTAAAAGATTTCATCTTGTATACTCCTTTACGCCAATTTTTCTCCAATTTGAATCTCTCAGAGTAGACAGATTTCCAAGGTCGTTTCTTAAGCACTGGTGAAGTGGATGGCTTTTGATCGGGTTTTTGCTTTTTACGATTAGGTTCATCATTGGATTGTTGCAGTAAAGTTACTCCGTGTTCTGAGGAACTGGTTGTCTCCAGTGTAGCTTCCTCATTTCGTCTAATTGGTTTAATTTCTTCCTCCATCATATCTCTTGCACGTTTCATATGCATCAAAGGAAGTCCCCATCCACAATTGGGGCATTTGCGATCAATATGTTGTTCACACATGTGATGCCAAACACGATCATCATCAGCTAAAGTCTTCCATTTGCGTGATACTTGTGCAGCATTGCAAAGACTATTGCAATCCAAATAGCAAAGAATCCTTAAAGCAATTTCCTGTGGCAAAGTGGAAATAAAATCAATCTTGATCAAAGATGCCACTTCTTGCGAGACAAATGACAATTGTGGGAAACAACATTGGGTTAATATGCCTTGTAAGATCAACTTTCGATGATGTTCTGGTGCTGCACTGAAGATAGACCAGACATGACTGATTGCTTCTTGGTCTCTATTAGGGAGGTCTTCCAATTTTTCTTGCAATTTTTTCATTTTAACTTCATCTGTTTGTTTGTTGCACGTTATATCAGGATTGTGACGATAGCAATACTTGTGGAAGTTGTCTTTTGGTATTAGACTCTGGTCACTGATGTGCTTCACCAAGAATGGTGTCACTACAGATACATCCTGATTTGGTATGGAAACAGGCGAATTTGAACTTGAATTCAACGGAGGCGAAGGTGGTGCTAGAGCTTGCGTTCTCAAATCATTTGATGCCAGGTCTGTCACTATGGTTGATTTAATAGACGAGTGAGGCGGTAGTATCGATGGCGATCCTTGTCTAGACAAGGCAGGTGTGGTATGTCTTGAAGTAGTATGTGAGTGTGAATGTGGGTGTGGGTGTGGGTGTGGGTGTGGGTGTGGGTGTGAGTGTGAGTGTGAGTGTGAGTGTGAGTGTGAATGTGACCCTGGCCATAACTCTGCATCTTCATGTGATGATGCAGTAGAGTTGATGATATTGTTGAAGTTGCTTGTAGTGGCATAAGGAGAGGCCTGCTCGTCAGATGCACAGTTGTTTTGCAAGTTCATAGTCAGGTGTGGGAAATGTAGTGACTGTGGTAGATGATGTGGTTGTAAAAAAAATAAAAAATAAAATAAAATACAGTCAGATCAAATGAATATTGCAGCTGTCAGGCAATAAAAGGTGTGTATTCTTTGTGTAATGCTAGTAGACGGTGGTGGTATATGATTTGGTTATTATATTGCCTTAGAAAGCAGGTAATGTTGAATAGCTTCTGTTAAAATGGAATATTTGCAAACTGTAGTGGTTTTCCTATAAAAACTATTTTTATATATTCTTTTTAATTTCCTTTTTTTTTAAAAAAAAAAATAAATGCGTGGAATAATATTTATCTCTCAGTTTGTCTCTCTCTATTGTTATTTTCCATTATTTTTGTTTCTTTTTTGCTGTGGCTCTTATTTTGTCACTTTTGCACGCAGTCTTTAAATAAAGTATCGGCTCGGGAAGTAGAGGATTGTTTCTTGCCTTGTACTGTGTATGATAAGACCTTTTTTGACCATACGTGAAAAAAGGCAGACGAGACCTATTATTAGTTGGTAATATTGGTCAGCTAATTAAACCAATGTATAGTTACCTCGTGTTCCGCATTAAACCCTATTGGAGAGACAAGAGTTAGAAAAGCATGCACGTGACTATAAGAAAGCATCATAAATGGCTTCTTCTACGACACACAAAATGGAGGAACAAACAAAAGAAAACTGTGGGAGTTCTGAGTACAAATTGTGGTGGCTCGTCAAACTTCTCCTTTTCCGTTGGTTGTCAATGTGCCTCCATTGATAAGCATACAAACTCCGAAATGCGAGATGGAAAACCGGCCGATAAGGGATGACCATTGTTGACTAACTCCGTTCCTTAGATAGACAAGGCGTTTTATTGTTGAATGGTAATTCGCATCATATACAATTGTTTGTTATCTCTAACTCTTAAAAGAAGGTAGTATCAAATGGCCCAGGTTCACCTACATGCCTTGGATAAGATAGCTACTGCATTGTGAGAGGTTACTGCGCTGGAAGTGCAGTTAAAACATATTGATGAATAGAAGAAATTAAAGGTTGGGAATGAAATGGGTCACGTGTACAAATGAGATCATTTTTGAGAGAGTTCTTTTGTGTCACTCCAGTCATGTCATGTCTACATCTCACTCTACAACCATAACATACTAACAATTGGGTGATGAATGGATTGCCTAACATACATCTCCTATTCTGCAACTTTACCGATTTTTCCAGTTAATGATGCTTTGTCTCGATTATTCTAGAAGGTTCTAGTGCTGAGTTTGGTCCATTTGCAGCATCATCTCATCAGAAAAAAAAAATTCAAACCAAAATTTAAGGCATTAATAAGCTCAAGATAAACCAATGAACAATTCAGATTCCCATATCGACAAGAAACAAAGATTACTGATGTCAGAGGAAACCAAAAACAATCAAACCCAAGAAGCTTTTGCAACTGTCGGAGACCAAGCCCAAAGCGTCGACAATTCAGTTAGGCAAACTGGAGCAGCTGATGCCGAAGGACACCCAGTTCAAGAAGTGGAATCGTTATGCATGCACTGTGGCAAAAATGGTACGACTAGATTACTTTTAACTAGAATCCCCTATTTCAGAGAAGTCATTATCATGTCGTTTGAGTGCCCTCATTGTGGGTTCAAAAACAGTGAAGTTCAACCAGCTGCTCAAGTTGCCGAAAAGGGATCGAGATATGTCTTGAAAGTCGAAGACAAGAAGGATTTCAATAGGCAGGTTGTTAAATCAGAAACGGCAACCGTTAAATTCAACGAATTGGATATTGAAATTCCACCAAAGAGGGGCCAGTTGATCAATATAGAAGGTATTTTGCAAGAAATGATTACTGATTTAGAATCCGACCAAGAAGAGAGAAAAAGGGTGCAACCAGAACTATACGAAAGGATCCAGGAAGTCACAAACAAGATAAACCTGTATCTCAATGCTGAGCCTGGAACTTTACCTTTAACCGTTAGTGTCGATGATCCTGCTGGAAATTCGTGGATAGAATATGTACCAGGAGAACCAGCACATAAATGGGCTATGTATGAATACAATAGAACTGCTGAACAGAATGTGTATTTGGGTCTCATATCAGCTGACGATGTCGCCAAGCACAAACAAGAAGAATCGGAGAGTAAAAAGCAAGCCACCGATGCTAACGTCTCATCAAACTTGAACAAGAAAGAAGATGCGCCATCAACAGTGGTAGGGTTATCAGACGCTACTGAGATTGAAAATCTTGACAATGAGGTGCAAACTTTTGATGCAACCTGTTCCGCATGCTACAAACCTTGTTCTACTCACATGAAATCTGTCGATATTCCTCACTTCAAAGAAGTAATCATCATGTCGACGGTCTGTGATCATTGTGGATACAAGTCAAACGAAGTGAAAACCGGTGGTGAAATCCCAAAAAAGGGAAAGCGAATTGTTTTGAAAGTCACTGATCCTGAAGATTTAGCAAGAGATATTTTGAAATCAGAGACTTGTGGATTAAATATCCCTGAATTGAACTTGGACTTGACGCCAGGTACCTTGGGAGGTCGTTTTACAACAATCGAAGGGCTTTTGAACCAAGTATCTACTGAATTACATACGCGAGTATTTACCCAGACATCAGACTCAATGGATGAAGAAACGAAAGCAAGATGGGTCAGTTTCTTTGCTAAATTACAAGATGCCATTGATGGTAAAATTGGATTCACCATTGATATGGAAGACCCATTAGCTGCTTCTTATATACAAAATGTTTACGCACCAGATAATGATCCAAACATGACTATTGAAGAGTTTGATAGGACTTATGAACAAAATGAAGGCTTGGGATTGAATGATATGAAGACTGATTAAAATAGAATGTATATATATTTCTTAAACTTCTATAAAGATATTCTAATGCAAAAGGGGGTTGTTGTTTGATTATCTCTTTTTGTGCTTAAATGATAATGCATCTCTCCATCTTGATGATTCAATCATCTCTTCTAGGGAGTTTTTGCGAGAAGATGATGAAGGTTTCTCGTGAGCTGCGCTGTCAGCAAATGCCGAGAATGTTATATCATCATCGAGCAACCTAGATTCTTCGTAATTAGTGTGAGGAATACTGATCGATAAATTTGGTTTTCTGCTTCTCGATGGTGATGGCGGCAGCATGTGGTTTGAAGCTTTCAAAAGAGGAGAATTTGGGAAATACACCCCACTCGACATTCCGGGGTCTCCATATATTAGCGAGCTTCGCCTGAGTGGAGGTCGAGCTTGAAATTTGTCATCATCGGACTCTGAATCAGAATCTAAATCTGAACCACGTTCGTTTGAATTAACATTCTCATCAGTTATCGACTTTTGTGGGAAGCCAGTATTGATCTGCAAGTCTTCATTGGCTAAGTAACTCATCCTCCGCAACCTCGTATCAAAGGCAATGTTACTATCTCTGATACCCAACTTCCTATCTTTTTGGTACTTCCACCTACATGCATACGCAGCGATACTTTCGTAAACCCTCTTTGTTTGCATCCTTTTGATCACTTTTTTAATCAACAATTGACGATCTAAGTAATCAATAAGGTTGAAACACTTTCCAGTGTCAAAAGTTGTGTATAGTGGCAACTGCAAGATAATTCGGGTAAACGATATTCCAGGATCGTCATTAAGTTCCATCGTGAGTAATGCCTCTTCCATAAACATGTCAAACGCTTTTCTTCTTTCTCGGATCTTGGGGATATCCATTTGGTTCATAGTCTTGTCAATACTATCAAAGTCAACGGTAACATCATACGGATCACTAGGGTTATTCCTCTTTATCCACCTGCGACAAAGTTGCTTGATTTCTAATTCCCCCGTATATGAACGGAATGAAAGTGCCCCTTCTAATGAGTGTAGAAACTTTGGCAAATCAATTGGTTTAATGTATCCAGTACCATATGGATCAAATTTCTGCCATGCCCGTTTGAATTTTCGAATTTCTTCACGTTTAATCAACTCACTGTAGTCGGTTTTTTGATTGATGTAATCAAAGCTATCCAAGATTAACGATATGAACATATTGAGGAAAATGTACATCGAAATCAAGTTCCATGCAATGAACAATATATAGGCATACTGCTTGCTGCCACAATCGTCCGTGTAAGTACCTCCTTCAGATGTGCAGAAGGGAGTAGAAACTGTATAGTCCTCCATAATATAATTCCAGCCTTCTCCAAAACTGCATCTAAATAAAACAATCAACGTTTTCGGTACCGATCTCAAGTTGATATTTCCACTTCCATTCGGTCCAATACGCGTCAATCCAAAAATTTGGTTCATGGCAATGGCAAAAACCAAAAAAACAATGATCCATGTGTACGATAACGAAATCAACGATGGTAAAGATGCTGAAGCAAAACGCAACAACTGACTCAATCGATTACTTCTCGGAATCACAAATAACAAAATTGCCACCAAGAATAATTTGTTGACATTCAAAAATGGCGAATTGTCATCCACTGGGTAAGCAATGATTGTCGTCGCAACTGCACCAAACGAGACAAGCAAGTTGAAAATGTTCCACTTGTAATGCAAATATGTCTTTAGTCCTTGTGCAATGGCCAACATAACGGCATTTACAAAAAACAACACAGACGTGATGGTGTAAGCAACAGTTCGGAATATATTTAGAGTGTTTGGCGATGGGAAGCATTCAAGCAACAATGCCAATGCGTGGAATGCCAAAACGCAATTTAAAATTCTAAACCAGATGGGGTTCTTTTCAACGGTCATATTGTAACAAAATCTTCTGAAGTAGGACAACAGGTAGTAGTCTTTCCGCTTGGATGGACGCACCTGGACCAATATTTTCTTTATTTGATACCACGATATTTGGTCTGTTGTCATATATGCTCTCCCCGTAGTTCGCGAATAGTTACTGATAATGACTGAGATGAATAAAGTCAAGATGAAAATGGTGCTAATGAAATTAAACAACACGACAAAGAACCCATTGAAAGGAGTGGCATTCTTCTCAGGTACTGTCCCTATTCCTGTGCTTTTCATCACATTCGCCAACAAATCTGTCCAACCTTCCAACGAGACAATTTCAAACAATGTGGCAAACGACGTAATAAACCTATTGAACTCCAATTGAGGATTGGTGTACACTTTTGGACTCACAACATTCCAGTTGAAAACTTCATTCTCGTATTCGTTAATGCATTCACCTTCTGTAGATTCCAGGTCAATACAATATCCCAAACGTCCATTAAAAATATTCAATCCCCAAATAGAAAAGGGAAATAACAAGCAAAGCGAGATGATTGCCGCATTAATGATTTTTCCAAAGCCTGCAATCATTGTGTTGTGAAAATTGGACTTCGCTGTTTCACTAATGGTCAAAAGTCTCAATGCTCGCAAAGCTTTTAATCCTCGCACAATTCTCGATAAATTACCATCATCGCGGAGGTATGCAATCGCCTCAATCCACAACGAAATCAAAACAATCATATCGATCATATTCCACGATGAAAGGCAATAAGCATTTGGAGTAAATATAAGGCCATCGGCAAGCACTTTGATCGCAAATTCAACTGTAAAAATCAAAGCAAATACGTACTCGGACCAGAAAATCCAGTTTTCATTAGTGTTCTGCATTCTGTAAATAGGCGTCATATAACATGCAAGTACCACTAACACAACAGTAGCTATAAATGTAAACACCACGATGCCTTCAGAGACAGGCTCATATGGTTGAACACCGTCTATTCTTTCTCCATGACTGGATTTCACCATTTTCTGACATAATCGCCTCACCATATGTCGAGGTCCAATGATGTAGAAGACATAGTTATACCTTGGATTGGCGTCCAAAAACTTGTTCTGCTGGGTCAACAACGCATTTCTTTCCTTGATAATATTGTTTGCAAAACTTGAAGGATCAAAATTTTCAAGCTTATATTTGGTCTTTTTCTTCTCCTTATTGAAGTAAAAGGGGTTGCTAAATATATTAGTCACTCGTGCCGTGTGAATCTGAATCCACCGCTTCCATTTGTTAGATGATAAGGTTTTCATATCATCGCCCGCATCCTCCTCATCGTCATCGTCTATATCCACATCCGCGTCCCGATTTAAAAATTCCTGTACTGCTGTTCCACTAAGCAATAGATTAACTACTGCCTTTTCCATTTCATCTCTCCCGCTTTTTCTTTTGAATAATTTTGCCTTTACTTTCTTCAACAATCCAGACTCCTCGTGGACACTTTGTAACTTGTTTGTCATGACCTCAATGAATTGCAATAGCTGTCTTTTTCTCTTGCCCTCCTCGGAAACCTGCAACGTATTTGCAATGACGGCAATGAAAATATTCAAAATAACCATATTGGACAAGAAGAACCACATTACCAAAAATATAGAACCAAATGATCTTGAAGAGGTTGTTTTAGCATACTCCTGCATCGAATACATAATATCAGTCCAATTCTCGGTTGATGTGATAATGTAGAGTGCAATGAAGGATGCAGGTAAAGTGTTCATGGGAAAATCAATGTCGTCGAGATCATCATTGGGAACAGCTCCTTCAAAATGCCTTGCTAAGATGATACTAACCAAGAATAACAAGATAAAGTAGAACAATGCCAAGTCGAATATAATCCGAATGTTTTTCATAAGCTTCAACCACAAGTTTCTCGTTATTGATGTGGCCAAGACGACTCTATAGAAACGCATAAGCTGAAGCACGCTGAGCCAGTAATAAGCGTGTCCCATTTTGTTTTTGATAGGTTTTATGATTATGATTGTTGTTGCAATCGCCAAAAAGAGGTCGAAACAGTTTCTCTTGGATAAGAAAAATACTCGCCACTGAGGAAAATGAAGGATAAATCTGATGATGATTTCACCCAAAAACACACCGGTAAAGCTTGATTCGAACCGATAAAGTAGGTGGCGGCGATGATCTGACATGTCATGGGATCGAAAACACTGAACAAACAAGCTTATTGCAATAACAATTACAAAGACAAATTCAAATTTGCGGTAAAATTTCAAGTACCGATTTCTTTTCTCCATTTCCTTAATTTTTTCCTCGTAATGTTTGCTGTCGTCTTTGAATCTTCTGAGAAATTTCCATCCGGGCCCTTGTCTCTTTTGCTGTTTTGTCGTTTCCAATCTAGTAACATTAAACGACGCGACAATCACTGCAATGAAAACATTAAGCAACCAAACAGTCATAACAAAGATGCATGCTATAAAGAAGATGCACGCAACCATGTTATCGGTGTCCATAGTGTTGTACATTATGTCTGTAAATGTGTTTGCACTCATTATAACAAAAACCATTTCCAAGGATTGCAAAATGTTGTCAAAATTCACCGTACCATTGTGCGGGTTATCACCAGATATACATTGAGAAAATCTTGGACATCGGAAGCCTTTAATCACACCCGATGGCATCCCGTCGCGATTCAAATACGATCGCTTCAGACCATCTATTCCAATGAATGATCCGCAATACAGATCCGAATTGATATAAGTGTCCGATGGATCGTCCGGGTTAGTCCACACGCAATGCCTGGTTAATGATGACTTGAATGATTGCACCCCGATTATACCGAAAAACAACCAAAAGAAGGAAATGAAAATAGACACATCAATAAGCTGAGGTAACGCACTTTTGCACGCGGTAAGAATTGTATTTGTACCACTGGTCAAGTTACATAACCTCAATATCCTCAAGCAGCTTAAAGCTCTAAAGAGCATTATGTGGTGCTTGGCATCATAGCGATTTATGGACAATAAAAGGGAAATCCAAAAGCAAAGCAGTGATATAAAATCAAGCCTCTGCCAGCTTTTTCGAAGAAAGGCTCTTTTTAAATGAGGATCTACTTTCTTTAGGCCCTTTTCTTTGACAAATGTATTTGCAGGTTTTAATCCATACCCTTCAGGGGCTGATGTTCCATTGTCCGTCTCCAAATGTGCCCCTGGTGCGCCATTTCCCATGTCATCATGAAACAGGCTGAATTCGTATTTATTCTGCAAATCATAATCCACTGACGTTCTTGAATCAATTAAGCGTTCAAAAGAGTCACCGCGATCCCCATTTACATCATTATTCTTGTAATTAAGTTGGTCATCACCGCTGGAGTCATTATTCTCATCATGCATCTCTTGCTTTGTTTTCTCGCCTCTTCTGCTTCCCTTTTTGACTTTAAAAGGATTTCGGAGATTCTTCTTGAATAAATACATAGCACTGTGCATTTGCAAAAACGTTTGATCAAAAAGGTCCGGTGGGTATGCCACCCCCAATTCTTCAAACAGGACTCGATCGCTCACGAGACCATATGCGATCACTTGCATAACTATCTCCACTGTGTAGATGATATTGATTATAATTAGCAAATAGTCTGCCCAATTGTAACCAGAGTAATAGTACCCATCCAATGCATGAGGATTCCATTGACGATAACTTAACAATATTACTTGAAACACGAGAATGAGCAATAAAAACAGGGTTGTCAATTGGTTTTCTAGAACCAGATGACATATTCTTCTTAATATCGAATTAGGTGGGAAAATTCCAAGGGACTTTCCATGCAAGACTTTTGTACGGGATTGTACAGTTCCATTCGTTTGATGTGAATGTATAGAGGGGGCTCTTTCGTGTAGGAGAGAGTCCTCGGTAGATGTGTCCTGCACCAGGGCACTTTGCGCTAGATTCAAGTCACTCGAACTGTGCAAGTAGACGCCCAAACCGTGTGAAAATTTGGTGTCATTGTAAACCGACTCTCCTTTGTCAGTGGTAACTGTGAGTTCTGGGACATTTTTTGGCCCTTTGCCTGGACTGAGACTGTTCCTGAAAGAATGATCACCAGCCTCCATAAACGATGGATGCTCATTTACAGGAGTTTTAATGTGCGAACTTCCACGCGATCTGGCTGGCGATAAACCAAGATGGTCGTTATCGGAATGACCATCAGTCTTGTGCCCTGTACCGGCAACACGATTCGATATTCTTGCAATTGCATCAGTAAATTTCGAGGACGTATTCGCGGGTGTTCCTATGGGTGTATTCGGGTTAAGAAGGCCTGCTTCAAGATAGTCTAAATTGTGCTCCATGTCTCGACTCGGAGAACGTGGATTCTGTGTTGATGTAGTTTCAGTATAGTCAACAAACGGTGATGGTGAATGTAATGATGTCCCACTTCCATCACCAGAACGAGCTTTCAGTAACGGGTCAAGATCTTGGAGTGGTATATTTGAGGTATAGTTGGCGTTTTCGCTCAGATCATCCCCTGTGTTAATCGGAGCAAATTTCTGTGGTGTCTCCCTTGTTGGAGTTGTGACAGGAAACCACTTTGCACTCTCATTATTAGTACCTAGCGCAAACTTCAAACCCTCTTGTAAATCCTTAAGGTCGTTATCATCGAGTGACCCATGAATGATTGGCGAACGTTGAAATGAATCCCCAAGCTGAAAACTTGGTTCTTCTTGAGGTGTAGCAAATTGATCCGCACGAAATGGGTTGTTGTTTGTGAATGTTGACCCGTGCAGTTTGCGGCGGGGGACAAGTATACCAATCTGAAACGGATTTTCGTTTACTCGAGTGTGATCTTCCGTCCCCAGTGGACTTCTGGGGTAGGTCTTATTAGGATCAAAGTCTTCATCATATGATACAGATTCTTGGGTACTTTGTGATACTGGCCGAGTGTTGTGTTCATGTGTGTTTTCATCGGTGTCACTGACCCGCAGAATTACAAAGTTGGGAGTATTCGTAAATTTCCTATCCATCTAGCTTTCTTTGGAATGATTTAATGTTGGAGTGGAAACGTATACATCTGTTTGATATAACGATGGTAGTATTGCCAAGATACAATACGGTCTGTTTTGGCGTACTTGACGTTCTGAAATATAGTTGATGTGGTAATAAAAACAGACTGTGTGTGAACTCTGAATCCAAATGAAAGATGATTCTTTGATAAAATAGTTTTTTTATTTTTTTTCCCGTTTATTTTTTTATTTTTAGAACAACTGTTAACGACTGCAAAAACTGCCAGATCTGGGAAAGATATTGGTGCAATGTATCTTACTGCAGGCTCGTTTGTAGTAATCTCTATACAGGTTGGTTTGTCTGGAAAATCCATTTCGTGGTTGTTCTAAAGTAGGGGACCACATCATGCGTTCATTAAGAGGCGAAGTCAGTTTTCCTTTTTGTACCCCAAAGTATGAATCGTTGGACGATATAGAGATATAGAGATAAGGTTTGGAAACTTTGATAGTTTTAGGCAAGCATAGGTCCTGTTGTAGTGCAAATGACATGAGGAGGTAAGTTTACTTTACAACTAGATACTCATCGCTGATACCGTTACGAGATCATTGACATATCAAGATTCAGGGATCACTCATCCTGGGGCATTAACTTTCATTTTATTCTGGGCACTTGGCAACAGTTTTCGCAACACTGGTCCCCAACATAACATCTAAGCCTTAAATTAGCCGTATTGACCAACCTGTCCCAAAGTGTGTGTAAATCAAAGTTACGGAAAACCCTTTCATTTTCTTATGTCGCGTCATTTGTTTCTTTTCATTTTAGTGTCACTTGACCTTTCTTTTGCGAAAATGTCTAATACTAATTTTCTATTGTTAAAATTGAGATGATGTAGATTTCATATAGGAAAAACAAATGTCACTGTCAAATGCCAATTCTCGTTAAAAGCAAAGGGGTATTACTCAATTAGGAAGTGGCGAAGACCGAGCCCGAATAAATCTCTATAACGTTCAAATCTGTAGACCGTCTAATATCCCTTCAGTCTAAATATACACACTCATTTAATGGGATCTAGACCTATGTGGGGGATATTTTACAATTGCTACATACAACTTTAAACGACTCTTAAATCCGTATTTTAGGAGTTAAGCTCGGTGTTGTCTTTTTTTCTCCCTCGGCAAATTTCCTATTTTGTGAATTTTAAAATTTTCCAATGTGCATGGTAGCGACGGTACCTAATTTCGACTCCGCTAATTTTTAAATGTAAAAATTCACCGTTATAGGGTGTATAATCGGACCGAGCTTATGGAGAGAAGCAAAAATAAAAAGAAAACAATAAACTGCAAAATAAAAAATTTCTTTAACAGTTTATTGACTGTTGCCGCATGCGGCTAATGCGCTTTTGAAGACAACCCCTTTTATAGGTACCTGTATTTGAATCTAGTTGCTTTCTAAAGGCTCAACCATCTGTGTCTTAGGTAATAATTACCAACCAGACAATGAATTGCTTGTTCACACAATCTACGATTAAGAAAATACGGTTAACAATTATCTCTTATTTGAAATTGAGCTACATAGGACTATATACAAGACAAATTTATAGTAAACCGACTCCTTAGCCCCATTTGTCACTCCCTTCAACTACACTTTTTCCTCTCCGTTGTCATCTCCATCTACGCCTTTCTCCCCTTGTGCTTTTGCAGCCAATGCAGCGGCCTTCTTACCCATTGACTGTGCAAAGCGCCTCAAGACAAACGGAAATGCCACAGTCAAGACTACAACCCATGCTACCAATATACCAAAATTACGACCCAATTGTCCCTTATAAACGTCGAAAAACACCGTCTTGGTGGCTTCATAACTATTGTGTATCGGCATAGCGTATCCATAACGGAAAAAGTTATTGGTCAACGCCATTACCGTATATGTAGGGGCAATATTGACAATAACCCAAAATATTAACCAAAATCCAAGTAGAGGGGGATAAATTGGTATAATCAACATGGCCATTATTTCAGTGGCTAATCCAACAGCACACATAGTTAAAAAGGAAATACTCCAGTAGACCAAAAACCCTGATTTCCCATAAGTTGCATCGAAATTAACCTGGAAAGCCAATGTAACTAATCCAAAAACTAATGAAAGGAAGAAAAATGATAGAATCGATGAAATGTACCGGTAAAGCAAGTAATGAATTCTTTTCACTGGCGTCTTTGCCACTTTCTGATGTGGTTCGCTGAAAAAACTGACTTGGAAAAACGAAACAATAATCAAATAAATGAATCCCAACTGCATTGGCGCATTCAAAACATGATTTGTCACTGGGAGCCTATCCACCACGGTAAACTGCACTGGTTGGGCCAATACTTGTTTTTGTGATGCTGATTCAATAGTTGAGTTTTCAACAAGTTGTGAAATCATGCTAGATTGTTGATCCAACCAAAAAGTCTCCGTCTTTTCCAATTGGGGTGTCACATACAGCGGCACAACGAGAAAGTCGCGAGCCGTTTCATAGTAAGCCGTAATTGTGTTGTCTGATACATTATATCGTGTGTCTCCATTCACCAATGCTTGGTAATAATTGTAGCTAGCATTAGGCTTGACATATATTGCTGACCAGTACAATTGATGATGCACTTGTCTCAAAATTTCTCCTCTGATGGTATTATTATTATCTTGTGCGTGTGTTTCAAACTCGCTTTCTTTGTATATATACCAGTTTCCAATTGCTTTTGCTTGTGGTCGCTGTAAAATTTCCTCCATAGAGTCTCCAAATACTGGTGGGACTCCCTCAATGGTGTTTTCGTCACCGATAACTACCAACATCTTCAATTCCTTTAAATTATCCAGAATTTCATAATATGAACCCCAATATATTGAAAGGGCAGTTAAAATCAATGTGGCCATTAGCATATTAATTAAAACAAATCTTTTGTGTATTTGCATTCTATGTGACTTGTATTCCCGACTAAAGAATGATACGTATTGTGGTGGTGGTGGTGTGGCCAGTTGCTGATTCTTTTTGTCGTGAACTAGTTCTGACTGTGGCTGTTCCTCTCTGTGGTTTGAGATCTTTTCGCCACGTTCTATACCTTCTTGGTCATTTTCATCAAAGTTGGGAGTAGCAGATGAACCGTCATCCATGTTCATCAATTGGCGACGTTGATCTGTTGGTCTTTCATCCATATATGTATCGTTATCTCTTTCTAGCGAATTATTGGAAATATCTTCACTTTTATCGCTCATTGAATGGAATTGTATTAATAGCAAGTGTTATTGAGGAAGAGTAAGTGGTACTCTATATAATATATATATTAATATGTGAATTAAGCTGGTGATATGGAAATGAAGTAGATTTATGATTGATTATATATGATTTTTTTTTCTTATATTGTCTGTAATGTATGTAATGTGTGTAATGTGTGTAATGTGTGTAATGTGTGTAATGTGTGCAATGTGTATTTGTAATGGCCGTTTGTTTCTTTTCATTTTAGTGTCACTTTACGTTTCTTTTGCGAAAATGTCTAATACTAATTTTCTATTGTTAAAATTGAGATGACGTAGATTTCATATAGAAAAAACAAATGTCAGTGTCAAATGCCAATTCTCGTTAAAAGCAAAGGGGTATTACTCAATTAGGAAGTGGCGAAGACCGAGCCCGAATAAATCTCTATAACCTTCAAATCTGTAGACCGCTCTAATATCCCTTCAGTCTAAATATACACACTCATTTAATGGGATCTAGACCTATGTGGGGGATANCGAGAAAATTTAATTTTGTAGTTTTTGTGTGACTTTAATTTCAGTCACTACTATTCTTAATTTGATAGTAGCCCTTGTTTCCACACTTCTTTGGAAAGAATAGAAGAGCCTTTATTGCTCACTGACTCGTGTACAATGGTACTTTTACAAAACTAATCAACGTAATCTGTGTCCATTACATTTTAAGCTTTATTCTTTTGCGGTTTTAAATATTTTGGAGGAAAACGTTGCGAAATACTGAATTATGTTCTTCTTTTAGTTTATATGAAGAATTGTTGCTTTGAAGTTGAGATTTGACTGTTTTGTCTTGCTGGTAAACTATGACTTGAAGCATAGAATTTCAGAAGAAAACTAGATAGGTTGGGTCATCACCAAAGTTTGTTTCTGCAAACATACATTCTGCTAGGGCAATTTTTTAAAAGCCTATACGGTGTCAATCCCTGAGAGACATGTGGCTATTAAGGAAGCAGAAGCTGGTTGGGATCTTGAATGTGCAACTTGCCCATTTGCATTCCAAAACCTTCACTTTGCTTTGTTGTGTGACGTAATCAAGACAAAAAAAAAGACAATAGGAAGAATAAGTTACATATATTCGACTAACCTCTTTGAATAAGGGGACATGGTACAAACTGTAAAGGCCAACCCCTCTCAGCAACTTTGGTCCACACTAGATGCTTTGCACGCTTGGTCAATCCAGCGCTGGACCCATATGAGCCCGACCACAAATTTATGCTGTCTGTATTATATTTCTAGCCGCATGTTAAAAGCCACATGCATATGTCACAGTTTTCTCTCTCTCTCTCTTTATTTGTATTTATTTTTTATTTATTGTTTATTTATTTTTCTTTGTGACCAAATTTCATGTTTGCTTTTTATAGAAAGACCCCAAGAAGTTTTCCCGAGGAAAGAATTGCAGTTTATAAAAGCAGTTAAAGTAAACCTTCAAGCGTTTTCTTGATGTTTCTGCAGAAGGGGGGTGGTAGGGATAAGACAAGTGGTCTGACACTACTGCTTCCTGTTGTGGAACTTTAAGAGCAATTGGGCCAAACCATATCAGGTAATTCTTAACTTACCATGTTTGTGTAATTTCTACCCTTTTTTACCAAAATTCTTTACATATCTAAACGCTTTACAGCAATTTTAATCTCATTTTTAAATTCACGCACACACACTCTCTCTTCGTCTTCTTTTACTGAAAGGTATAGCCAAGTATGAGTGACTCCAACAACAAGTACCCTCCACCCGAATACCCCCCATCAGGTGCTCCACAATACAACAATGATGGCAACAACAACAACCACGATGGCACCTACTATGTGCAGCCTGACTTGGAAAATGTAAACAATGAAAAACCACAACCTTCACAAGACTTTGACCAGAGTTTCAAGATTGAAAAGCCAAGATTGAACGATTGGCCATTCACCATTTTCTTTTTGCTAGTAGTTGCTGGATTCATTGCGGTTGCAGGTATAACTTTGAATGGGTTGAGAGAGACATACTCCGACCAAGGGTCTGGTATCTATGGCTCATCTAATTCATTCACCGTGAATAGAAACACTGTCATTCTTTTCGCCTTTGTTATTGTCTTGTCGATAGTATTGGCTGCGTTGGGGCTTTTATTCATCCGTACATTTGCAAAACAGTTTATTTATGTCGCATGCGTCTTGAATGTTGTACTATCGATCGGAACTGCCATCTTTTACTTTGTTGAGCATTACTACAGTGCTGCAATTGTGTTTTTGATATTTGGATTGTTTGCTGCATTTTGTTATTGGAGATCGAGAAGTAGAATTCCCCTCAGTGCAACAATATTACGAATTGTGATTGATGTCATGAAGCAATATCCATCAACCTTGGTCACAGCATTTTTTGGACTCGTGATTAGTGCTGGTTTTGGTGTATTATTCAGTGTTGTGATTGTCGGTACTTATGTCAAGTATAAGCCAAACGCGGATAACACCGCGTGTGAAGTTGGAGGGGGATCGTGTAGCCAAGGCAAGTTGGTTGGTGTTCTTGTATTTGTGTTCTTTGCTGGATACTACATATCTGAAGTTATCAAAAATGTTATTCACGTCACTATTTCGGGAATCTATGGTACATGGTACTACTTGTCCAATTCCGACCAAGGTGCTCCAAGACACCCTGCTTTATCATCGTTCAAAAGGGCTTTGACTTACTGCTTTGGGTCCATCTGTTTTGGTTCGTTGATTGTGGCATTTATCCAATTGGTGAGACAATTGCTCAACATTGTGAGGTCGCAATTTGTCGATTCATTTGCTGGCCAGTGTGCTTTAATCATTGTTGATTTCATTGTTGGCTTCATTGACTGGTTAGTTCAGTACTTTAACAGATATGCCTATTCGTATGTCGCACTTTATGGAAAATCTTATCTCCGCTCAGCTAAAGACACTTTTGATATGTTTAGATTCAAAGGTATGGATGCATTGGTTAATGATATGTTCATCAATGTGGCATTGAACTTTTACTCATTGTTTGTTGCTTATTTGTCCTCGTTGTTGGCATATCTTTATCTTAAATTTACCAAGCCTGGGTACAATTCTGATGGTAACTACTATGCTCCTGTTGTGGCATTTACATTTTTAATCTCGATGCAAATCGCTAGTATCACCTTGAGTGTTATAGGTTCAGGTGTTGCCACATTCTTTGTGTGCTTGAGTAAAGACCCTGAAGTCTTGCAAATGCTGCAAAGAGACGAATTATTCAACCAAATTCAAAGAAACTATCCTCAAGTGTATGAAAAGATCAATACAGATCATTAGTATTGCGTGTATTCTAATATAAGCTAAGTTAATTCCAAATGGCTTCATGATGGTAGATTCTCTGATTTTAGTCGCGACTTTGTTCACAATTTTGGTGACAACCAAAAAAAATAGCACGGTTAAGTAAAGACTCCAGCAAACACACGCAATCATAATAATGTTGACCCTTGCCATTGGCGACTTGTTTATTCCTGAAAGAGCTATAGATATTCCCAAGAAGTTTAAGAAACTATTGGCTCCTAATTCACAAACCGTACCCACCAACAGCAAAATTAATCGCGTTGTATGTTTGGGTAATATTCTCAATTCAACATCGACTCTACAGTTTTTAAACAATATTTCACCAAGGTTTGAGCTAGTGAAAGGCGAATACGATGATGCTAGTATTGTATCACAACAGTTGCAATTGATTGCAGATTCACAGTCTAAGTCACTGCCAAGAAGGAGTGGCAATTCTGCCATGAAAGTTCCCATGTACAGTCGATTCGTGCATGATAATTTGAAAATTGGGTTCACCAGTGGATACCAGATTGTTCCACGAGGCGATCCATTGGCCCTAAGTGCCTTCGCAAGAGAGTTGGACGTGGATGTGTTGATATGGGGTGGAACGCACCGAGTTGAAGCTTATACGTTGGATGGTAAATTCTTTGTCAATCCGGGAAGTGCAACTGGTGCGTTCAGCTTTGATTGGCCCGAAATTGAAGAGGATGACGAGGATGAGAAAGAAAAGGCAGACGAGGAGACGGAGGACGCTCAGAGAGAACAAAATAAAGAGACGGCGACCATGGATGAAGCAAATGAAAATGAAGGACCTACAAATCAAGAACAAAAGGACACAAAAGAACCAGAGGAGAATACAAATTTGCAGGAGAACAAAGACAAAGGAGACAATGAACTGGAAGCTTTCAAGAAAACACTATATGAAGTGACAGAGTTAAACACCAACATCCCCTCGTTTTGTATACTTGATACCAAGGGCTCTACGTGCATTCTTTACATCTACACGTATTTCAACAACGAAGTCAAAGTGGATAAAGTCACATATAATAAAGAATAAAGCACATTTTATTTTTCAAGCTTGTACCGAACTATAATGTAATACAAAGTCTTTTCTAATCTTTTCCCAATTATGGGGGTCAAAGAAAATGTAAACCCCCTTCTCTACATCCTGGCCAATCAACACTGGCTCCACGTTGCTATCCTTTGTTAGCCAGACTTGAATATCTTTATGGTATCGCCAATTTCGAGCAACCAATTCCCTAGCAGCATACTCTTGCAAAGTGTCCCTCGGTTTCATATAAAATATGTAAAACAAAGTTTCATCGGTGAAGTTTTGGATCTTAGAATCACATGTTGAGGGGTCTATTTGATGGTTCTTCAACTGAGAATTTTGTAGATGTAACGGTATTTGAAAATGTGGTTCGACTTCACTTCGAGAAGTTTCCAGCCACGGGCTTGCAAGATTCTTTAAAATGTTGACATTGGGTGATAGGTCCAATCCACACTTGCTGATGTCTTGACCAATTGCAAAACTCGTAAAATCCGACTGCTCCATTCTTACCAACGAGGATAAGCCTTGTAGACCATATTTGGCTAAATCATTAGCCTCTGTGTTTGTCGGTAGCGTTGTTGCTTGACTAGATCCAATACTTGCACCCGTATTTACCATATTGACTCTGTTGTATGTTGTGATGTTGATGAAGT